CACATAACTTTAAACTCTGTACAAAATCAAGTCAGGATGCTGTATGTTGTCATTGCAAGGGGAACCATGTGGCTATTTCGTCACAGTGCCCTGTAAAAAAAGAAAAAATATTATTAAATAGAGAAAAGGCTCAGAATAAAACATACTCTGCTGTAATTAATGAGAAATCATTCCCTCCCTTGAAACAAAGCCCCACTGATATGCTAGCATTGCTATTAAACTCTGATTTTATTTTGAATATGGTTGTAGAGTCAATTGTCAAATTAATAACAATGAACAAAAACAATGAAACAGCTATTTCCACACAGAGTATAAAAGATACTCTCTTGGAAACAATAAATAAAAATAAGAAACAAAACACTTAATCTTTTTTTTTTTATGGATTTTTTAAATATAATGCAATGGAATGCTCAGAGTTTACCTGCACACAGATACTTATTAACAAATTTTCTACAAGAGAATCAGATTCATGTAGCTTTGATTTCTGAGACATGGTTAAAACCACACATTCAGTTTACTCTCAAAAGTTATGATATAATTAGACTAGATTCAGGTAACCGCCATAATGGCGTTGCCATTTTTATTCATAATAGTTTGCAATTCCATAAGATAGATACATCATTTGATGATTCAATTCAAAATATAGCTGTAAGATTGTATTATGGAAATCAAGAAATTTCTCTTGTGTCTTTATATAGTCCAGGTAACTGTAACCCTTCATTTTCCAAATCAAAACTTGATTATTTAATCAGCAGTATCCCTGGGCCTTTGCTGATTGCTGGCGATTTTAACGCCCGGAATACAGCATGGGGCTGTAGCTCTATTGATTCACGTGGGCGCGATATTATTGAAAGCATCAATGACAACAACTTAGTACTCCTAAATGATGGTCAGCTGACAACTGTTGGCTCTAGTGTATGGCAAAGGAATGCTTTGGATTTAACACTAGTATCACCCTCTTTGGCTTTGAGATGTGAATGGTCTGTTTCTGATGACCCTTTAGGCAGCTACCATTTACCTGTAATTACAAAATTAGAAATTAGTAATAATAAAGACTCATTTGAAAATTTACTTGCACTCCCTACATATTTTAATTTCCGTCTAGTAGACTGGCAAAAATATAGTGAAAATGTAGATTTCTTATTAAATAACAATTTAGAATTTGACCAGTCTAATCCATTAAAATAAAATGTTATTCAGATATGGTAATATTATTAAATCTAGCGCTGCAGCAGTCTGTTACTCACACTAGTAGACAGTTTGTTCAACCACAAATATCAGCTCTAAAAGCTTTTAAGAAACGTGTTTCATTGCCTTGGTGGAATAACAACTGCAAAACAGCTGTAGATAATTGTAGGAAAGCTTATACCGAATTTAAGCATAACCTCTCAGAGGAAAGTTACCTTAAGTTTAAAAAGTTACAAGCTTTGAAAAAGCTCATTTTAAAAAAGGAAAGGAACTTAAGTTGGATGTCATTGTGTGAATCACTTAATCGATGTACTCCTATTTCAAACCTCTGGAGGATTGTCAGGAGGTTTAATGGTATTTCTGTTCCATCTAAAAATGTATATAGTGAATGGGTACCAGAATTTCTCAAAAAATATACACCAGATACCGTAGAGGTCCCTTTGACATTTGTAAATAGGAATCCTGTACATAATTGTAAATACTTAGAAATGCCATTTAACATACAAGAATTTAAAACTGCAGTTTCTACTCGTAGGGATACAGCTCATGGCCTCGATGGTATTCCTTAATGCTAAAATATACTACAGATAAAACAAAGAATATCATCTTAAAAGTTTATAATTTGTTATGGTCTTGCTGTGTTATACCTATTGACTGGAAAAAAGATTGTTTGGTCCCCATTTTGAAACCAAATAAAGATAAGACTAAAGCAAATTCATACCGGCCAATAGCATTGACATCATGTATGGGAAAAGTTTTTGAACAGCTACTCAAACAAAGAGTTAAATTTTTCATTGAAAGCAATAATCTATTACCTTCCAATCAATTTGGTTTTCGCAGGGACCGATCCTCTAGAGAGAGTATAGCACATCTTCAACTAGACATTTTTGATGCACTTAAACAAGATGAAGTCCTTATTGGTGTGTTCTTTGATGTTGTTGGTGCTTTCAATAATGTAAATCCTCATATTTTAGCAGGTGAACTTTTTTCTCTTGGTTTTCCTGAAAAAGTAGTTATGTGGATTTTTAATTTTTTGCATGGTCGTGAGGTTTATGTCAAGTCTAATAATCAATAAATAGGACCACGCTATTCATATAAAGGTGTCTGTCAAGGAGGAATTCTATCTCCATTGTTTTACATTCTTTATGTACACAAACTAAACATCATTTTAGGATCACAAGTAAAAAACTTGCAATTTGCTGATGACTTGGTCATTTACCATTCAGGTTCTGATATTCAACAGGTAACCTCTACTATAAATAGAGCACTTTTAAAATTAAATGAATATTTCAGTTATTTAAATTTAGATATTAGCCCTGACAAATCTAAAACAGTTGTATTTGGTGATTGTGATACAAATGTTGATATTGTATATAATAATGTCATTGTCCCTGTAGAGAGTGAAGTAAAATTTTTGGGTGTTATTTTCACCAATAATATTTCATGGAAAAAATATGTAGAATATCTTTTGGGGAAAGCTTACAAAGCCTACAATGTCATAAAATGTTTATCAAAAATTGACCCTAAAATATTATTGATGTTATACAAGTCAATTGTTAGAAGTCACTTTGAATATGGATTTTTATGTTTTGGATCTGATTCTCAATTAGTAAGAAAATTAGAAGTCTTGCAGAATCATAATCTTAAGATGCATAACGGGTGCTATGAAAACCTCTCCTATCAACTCTCTGGAAGTAGAATGCAATACACCTCCACTTCAATTAAGATTTAAATTTTTAAAATCAAAGTTTTTGATTAAATTACTGTCATTTCATTCCCATCCATTAATTATAAAAATTAACTTTCTATATGGAATATACTCTCCAACTAATATGTCTAGAATCCCTTATTTGCTTCATGACTTCTCAGAATATATTAATTACAACCAGCAGTACAACATTAATAAAACTGAGCATAATTGGATATGTTACAAAGAAACTTATGATATGCATTTCTGTGACATAAGCATCCATATATCGCCCGACTTGAAATTTAAAGACAAAAAGAAGTTTACAAAAAGATTGATAAGTTTTCCAATCATAAACATATTTATACAGACGGTTCCAAGAATGATGATAATGTTTCAATGGCGATTTACATACCTCATTTGAAAACGGGTCTAGGGTACAAACTTCCAAGCCAGATGAGCATATTTTCTGCGGAGTGTCTTGCAATTCTTTCTGCATTGGAGTTTATAGAGGAAAATATTCAGGAGTGCACTCAATGGTTGGTGTTAACAGACAGCATGAGTTGTTTACAAGCTTTGCGAAACAATAGATTTGACTCTGGAAGTAATTTTATTTTACATGATATTAAAAAAATGTACCACAAACTTAAAGTCCTCAATGTACAAATAGTTTTAATGTGGGTTCCATCGCACATAGGAGTCATCGGAAATGAGAAAGCTGATACGTTAGCCAGAACCATTTTAAATCGAAGCAATGATGACGTTGACTTTAAAAATGTTGCCATACCTTTTTCAGATTTATTACCCAAACTAAAACTTTTGTTAAAACAAGATTGGTTGATTAATTGGCATCAAACGCTAGTAATAAAAGGAAAATGGTATCATAAAATTAATAATGTAATTGGTCAACATCCATGGTTTACAAAATCTAAAGAATACCAAAGTCGGAAATTTTATACGACCATCACACGCTTGAGAATTGGACATGGACGTTTTAATTCACATTTATATAGAATGAATATAATTACATCTCCGTTATGCACAAACTGTAATTTAAATAAAGATCAAACACTAAACCATATATTTTTTGAATGTACAGCATATAATATACAAAGACTTGTTTTAGCTGACAATTTAATTAAATTATATAAAACTAATAATGAAATCCCGCGCGACATTCAAGACATTGTTATGAATCCAAAATCATACAAATATCTATATATTTTTTTAGTTTCCATAGATATGGAACTTTAAAAAATTTCATGACTTTAAACAAATAAGATTGAAAGAAAGAAGATTCAAATTGAAAGAAGATTCAAAATCGGATTTGAAAATTTGGGGGAAACAATAAGTACCTAAACTGAAAATGGATTAGAAAGACTATTTAGGACAAATATCTTATGATTAAAGAAGTGGCTTCGGCCTTATAGAAAAAAGAAACAAAAAAAAAATCCTTTAAATGAAGACTATGGCTGCATGGCTCTGCCTTTGTCTTTCCCAAGATGGGAAAAAAGATATATAAAAAAAAAAAATTACATTTTGCGAGTTTTTGGCGGGATTTCATCGAGTGTGGTTGGCGTCCTATTTTAATTATTCTTAAATTCATTCATAGTAGATATTGTGAAATAAAATTGGTGTGATTTTGTGTTACAACTGTCTGCGTAACTGAAGAATTAGTAGAATCGTCAAAATATACGCTATTCCGGTCAAGTGGACGTGAGATTTTTATTGTAGTATTGACTACCTCACAGAAGCTTATCGAAAAAGCCAGCTCGATACATTTCGTGCCAAACACTTCAAGAAACATTGGAATGCGTCACATCGACATTCTAATGTAAAAAGAACAGAATAACTTAATTTAAGACTAGGCTGTATGGGCATTGTTCCCCTTGCCTTCCCTGAAAAGGGAGAACTTAACCAAAAAAAAAAAAATTACGTTTTGCCCTTTCGTTCGAGGATTTTGCACAAAGAGTAGTATAATATACCGGAATATTTTGCAGTAAGCCACCAAAAAGTTGTTACTACTCCAAGAATATTGTTTGTAACAAAAACTTATTATTTATTCACCAAGAGAATGTAAATCACTCTCTTAATTATTCAGAGGAAACGAAAAGTGGTATTTACAATGCAAAAAATATCTATCATTGAACATACTCTTCTGACTGAAAATGTTTTGAAACGTCTCGCTAATAGACGTATTTTAACAATTTTGGATTTTTTAAATGAAGACGTTGATAAAATTAGTTGTGCAGCTAAAATAACCATACCACAGGTACTAGACATACGAAATCAAATTTTTGATAAATACTCGGCGCCGGTACTTTGTGGATTAATATTGTTAGAGAGACATTTGAACAAGTGTTTAAATACAGGTATCGAAAGGTATGAAAGTACTATGTACATATTTTTTGAATTAAAATGGTCTATTCTGTGTATGTGGGTCAGAGTTATAAAAAATGTCTTCCTACATACTCACTATTCCATTTCAGTATAAATACAATGCTCAATGAAGGTGTTCCAATTGGTCACATTACAGAACTATGTGGCCTAGCAAATTCAGGAAAAACTCAGTTGTGTCATCAACTTGCTGTAAATTGTGTAAAGCACACAGAGAATACAGTTCTGTACATTGATACTAAAGGAGACTTTTCAGCAAAAAGAATACAATTTTTATTGCATTCATATAAAAAATCATATAAGGTAATTGTAACAAAAATGATATCTTTTATTTCTTTAAAATTTATTCTATTTTTTTTTTATATTACTAGTAATGCTAATTACAGGAAATGGCTGAAATAATGTTTAAAATTAAAGTCACCAGAATATGGAATATGGAAGAACTCATTGAATTATTACAGAATTTAAAAAAGGGCACCATTGTTTTAAATAAATTATCTATGATCATAGTAGATTCACTCCCTTGTTTAATGTTGCAACATCTAGGAGAAGAAAGCAAAATTGGTACATACTATAAACTTTACCTATAAGTATTGTTTTACCACAATAACAGGAAAACAAAAATACAGTAAAATATGACAAGAATATCTTTAATAATGGCTTTGTTTTACAGGACTGGCGCTTTTGAATCAATTTGTGAATTATTGTAGATTTCTATGTGACCACTTACAAATTTGTGTTGTCTGTGTCAATGTTCAAACGAGATGGGTGGACCAAGATTTAGTAGAATTGGAAGGTAACTAAAATACACACATCAAAAGTGTCTAGGGATCAACATATATTTTTGCAATAACTTTTCTCCTGATTGATATTAATTCAAATTTTCTATAAGGATTCATCAAATAAAGTGTTTTCGTTTGTCACAGTAACGATAAACCAAGTCACCTTTGCATTAATAAAGAAATTTGCCATTTTCCTAATAAAGGGATTTTTGACATTTGAACCACTAACACAAAAGTTCGAAAAAAAGACTGAAATAACAGTTTTCTCTAAAATTTTATTGGGTAACTTAAACAATTAATAATCCGTATTTCTACCGCGAACACTAACAACACAAGAACATCGGTTTGGCATACTCAAAATGAGTTCATCCAAATCACTCTGTGGAATGGCCGCCCATGTTCGTTGCAACAACAAAAAAAGGTCTTCTTGCGACTGGATACCCTCCATATTCGGCAGAGCTCTTCTCTGTAGCATATCCCATGCATGCTCAATCGGGTTCAAGTCTGGCGACTGAGCAGGCCAGGGCAGGACATTGATGTTAGCTGCGGCGAGAGTCTGTCTTACAACTCTTGCGGTGTGCGGTCGTGCATTATCATGCATTAACTGAAATAAGGGACCGATTTGCACTTGTAGAGGAACGATGACGTCTGATACAATCGTCTCAGCATAAATTTGAGCGTTGAGGTTGCCTCTGATCCAAATCAACTCAGTTCTTCCGCCGATCCAAATACCCGCCCATACCATGATGGTTCCACCACTATAAGGATGGACTTCCTGGCAGGATTTTAATCGCTGTTGGCGTCCAGGGGTTCTCCAGTGTCGTATACGTCTTGTATCCGGTCTCATACCAAAACGAGACTCATTAGAAAAGCACACGAAACGCCATTGTTCTTCTGCCCAATTTCTGTGTTCAAGAGCCCATTGATATCGAATCCTACGATTGTGCATTGCTATAGGTGGTACCCGTAGCGGTCTTCGGGAATGAAGGTTCACTTCATGCAAGCGGTTTCTGACTGTTTGGTCGCTAATTAAGTTCCCTGAAGAGTGATGAAGCCTCACGGCTAACATCATGGCGGTTATTGTTGGAGCTCTTCGAGTTAAGATTTGAATGTATCGGTCTTGTCTCCGTGTGGTGCAGCGATACCGTCCTCCATGGCGCTCAGCCACGGTACCAGTGCTTCGGTATCGTGTCCAAAGTCGACTGATAACACTCTGACTTGTATTCAGAGCTAAAGCCACAGTACGTTGCCGGGAACCAGCTTCTATCATTCCCACGGCTCTGAGCATTTCTTCCCTGCTTAAATGACGTCGCCGCTCCATAGTAACGTTGGTTTTAATCAGTAGTAGGGAAACAGTAGCACTAATAATGTCTTCAATGCGTTGTATGTTTTTATAGGGAAAATATTGACAGCTGCAAGGACGTATAAAAAAAGGCGGACAGAATTTCGGCTAAGACAAAAGTGAGGCACCGTAATGGCGGCGGTTATCTATGAGTGAGTGAATGCAGGGTTGCTAGGTTAGCCAATTTTTTACCAATAAAACACAGTAAAAAGATCAAAATATTTTAATTGTTCAAAATTTTACCCGACTGCGGTGGATAATGTTTTTCGAGCGTGTATGCATGTATGTATGCCCAATAATAAGGCGCCAAAATGAAACCTTTAGAAAAAAAATGCTTATAACCCGTCAAGCGAGGTTTCAAAGTAAAGGGTCTTAAAAGAATGCAGTGGATCCCCGGTAGTCCGACAAACATTTTGCAGGGCAGTGTCGAACTATCGAATTTGTCGGATTATAGAGTACTGCCTAAGACCCCCTATAGTCCGAATTTTTTTACAAAAGAGTACCTTGTAATCCGACAAATTACAGATGCAATGATAAGATTACAAAACATACTTTGTTATGTATGTCAAATTTAGTAAATTAAACAACACAATAGAAAGATTATGTTTTATTATAAAAGTAACGTCAAATGCTATAGAATTTACAAAAAAATATAAAAAACAATACCCTACGCGTCGAGCACAATAAAATTGTGATGGTGCGTACAAGTTGTAACTTGTTCAATAGTGAATTAGCGAATACTTGTATGTAATAGACGATGTCGGATTATAGGGGGTGCCGCATTAGCCAGGGGCCGGATTACCGGGGCTCCACTGTATTTAGAAAATAGGTATGCAAATCGTGTACTTAAAAAAAAATCGTGTTGCACTCGGGGACTGCCGCGGTAAAGCTATTGCATAGAATTATTTGTCAACTTATGCAATAATACTATTTATTTATGCAGTATTTTTTTTCTTTGATATTAATTCAAGTTTTTTCTCTGATATTAATAGATGGCGAGGCAGGCCTTATGATATTTTATTGGGCAAGCACAGCAAACAACAGCATTGCCCGGCGCCAAAAAACTTCCACATGCTCCACAGTTTACCACCTTAGGTCCAAAAATTATAATTATAAAGTCTAAATAAAAGGGAGACAAATAAAAATAAGAACAGGTGCTGGGGTCTAAAACAAATATATAAAAAATGGAAAAAAAATATAATAAAAAATAAAACACGAGTGCGGGATTTGAACCGACGACCGCGGTGATGCGTCGAACGTTGGTCCCGTGGCAAAAATTTAACACACTGCACCGTTTCGATCGATACTGGAAAGGCGAAAATTGTGTTCATACGCACTGTTTTTAAGTTGGCATTGATCGAAATGTTTTGTTTAAATATTATCGTTAGTAATATTATTTATCGTTGAAAATATTTTAAAACTTTTGTTTCATTGTAGGTTTTTTTAAATAATCAAAGTTAATTCAAACTATTATATATAACAAATATTGACTTTTTTATATTCCACTTTTTTTTCAACACTGAACTTAGCGCACTTTGCTGGTGCATTTGAAAACTAATTCACGTTCCAATTAATCATCAGCATAATTCGGCATTGGTAGCCACTGAGTCGCATTATGCTCTGTAATTGGAAAACCTAACATGAAGTCTGTTTTTATTTTTGTATGAAAAAGTTTATATTTTCCACTTTTCATAAGCCAGAGTAAATCACCTAAATATGCCTGGCCAGGCCTGCATTCTTTTTTATATTTCTTAAATTAACAAAACATGCATTGAGTACTGTTTGTAATTGAGGAGTTCCATTGTTTACCTCCGAAAATACTCATCAGCTCTGCACTTAATTAATACAGCCATCTCGCTAATAAACTGATTCAAACAAAAAAATAATCATCAAAATCGGTCCACGAATCTCGGAGATATGCACGAACAACAATTGAAAAAAAAAATAACAAATATGACGTATAGAACCTCTTTCTTTTTGAAGTCGGTTAAAATTTTTAATTTACCTTTTGAGGTACTGCATGCGTAACAACACGCCGGAGTCCTCTTTTAGTAGTATATAAGTCTCCAGCTTCAAAATGGATACTGCAAATGACACTATATTTATTTGGAATCCATTCATCATCTCCGTTACAATTCCTAAAAACTTGGATCCAGTCATTTCTCCATTCTACATTTTCTTTAGGGAATCTGATAAAAAAGAATAACAAATAATAGATTGAAGCTAATGTCACCCCAATTTCCCATATTTTAGGTAATATGGTTACGTGAACATTGACAACACTGGACTTTAGATTAATTATTTTGTGCTTAGAATGAAAATTGATTTCGATTTCTAAAAACTAGAAAAAAGTGATTATATTGTTCATTTACCTATGAAACGTGATTCCTGGTTTTTTTTTCTTTCGGTCACTACGGTTTTTACACCATTTTACCACGCAAGACATCTTGTTTTAACTTATTTTTATCTCCACTTAACGTATCGGCTGCTTTGACGTTTGCACGCGTAATGGCTGACTATGGTGTGAATGTGTGTGTGCCGGCTTGTACATATAGCGACCTGGCCGACTCTGAGCGACACAGTTTGTTGTTTGCCGGGACTCTGTCCGCCTTTTTTTATACGTCCATGGACAGCTGATTTTCATCTTTTACTCGAATTTGATTCACAGTTCCTGATTCAAATTATGAAATGCACCAAAGAGGATCCATATAAATTTATAAAATCATAAATTTATTACAAAGCCACATCTCAATCTCAAGAAATCCGCATAAAAATGCTTGATCCCTAGACACTTTTGGTGTGTGTATATTCTTTAATACTATGATAATAATAGTTTTTATATCATTGTAACAATCTTATTTAATGTAAAACTGGTCATTTGCAAGTCAGTCTCTTACAAAGGATTCCATGCAGTTTTGCAAGTTTTTAGTTATTTGCAAAAAAGGCAAAAATCATGTCATCAAAAATCATTTAATCTGTGGTTGACATTGTTACATCTTTTTATTATTTTTGAAATATCAATTAAAAAAGCCCTAAATGGTGTGGAATTATTTTCATGTTAATTAAATGTTTTTAGGTATTTTAATAGATTTTTGGTCTTATTTTAGATGAAAAGAAACATTATTCAACATCATTTCAAGAACCAACCTATGTAGAGAAACAAAATCGTTGTTTGGGTAAATACTGGCAGCATATACCAGCACTAGTGTTGCTATTGGATAAAAATCCATTATTAGATAATGAGGTTGATGATAATACGATTAGACAGTTAAGTTTAAGTGTGTTAACATCCAATAGTAAAGTCTTGAAACAGTGTAACTTAACATTAAGCTCTACTGGTGTCAGGTAAAGCATCAATCTCCAATTTCGTTATTAAACATTATGATTTAAAATATTGATTTTGATTATAGGCCTTTTTTAAACTTCATATTATGATAAGTATGTAGTTTCATGCAAAGATTTCAATCATTAGATATGTCCTTACCATAGTTTGACCGCTCTGAAAGCTGACAGCACTCGAATAGGCTAAATAGCGTACCATCATGGCTTGTCTAATCAGTGTGGGTGTTCATCTGAATATAGTGGCAGTTTGACATTGGTGAATAAAATACCGCAAGCATTTTTGTGAGGAAAGTGTATTAAAATGCCGTTATGTGCCTCCCGAAAGTGCACTAAAAATTCGAATAAAACAAATAAAGCTAATGGTGTAATATTTCACTAATAAGTTTTTAGATTGTCATAATTATTGAAATCTAATCAGACAGCGCATAACAGAGAAAGCAGTGTTGGAAAATATGCAAGACAAAAAGATAACACTATTTTGAGCTGTGTGTTTTGAAGTTTGTCCGCCCATGAAGTTTCATAAAAAATTGTTCTAAATTCGCAACGATATTAAATATCCTAGATACACCATGTGCGCTCAAAATGTGTCCCAATCAAGAAGTGCTTGAACACGACTCAAGTACTCAGGTAAAAGATTGTTGTACTTAAGTTTTGAACTTGCTGTTAAGGTTGGATATGGGTTTAATTCGTTAAAAAAGTCATACATTTTAAACAATAATGAACGACGACGGTGATAATAATATATTAACTAGATCTTTTTTTTAAAAAAAGGTAGGTAAGTCTATGCTACGATACGGATTTATTAATAGCCTATTAATGTGTCATGAGCCACCACACGGGCCTATTAAAATGTGGCTTAGTGGGGGCTAACGACTGCAGTGCAGATGCAGGGAGCAGCAACATTGGAACTCGATATAATACATTTTTGGTTGGTCACCCATCCTAAGATCGGCCATTGTGAAAGTTGCTTAACGTTCACGATCGCAGCCGAACGCGCTAACCAACTGCGCCATCTAGCTCCTCATAGAAGTATAAACATAAAAGTATAAAACTAATATTACATAATATATTTTACATGGATTATAAACACATTCACGCTATTCCGAGCGGGAACCGACTGACAACCGAGCAACAAATGAAAAAACGCTCGGAAAAATCTTGGTCCTGCCTCGGCTCGGCCACAGCTCGTTGCATAAAAATACAGCACCGGCGCGGTGCCGCCGGGCAATCGTAGTGATAGGGTGCGGCCAGAGTGCACTCAGATTCAGATTTCGAAAACAAGCGCGAGAAATAAACAGTGTAGTCGAAGGGTACGGCCAGATTGCACTCCTGATTTAGATTCAGACTCAGAAAACAAAGCGCGAGAAAAAGCAGGCAACCTGCTTAGACTACACTGTTTATTTCTCGCGCTTGTTTTCAGAATCTGAATCTGACTCTGAATCTGAGTGCACTCTGGCCGCACCCATAGGTAGGCTTGCTGAAAATATATCGATGTATCGATATTTTTTGTTCGATATATCGATATTTTAAGCCGATATATGTTGATTCGATATATCGATACATCGATACAAAATAACCAATATCGAAATTCGTATCAAAAACGATATTTTTTTTAATTATTAGCGGCATATCACGATCTAACTAAATTCGTATCTGGAAAAATCGTAACTGAAGCTCAGATTAATGATATTCAATATATCTATGATTTGTGCTGTATTAAGTATTTTCTATGATTTGTAAATCTGTTTCGCTGGTGAATTGGTAAAATAAGGAGGCCCTGCAATAATTTTCATCATTCGAAAATAGGGTCTATTTTTAGGGAGATAATTTTCGTTCCATTATTATTCCGCGTGTCATCTTTCGTGAGATATTTTACTGTCATTTAGTGTAGCGGCAATTTGGTACTTTGATAATTCTTTATTTAATTATAATTTGTATTGTTATTATTGCTGACCTAAATATATTTTTGGGAAAATTGGTCCGATATATCGATGTTTTTTTCGCGATATATTGAAGCCGATATTGATATTTTTTAAAATATCGATATTTTTTAAAATATCGATATTTTTTTCAACTTTCGACATCCCTATGATAGGTTGCGGCCAGAGTGCACTCAGATTCAGATTCAGATTTCGAAAACAAGCGCGAGAAATAAACAGTGTAGTCTAAGCAGGTTGCCTGCTTTTTCTCGCGCTTTGTTTTCTGAGTCTGAATCAGGAGTGCACTCTGGCCGTACCCTTCGACTACACTGTTTATTTCTCGCGCTTGTTTTCGAAATCTGAATCTGAATCTGAATTTGAGTGCACTCTGGCCGCACCCATACCTCGGACAAAACAAAAAACGTTTTTGCTCGGACGAGTACACTTACCCTATTTACTTTATCTGAATTAATAAACTGCATCACGGCACAACGGTACCTACCTAATTGCTCCTTCGAGGCACGTCTTTGTAAATTACAGGTACGGGATCGTCTTGGTGACGAAGCTCGGCTCGGATTCGACACGGTCTATCGTCACTGATCATCCTTAATAGATTTGTTCGGTACCAAAATGTAGTTGGTACCGATATTTAAATTTAATTTTAAAAATGGTGGCTTTCCTCATCCTTATGCCAAAAAAAAATACTTAGCTATGCTCTAAGAAAAAATATGATTCCTAAAGTTCACTCTGCAGATTAAATTTGTCTAAGTTCATATTTTTCCCCAAAATAAGGATAAACAATCTTAATCTAGAAACCCTAAGTACCACAGAGTAGGTAGGGACACGATATCGAATAGAAAGTATCGATACTGTATTCATGAGTAGTATCGGTAAAAAAGTATCGTACTCGTAAAAGTATCGATACTTCAAAGTATCGAGTACATTTCATAGGGTCTTATCGGAGCCTCTGTGGCCTGATGAGCAACCCCCCCCCCCCCCCCCGGTGTTAAAATTGAAAGAAAAACAATCGAATTTTATTATAGTACGTATAATCAAAAACAAAAAAAGGACATGTAAATTCACAAATTGTTATATTATATAATGAAAAGAAAATAGCTGTGATTTCTGACACTAAAAAGTGTTCATTAATATTCTTTTTTTCAGGTGGTTTCCAATAAGTATACACAGCACAGACAGAATAATAGTGTTACACTTGAATAAATCAAATACAGTCAAGCGAAAAGCACAATAAACGGCGAATCAATCACAGTTCCTAACAATATGGTCGTTAAATAAATAACTATGAAACAAAACAAAGCGCAAAATAAACACAGTCACAGATTGGAAAGAATTTGAATATGTCAGTTACTGACTTTATAACAACGCAATGGGTCATTTGACAGTATTAAAAATAAAGTGCCAAAATAACGAAAAAGATATTAGTTTTCTTATCTATTGTCACGTGATCCAAAACGCTTCGGATTGGCGGAGCCTAAAATGACGTCACACGCAAATAAACTTCCGGTCAAAGTGACATTACATTGTATCGTTTGACGTTTTAATAACAGTCGTGTGACGTCACACACTAGTAAGACGCCGTATTATCCAGAGAAACGTTTTCGCGGCAACTTGAAAATGGAGTTTTTGATTTGGTTATTTTTACTGAAATACACAACAGACTGATGAATATCCACTTTTTATGAACTCCATAAACATTAGACAATAACGTGAGATCGTTGCCTAAAACTTGTCAAATACCCTATGGAACGTTTTAGAAGGTTTGCTATGATTTGACAAGATGGCGTTGCCATCAGTATGAGGCGCTTATCCAAATTTTTAAAGGTATCGATACTTGCCAAAAAGTACTCATTTATTTGTTTCTTAGGTTTCCACGCACATCACTCATTAAATAAAACTAGTTTAAACGGGATAATGCACGAAACTTTATTTATTTATTGACGTTTCGTAGCCTTTCCAGGCTTCGTCGTCAGAATAAAACTTTTGTTTAATTTGTCAAGCTACCTTCGAAAGACTTTTATTGAGCGTTTGGTTATTTCATCGTTCGATTTTTAAGTTTTATTGTCTATGTATGAATTTATTATTTAATTTACTTAATAAAGTATTTTATTTAAAATTCTTGTTTGTAATTTTGCGTTTATTTATTTGACCCTAACTACCGTAAACTACCACCGGTTCCAAAATTGGGAGACCTTCCTGAGAAGAACCGGCGAAACAAACTCAAGAGAGGCTTTCTATCTCCTTCTTATGTTAAATTATGCAAACAAAAAGAACTAATAGTATCTGATGGTCTTGCAGTATGTGCTCGGGGTTGGGATTTTATCTCCTGTATAATAGGTTCCCAAGCTGGTGGTATATACCAACCATCTTCCCTATTGAAATTTGGATATTTTTTAATCTCAATAGCCTCGCGCATCATTCGAGGAGCTGAGCGGCGTTTCGTTCCTCGAATGATGCGCGAGGCTATTGAGATTAAAAAATATCCAAATTTCAATAGGGAAGATGGTTGGTATATACCACCAGCTTGGGAACCTATTATACAGGAGATAAAATCCCAACCCCGAGCACATACTGCAAGACCATCAGATACTATTAGTTCTTTTTGTTTGCATAATTTAACATAAGAAGGAGATAGAAAGCCTCTCTTGAGTTTGTTTCGCCGGTTCTTCTCAGGAAGGTCTCCCAATTTTGGAACCGGTGGTAGTTTACGGTAGTTAGGGTCAAATAAATAAACGCAAAATTACAAACAAGAATTTTAAATAAAATACTTTATTAAGTAAATTAAATAATAAATTCATACATAGACAATAAAACTTAAAAATCGAACGATGAAATAACCAAACGCTCAATAAAAGTCTTTCGAAGGTAGCTTGACAAATTAAACAAAAGTTTTATTCTGACGACGAAGCCTGGAAAGGCTACGAAACGTCAATAAATAAATAAAGTTTCGTGCATTATCCCGTTTAAACTAGTTTTATTTAAGTACTCATTTAGTAAAAGTATCGAATACAAAGTAGCGAGTACAAAAGTATCGGTATCGAAAGGAAAAGTACTCGATACCACAAAGTATCGATACTTTTTTCGTGTCCCTAAGAGTAGGCAAGTATTCAGTTAATATTAATATTGATTCATAATTTTTCAAACAGTAAAATAACAAACTTATGTTAAGTTTCCATGTTTCAAAGATGATGAAGAACAAAGAATTACTGAAATAACTAAAAATCACTGAATAATAAGTATTTATTGCTAATTTGAGTAAACCGATAATTACCAGTTTACGCTTTTACATAGTCTGTGAATTCAATTTAGATGCTCGTTTACAGCTGTCAACTGTGTTTTTAATTTAGTTAGCTCGCAATTTCAGATTACCAATTCTCTAAACCTAAACTTAAAATTAGCTCTCTAATATTAAGTTTAGGTTTAGAGAATGTAACGCCAGAATCGGGCCCAGTATTTGATCCCATAATATAGGTTTTTTTTTGTATATGTATGAAACCGATGTGCTTCTGGCGGGTCACGACACGACACGACACGTTAATATGTTTTTGGCTTTATTATTTTAAGATTATATCGATGTATACTGTGCTGCCATGGTTCGTCCCTAGCGATATTCCTTAGGCTATGGTACAATATATTTCAATTGGTCCACCGAGAGATATTTGAGAATTGATCCATATACAATAACGTTTATTGGTCAACTGCTGAACTGTCTTTTCGAGATGTGGAAGGGATTGAATTTAATTGGATCATAAAGCGTCAATAAAAATACGTGAATACCATTCGTTCTATCAATCTTTCATTTGATCGCACGCCTGACAGGCGATGCGCGTGGCTCTGTGATGGCCCTGTTTCACACTTTTGTAAATTCAACATTTTTATGATATTTATCTACATAGTAACTTCCATAGTGTAATTTAATTTAAATTATTTTATTTATGCCTTTCTCAAATATGGCAAACCAAACTCAGAAAATCGTTTACAAGCTGGTTCTAACCGGAGGTAAGTTCCTAGTTCATAGAGATAATATTTACTGAAATCGAATTAATTTAGACATAATCTCGCTGTAGTCTTAAATAAATTGGTATACCTAATGTTTGTAGAATAAGTACAATATTGTTTTTTTTACTTGTTATTAGTGTACTTACAAGTGTAGACCTAGAAAATATGAACAAATAGCATCTAACACGTGGTAGTAAAAAAATTATGAAGTGACTCTTAATTTTTTGTGTTTTTTAGGACCCTGTGGTGGTAAAACTACTGGACAATCACGTCTTAGCACTTTCTTTGAAAACTTAGGATGGAAGGTAATTTTTTTGTTGTTCTTTTGATAGTCTTTAATCTAATAAAAGCTATATATGCTGCCTAACTGCCTCTAATTTGTATATTAAAAGTCAAACATTTTGAATAAGAAATATATTCTTGAAATATTGCTACTCCTATAAAAACCTATTCTAAGGTTTACTTAATACTTTAAAATTTTCTGTTTGTATTATTATTTTGTTTTTATTTAATGGGCACATTTAGCTATAGTACATTGAGTTTCTTGTGGTTTCTCCGTCTGGAGATCCAAAAAGACATCGTTCCACAATGTGTTTATTTCCAGGTGTTCCGGGTGCCGGAAACGGCTACCGTGCTCCTCAGGTACGAAGTGCTACCATCTCGTAGCGAGAGAGTGCATGTTCACAATACCTTATTGGATTTTTTATTAATAACAACTTCATTAACTTTGAAGTTGATAATTTTTTTTATATTCAAGTTGATATCATAAAATCTTGAATTATTAGTTTCATAATGCATAAGAATCTTTAATTTTACAATGCAACAATAAAAATTAAAATTTTCTATAACATGGCATACATTAAATGTCTATTAGTTAAAATGATATACTAGAAATTAAAAAAAAATATTACCTTAACTTACTGTTTAAAATTTAAAGTCCTACACTGAATTGCTTATAAGTAGATTTACTGCAACCTAAGTATTTCTTTTTCAGTGGTGGTATAAAGTTTGCAGATCTCTCCCCAGATGAAGGTGAGTTACTTTCTCGATTTGATATAAACAATGTAAAATTTTATCACAACACCAGAAAAACTTTCCTTCAACTTATTTTGTGAGAAAATGTAACTTCTATTTTTCCCTTTAGTTTATATGTTCATCAAATATTTTTTTTAAGTATAAGCTTGAAAATGTGGAAGATTAACTGAGGTACATTTAGCGTTTAGGTAAATTATAAGTGGCTCTCAATTAAAAATAATCACTGAACACTTGAACTGAATGGCTTCAGCAGTAAAAAAAAATCAATATGCCACTTATATTATAATATCATAAATATGTCTTGTGTTCCTATCTACTTTTATCTTAGACCTTGACAATCTAGGGGAGACACCTAGATAACTATAGCTAAAACCTTGGGTATACCACTAATGAATGTTGCTATTTTACTGTTAACAAAGATTTCAGTTCTATGGGTAGTCGATTTTGTTCATTTTGAAAGAGCTCAAATATTAATATTTCCAGGAATCAATTTTCTTGATGAATATATTTGTCTTTTATGTTTAAGGTGGATATTAGGGACAGCTTTTGCAAGGTTTTATTATTTACCTTCTATAATATATTTTATACATTACATATTTTTTTTTATATTTTAATCTCTTTATCTTTGTCAGTATTGTGATGTTGTTATAAGTAGGTAATTTTATGGATATCAATCTGTAAAATTACCTAAAGTTTATCTGCCTCTGGAGAGTTGTTTACTATCGAAGCATTGTTGTGCTATTTAGGCACGTGCTGGGTTTACCAATAAATTTAACAACGCTTTTATTTTCATCTAGCAAGTACATTCCTCAGAAACGAGATTTCTTGTTACAACTACAAAGTTTTTTGTTTCGTAGTGCGTACAATCATAATTAATTTAAAAAAAAAAACAAAATTAATTTTAAATGTAATAGGTAATTTGTTCAGTAGAAGTTGGCCAGAAACTGGTGAATATCCCTTGCCAAGATACCTACCTACTCGCTTTATGTATAGGATTAAAGTCCAATTAAAATAATCTACGTAGTCGTAATAAAAGCGAGACTTGTATCATGTTGCGTAACCGAAGCATTTGCTTTTGTTCTAGTTTAGCGATTAGCGGGGGATTTATTTTGGTTGCTCCTCAGCCGCGGTCACGTTTTTGTTTATTTTCGCCATGAATGTTTTAAGCGGTTTCTGTCTACGTAACCACGCAGGTAACTCCCGTTTTACTATGTGCTGCTTGCTTCCCATGGAAGGAATATGTTTATATATTTATTCTTTATGCACAAATGTACAATGGCGGACTTAATACCGTAGGCATTCTCTACCAGTCAACCATAGGATGTTGTGGAGATTATTAGTGGTAGGGTGCACAACTGAAGTGGAAATCACATTGAAAGAAATATATATACTGCTAAAATTATTTTTGTCGTTTAAGTTTAACTTGGCTATAAATCATATGAAATAAGAGCGAATTCTTTAAGTACCCACAAATCAAATAAAAAGAAGAACCATATACCTATTTTGAGTACCTTCTAGGCATAGGCACCGATTGTGGAGGCATTATACGGCTTCGTCTTCTATACTTACGGTTTCTATATGTATACTGCACGTGATACGTGGTAATGCTCTGACGTACTGATCCGTTCACGGTCACGTTCACGGGCATCTGCAAATAAATTACGCGTAGACACCACGCCTCTTAACTATGAAAATGTCATCCAGCATGACATTTTTTTTAAATATTTTCAAATGCTCACAAATGTTGGGAATCTTCAAAATTTCATACCTAACTAGAAAAGAACAATCATGATGAATCCTTAGCTTACCTACGTAAAGTATAAAACTCACTTTTTTTTTACTGCCCTACCTATATTGTTTTCGTTTTCTGAAAATATAACTAGTTGCTAACTCTCAGACCTAGTGTATTAACCACCGATTCTCAAACTATATAGAATACGCGCCCCGTTTTAAATCTAAAAAAGATTTTACTAGAAAAATTCTACGCAGACCCGGGACCCGAATCCGCACCCTCCGCTATCCGAGCGGGTGCACTGTCCATTATGCTATATATATAGCATTCAACATCTAGAAGTTAAATGCTTAAAAAAAATCACTAACAAGGTTAGTAAAGTTTTCTATTAGGCTGTCAGGGAAACTTATACTCTTACTACGAGATGTTTAAGTAAACAGGAAAAAATATATTATGCATACAGCATAATAAAGAATGGTTTTCCTATTTACTTAAATATGAATATGGAATCATATTCGTAATAATCTTAATTCACACATAGTGATGAAAGGACTACCACTCATATTTAGTATATATTTTTAAATACGGCAATTAAAGAGATAAATCTTTAAAAAGAACTCTACTTAGTCCTGACGGTAACCGACCCAATAGGCTAGTTGACCCTTTTTGGAAAAAGGTTTTAAATGGTTAATAAATGTTCTATTAGACCGAAAAAAAATGTATTGTATTTTTTTAAACCTAGAAAGCTACAAATCTTTAATTTTAAAATAGACTTTTCATGGACATACAAAAACGCTGTCGGCCATTTTAGTCTATAGATTGTCTATGCTATGACGTGAACTGTGGTAAACAAAAACTCGTAAACACGTAGAAAATTACTTTTAACTGAGTTTAAAAAAATCATGATTTCTAATAAATACCACGAAAAATAGAGTAATTATCATTACTGTATTGTACGAGAATATAAAAACACATCCTTGAAGACTCCAGGAAAGTTGTGGATTAAAGTGCGGAAAGAAATTAACCTACGCAACTTTATTACACTTATTCATATGTTGTATCAGTTTTATGTTTATTACTACATTGTAATACTAAATGCACTGTACTTACATAGATGCCTTGTCGTTTCTCTGCTCCGCAGAGCAGAAATCGGGGTTTAGTGCAACAAATTCACCAACCATCAATGCGTCAATTCTTGGCAGATTTGTGCTTTCTGCTTTCACAAAGCCGGCATCCATAATTTGTTTAGTCAAAAAAAAACTAAGTTTACTGTTTTTTTCTTTCCTAAAGTTAAAAGTGTTTTAAGATAGATTTAGTCAGACGAAAGAATCCACCTACAGTAACACGCGAATGACATTTAGTTGTTTACCACAAGAGACGTCAAAATCATGGCGAATGTGGCGAACAGCGTTTTTAGTGTTTAAAAAATATAGACTAAAAAATATTTTTTAAAACTAAATTTCTACAGCAATCTTCTGCTTTTATGAAGTGAAATCGATATATTAAGGTTCCTTAGACTAAACACTTTAAGAAATAAACATTTATTTAATACAATTCGACATGAGTAAACTAGCCTATTGAGTCCTTAAACTCTGAACCCTGAGCTTTTAGGAGTCTACAACTGTGGTTCAAGAGATAGAGCTCTGTGACTGCGACAGACGGACAGAAGAGGAATGTTCCTTTTCCGCTTGTCACCATATAGGTACAGAACTTTGCCAGTCAAAGTGGGTATCTAAACTTATTCGGCAATCACGGCGGAATCACTTATTTAATTAGCATCAGCCCTAAAAAAATAAGGTAGTCGCATAATACTTTTCATGTCCTGATTTCAGTTTTTCCCTTAACAGGTCGACGCTGTCAGCGTTTAAAGGTTTCTTTAAATCTTGTATCGCCAAACATAAAAGAGTAATACACGGTATCTTTATTTAGATCCTGGTATTGTTCTTCAGTTTTCAGTACAACGAAACGAATAATCCATGTTTACCCGATATTGTCAATGTTTACTTTTTGACATCCGAGGGAGAAACCCTTTCAACAGCGAATCCACAAATTCAATGCGAGTTTTCCAAGTGACGCAATACCGCGTTTGAAAACAAGAATTTTACGTAGGAAGTATTGTTTGCATCTGCTTTATACCGCTACACTATCTATAGCCCCGACCGTAAATGTTAAATAATATTGTTTTACTTAGATAGACTTAAGAGTTTTAAATAGAATCATTTGAATAAAGTTTATTTTCACGCAGAAATTCTAGCTTTCCAGATTGTATGATAAGTTAGTGCGACAAACTAATTTGAAGCGTATTTTACCAATAGAAATTACGGTTCACTTACTGACATTGAAACAAGTTTCTTTAGAGTAAATAAATGTTTCGCCATACTGCCTTTGTTGTCTTGTCGCTAACAATATCAATGTTTCGTAAACTATCTATAATCATGTCAATGCTGCCTGTATAAAGACAAGAGAAAGAAATTGAAAATGAGATATTAAACAGTTACGAAATTTTAATTTCATGGGGTGACCTCGCACTCGTTTTGAATGTAACCTTAGTTCTTGACATTTTCACGTTTCAATTATAGTTTATAATTGATAGATTGCTTTCCTTTGAAAAGATAATTAACTCATTTCTAAAATTGATAGCAACAAAAATATTCTGACTCTATGGCTTTCTTGAGCGAAGATTAATTTGAATGTTGTAGCTGAATCACCTGCAAGTGTTTCAGGAGAGATGTGCCTTACAAATTGCAAACGGTGTGCCACTACGGCATTAGCACAGGCAAGCGAGAGTAACTGTGGTGAGTTGCCACCTTAAGATTTGCTCACACCATGCATGGGCGTAGCTTGCGGGGAGGGGGTAAATCCCACCTTAGAAATCTATCTGCCCTCACTATATTTTCCGAGTTTCATATAATTTAAACAATTATTTGATTTTTACGGTATATAATGCTAACTGGGCCTTTGCACCCTAACCCGGGAAAAATCAATTCCCCCAGGAGCGTATTTTGGCAGCTGAGCTGTGAAGATATAATGGCGTGGTTGAACTATATACGAATTCTAGGGAAGAGGGGAGTGCATATCGTAACTGAAACAATCCCCTCCCCCTAAGAAAATTTCTAGCTACGCCCATCACACCATGTAAAAAGCTATAATGGAAACATGGTTTTAGAGCGCTATATATATTCTTCGACATGGCAACTGACCGTATCCAATTTCATGAGGCTCGTTATCAGACTGCTCATTAGTATGCCAGTGTCAAATTCATCAAGTTTCGCTTTCGTATAAACAAACCTGTCAATGAATGGCACCCCTCACAGAGCCTCTACAAACAACTATTAATTGACACATTAATTGTATACAGCCTGTAAAACATAAAAGTTCTTCCTTCCATTTCACTATTATTATTCCAATTTAGAGTATCTACGTCATTGGAGGTGTGTGAGTTGAGTTATATGCCAGATGTGTTTAGCGGTGCCAATTTTAAAGTTCACAAAGCATGATCCAGCACATGGAAATATGGCAGCACATAAATGAATACTATTTCATAGAAAGTCAACACTTAATGCAACGAAGGGAAAATATAAAATTATAGATTTCAATTTCTTTGGACAACAAAGTTTGCCAGACATTTTGTCATCGGGACAATATTATGTAAATGAACCAAACACGATAAGTTAAAGTCGACATTGGGCACGCGATGTCATTTATATAGTTATCGTTTATCAACTTTTTCAACCACTGATTGCGCATTAATTCACATTGTAATAAAAAATGAACGAAGCTAAATATTATATCGATCATTATACAATAAAAAAAATATTATGTAATGGCATGTCAACCAGTAGCTCAATAATTAACCTTGCTTCACCGAAATATTTATTTAACACTGGTAAGTTCGTATGAATTGAAAAATCATTCAATACAGTGCGAAATATTAAATTCTTAAGGAAAACCAGTAAGTTAAAAATCAAAAAACCCTTCTACGGTACTTCCCGTGATTATTATAAATTAAAAAGGCTGTCACGCATTAGCAAATACCGTGCGATAGGGACGACAGTAGTTGCCGCTAAAAATTGCATGTAATATTATTATTATTAAATCTCCACACCAGACGTCCTTAGTGGTGATAAAAATTTGATTATTTTTGTGGGCTTCTAGTTTCTTTGAAACACAAGTTATCGAAAAAAAGAAGACAGGAGCATAGAATGAGTAAAATTATATTTTATGTATTAAAAATCTATTCTTTAGTGATAAAAATCAAGTAGGAATCGGTCGAGAACGTTTGTGTGGAAAAACATTGCCCGCTCCCCTCTTAATGTAATAGCACAAAGTCATAAAATCTACATCGTAAATAAAAACAAATTTACTTCTGTCATGCCATGAAGCTAAATTGACCTTCACAAATTCAATTACCGCTACCAATACAAAGAGTGATAAAGTACGAATTTATAAGGAAATAAATACTTCAAAGAAAAACAGGAACATAGCTTCAAAGAAAAGCCAATTTCCGCTATGCCAATATTATTTATCAATGCCATAAAAGAGAGTTACAGAAAAAAATGTAAATGGTTATCTCAAATATATTTAAATCAAGTATTTTTTAATTTCAATATCAACAAATCTGCAGTATGTGCAAATACTTAAATCGTTTAGATATTCCGTATCTTGATTGATAGTACCAAAATTCGACATTACGTGCTCAGTCAAGATAATCTTAAATTCATCGCTTGATCATTTAGAATTGCTCTTGTATCATTGACAAATAAAATTATTTATATTCTTATTGCTGTCGATTCTGACATGATTATCTAAACTTAAAACTAAATTTATCACGAGTCTCTTCCTTTTCATTCTGTAAAGAGAATGACAGGGATACACAGTTGTCAAATTTAAGTTTAGGTTAGAGAATCATGCCAGAATCGACACCATTGTGTACCCAAAAAAAATAGTATGTTCGTTTTTTGTAATAGGCAATATAATCAAATTAAATTTTATTTTAAAGGTGAGGAATAATGGTATTGTCATGGAAAATATAAAGCAGTCTACCTAAAACGAGTTCATTGGCAAGTAGCTGAAAATAAAACGAGATCGTCATGGCCGCCAGATCAGCTCCCAAGCCAGAGTCTTAAATGTGTTGTTCATTATTATTTTTTCATCAGTACCCAGCCAAGGATCCTTATTTAAAACACTTGTCACGTGTCCGTCATTCATTTTCTTGAAATATAATTCTGTTGTTTCAAATATGCCCGCGGATTAGCGCACCAATTTTAGTAAAGTTACCTCAAATAAACTATATTATATTACAATTATATTTTAATTATATATGTAAATATTTGTTATTCTGATAATAAAAAATAAAATAAGTAGGCTAATTACATAGAACGGAACCTACATTCTGTAGGTAAATAGGATATTTTGTGGCTAGCCGAGAAGAATGAAAGATGTGCCAGTACCTAGTCATCTATACTCATTTCCAGTTACGCTAGACATCGTTTAAAAAAAATACAGTAAATAGTTTATCAGGCCTGTACATATATAACACGCTGTTTTTATTGGAGTGAACGTATTAATAAGTTTTTTTAAATAAAATGAATTTGGACATCATTCAATTTATTGGCATCACGACACCATTATTACATTTTTACGTCAACAATTTGTATGCGGTAATGATTTTCCACGCCCCTCCTCATTGTCGTCGGTCTCGTCACGCGCTTCTTGCTCGTCTGACGTCGCTGTAATTTCAAACTCGTGATTGGTCTAAACATTTGCCAAAATTGAGTCATTCATATCCTTTTCTATGAGAATTTGTCAGATTACTAAATTTTTTATATATTTTTAAGTGGTCATCGTGGTTATCTACCACTTGTGTATCCTGCTATGCATTTCAGAGAAGTAGGTAGTATTTTATTTTCCGAGCTAATTGGAGTGCCAGTCTGGGGAAGTACCATATTAAATACCACATTGAAGTAACACTACCTTATGGCGGTGTTTAACTCAGCCCTGAAACCTTACTTGGTTTCTGAACTCCACGAGGCTGGGAGTAAGATTAGGGTAGGCAAGGCAACAGGGTTGCAAGCTTAACGCTTGCAGATTCCTACATACGCTTGTTGGCTACCCTTTTGAAATTTAAAAGACTAATATAATTCGTGACCATTGTTGATGTGGACTAGTAAAAGACCATGACCTACCGTGCGTTTCAAGTTATAACAGTTTTTTCTTGCCTTTGCAGTATTGACATGATTTTTTATGCAAGAGCTGTTTTTGCTGTGTAATGGAAACTTAAATTATTGTAAATGGTGACATGGTGGAAACTTGTCGCTTAGTTATACAAAAATATTGGTCGCAGTTTTGTATACTATTGAGCGGTGGTGATCACAAAAAGTTTGTTTTTGTTATTTTGAACTAGTTCAGCGAGATATATCCAATTACACGGTTAAACTGTTATCTATATACTTTTAAATTTCTGTTTGTGCACTTTAATGAATAAGGAAATACTTCTTCTATATTATTGAAAGTAGCTGAGACTTTGACTTGAAGTTCTTGCAACTTCGGTGGGGTTGAAAAATTGGTGCCCCATACCAAATTTCTTTCCTTATTTAAATTTAGTTGCATTTCCATTACAACTGTCTCCATCTAACTCATTATCAAATTCAGCGCAATGGACAAACTCATTTTCGCATTCAGGATACTTATGTAGAAATCACATTAACTAGGCAAGCTCATGTCAAAAACTAAATAATTAAATTCGTTACTGATAGATGTTGTTTAAGTTAGGCTCTTTAATGATCTCTTTGGTAGGGCTCATAATTTTCATAGTCTACCATAATAATATATATTCTATTTGAAAACAGGTTTTATAAAATTAAAGATACATCATCATATACCTACTTTCATAGATTGCTGAAACTTGACAAGTTCACATGGCTATTCGTATTTGCTATTTGTGAATTTTTCAGCAGTCTGTCATTTCTTATACCCCATAGAATTTACAAATACGTTTGCATTGTGAAGTGCTAGCATGGTGTTGTTTGGCTACAGACCAATATTATTTGAGAAATTCTGTTCTGATATGACGTAGACGTCCTTTTAAATATAACTTGTTATACTTGTATAACACAGTACACTAGTAAATTTGAAGAAAACAAAAGACTATTACCATCAAGTTTGCAGACGTTGATTGATTTACTGTCTGCCGTTATTTGCGTTTAAATTTAAAATAAACCTTCGTGTTTGTGTGCCATTTCATTTACTTCAATGTCCATTTTTTTTTAGTTTTGCTTAATATTTTTTTTCTTTATTTTAAATTGATTATTTATGGGTTCCATTTGGAAAGTGTCCATCACCTTATAGAATAGTGTAAAATAGTCATATTATAACACATTTATTTAGTGTTGTATTCATGCAACAAGTGAAGTTGCCAAGACACTTCTTCTTTGTAACGTGGAGTTTATTTTTTAGCTGCGGATACAAATGAGAGCAGAAACTTTATTTTTCTCCACAGCTAAAAAGGGGTCCATAAGGGGTTTAACCAACTATATTTAATACAATATAGGGTTTTTATTTCATTGGGTGTAACTGGTGTAAGGGAAACATTTTTGAACTATACAAAAGAGTTTTTCTATGCATATAATATGAATAAAGATATTTTACCAAAGGTAGGCCGCTGTTTTAAATTTTGAGTATAATAAAATGGCGGTGGCGATAAGGTAATGCTCAAATCTAAAAAAGGCAAAATAAAACCAAAATAAATAACTCATGTTAAAAAAAGCTCAAGGCGCCTAAAATAGTTTATACTTCAATAAATGAAGTGTTGTAGTACCAGATTAAGATCTAACATCGTTGAAATAAGTTATCTAGCATTCTCTCTATAAAAGTAACGCTTACCTAGTAAATGAACTAAAGTTAAGTGGAATTAAAAAACCCATTGACCCATCGTGTCTTCAGATATCTATCTGTGATCAGTTATTGCAGCATTACACTGATTGAAAACTGTAACCTACCATCCTGTTTTAACTGGGTAGATTCGGCAATGCGATAAAAGTAAAATTCTATCCTCGAGCATGTTTGGTCATTATTAAGACTGATAGATCGGGGTATAAAATTAACAAAAAACATCTCAGATTTTTCATCAATACAGTGTATATCATCTGCTATGTCCTTTATCATGAACATCATTTAAATTAAAACCTAATCTAAGTGTGCAGCAATAGATTTTATTGAATTAAAGTTCCAATAATGTTTTGAATCGTTATTCTCTTTGTTACAGCCTTGAAATTCCAGGAAAACCTTCTGAAGACTATGATACAGCTTGAGAATACATTCTTCGAGCTGGGTCGCACTTGCCAAAGGAACTGTCTTATCATTTGTGACCGCGGCGCTATGGACGCTAGTGCATGTAAGAACTTTAGTTTACTTAATGCCTATATTTTTTTAAACATTCATATTTTACACTGCGTAAGTTTCTATTCTTGTTGCATCGTAATACTCTTTTATTGGAACAAAAAAACGATCATAAATAAGAGTGAAACTCTGCTCTCTACCATTTGTTTTAAATTATTTAGGTTCAACTAATGGACATTAGTATTACAAATCACATTAAAAATACCTTAATTAAAATCACTATTAGACATCGCCGTAAGCGTCGATATGTCTCGCGAGCCATAACTATACCTAATGAGTGTTACAATTAATATCAATACTACATAATAATTAAGCGTACGTCGCACATCCAACTAATTAACGTTTTATAGTTTATTGTCTACAGTGATTCTCAAAGTGGTCTATGTTGACCCCTTAGGGACCGTGTCCGATAATTTGTTATATGGCTTGCGCATTAATTTTATATAAGATAACAAATATTATTATCTTATTGTTCGCTTTATTTTATCGATATTTATTTAAGAAAAGTTAAATGAAACCCTTTCATAACAGGTAAAACAGTGTCATAAATATAACTACTTTTATTGACGTTATTACGTTTGTAAAAGGCTTAAAAACTTTTAAAATCTTCATATACGCATTTCCGGTTATAATAAGGTACTCTGTGACAGATACTGTGTGATGATTGTGAATGGACCACAGATTAGAGAGAATTTATTGAATGAATTTAAACTCTCGTTAACCAAAGAAAGCTAAGAGATTTAGGTTATACAGCCATATCTTCTGTAACATAACAAAAATTATGTTTTTAATATAACCATATTTTAGATTTTTAGTGTATCACACCTTATAATGTGTTTATAAAGGTGTTTGGCGAAAAATTTATGGCAATGGACTTTATGATGTCGCCTACAATCTATAATAATTGTCTTAGCACATTTGCATGTAGTGAAAATGATAATATAGTTGTGGATATTATTACCACTGTGTAATAAAAAAAAAGTTTTATTAAATCGATCTTTACAAAATAGATTAGTTTTGATGTTATGTAAACAGCTTCAATCAGTCTTTGGCTGAATGTTACTACACCCATAGCCATTAAAAATGATTCGTATGTTTTCCAAACTGTAAAATTAAGTCCTTTTTAAAATGAATATATTATACTAAACTGTCCGTTAAAATCTAATGACTGTAAAATAAAGTATAAATTACGCCAAGAATTACAGTATATGTCAATATTTTTTGTACATTTGGGCCAATTTGAGCAATCTCCTTTCTTTGTTCGTGTGGCGGCCTCTGATCCAAGCGCGATATGCCACCTGCTTACGTGAAACAGCATCAACACAGTGGCGATTGAACCAGCGGTTACGTGTGCCCTTACTGATGAGATGAGAATGTGGAATGTAATACTCTATTCCAATTACGATCTTCTCAGTAATAGCCGATAGGTTCAAATAAATATATACACGCTTTACCTGTTAAAAAAGTGTTTCATTTGATGATAGCAGTGCCTGAAAAATTAGAAAAGTTTCCCGCTTATTGGTTGTTTGTTTCGTTTCAGTTATTTCAAAAGAGAAGTGGGAGGCATTGTTGTCTAGTAACAACTGGAACAGCGTTGAGTTGCGCGATAACCGTTACAACCACATAGTTCACATGGTTTCCGCCGCCAATGGAGCAGAAGATTTCTACTCTACCGAGGTAAGTCAATCAATGCCATGTAAATAGGCCTGTATCTATTCTTTTACTCCAATGCTGTACAAGAGCCTGATAATAAATGGTATCAATGAAAAAATCAATATTGTTGATGTACTTTAAAATTTTAAGTGTTGATTCTGACAACATTTTTAAAATTTTTTGAAACTGAAAATGTGATGTCCTTGAGTTTGTAGTCGTGGGTCACTCACTCCCCTATGGCTCATACTTACTTTAAGACCTTATAGAGGCTCATTAAATTCAGTACCCCGTAGCATGACGGGGGCTGCAAAATTGTACAAGGAATAAGTTTTTTTTTTATTAAATTACCTACAGCTTTCATTAAAAGATAAATTTATAGGCGGTAAAATTTGTCGTCATTACGGCCGGTTAAACCCACGTCATTGGCACCTATCTATGTATTTTTGTGATTTCGTTCCCAGAGTATGCGAGTTTAGGTCAGTGAGCTTTGGCATTAGTATCGCGACGTCGACGTCCATGAACCTCTGCATTATAACTTACTATATCAAGAGTACTGTGTAGGTACTTATCTCCTTTGATAAAATATAATGAAAATGTTTGTTGTTACAAAATGATAACAACTATAAATAAATACAAAGTTTTGAGGTAAATTATGTGCTTGTGCCTTAACAATCATGATCATTGATAGCACTGGTGCTGTAGGCTTTTATACATTAAATTAAAGGTGATCGAGCAACAAGGGGCTGCTATTCTTGAAACCCCATCGGTCTTCTACAAACCGCAGTTTCGTAACTGGTTTATCGAAACCAGGAATTATTCTTCCTTGTACGTAACCGTGAATCATAGAGTAAAAGCAGTTTTTTTAATAATACTAGTGAACATGGCAAAAAAATCACACTGTTGAAGTAAAATAATGGTAGAAAGCGGCTAGCAACATCAGTCTGTCTACACTATACAAACTGAACTCCATTGCACACTTTTTAGGTTCACACTACAGTGAATCATTTTGCTATTCCTTTTATGAAAAAAGTCAAAGATATTGTTTCTACCCCAGCATTGACTTGCATTTAATTAAAATAACTAATCGTAGTTTGTTTAACGAATGAAAAAAAAATGATTACATTGTTTGTTAGACATTGTGTAGGTACACTTTATTAAATACCGGTTCCTATCCAATCCAATCATCTATGTATAATGTTGGCAAAATAGTCATTCACGTCATCTGTGGAATAGGGTCACCAGTCCTCATTCACTTATAAATAGTGTTCTACTGTTATCGCGATTCAACCACATGACATGTTTTTATTACTGCAATTAAAATTAAAAATATTTGAATTTGTAAGATTATTAATATTAATTGAATAGAACCACTTGTAAAACGTTGGAGCCTTTAGAAGTTTACAATATGGTTTAAACGATTAGAATTTCATTGGCAACCTTACCTGTAAATATTTGCCATCGTCAACTTTGGCAATATCAGACAATGATTCGTAATATTCTGATGACGCCCTTCCTAGTCATTTTCCGAAATTATGTTAGCTGATGACAGATGGTGATTTCATTGCGAAATAAACAATTCTCCCTTAATTAACAATCAGCCAAAGAAAACTTAATAGCTGTTTTCAAGGCGGTGACCAGAAATAAATGCCATGAATACGTCACACTCACATCATTGTGTTCGAACGAATACGAACAAACACAATGTCTATCTCTGTGTTTATTTATATTGGCGTAAGAGCTAAGGCTACCCGAGGAGGAAAAAGTGTAATAATTGTTATTTCCTGAAACTTTTTCACAATCTGCATTAAGAACTGGTTATTTCATTACTAACCATTGCAAATGAGAAATGTTTTCGTATAAAAAACACTAATTGAAGATTGCATGTTTTTGTACTATATTTCAAATGCAGTAATTATAGGGGTCAAGCTTTTCTGTATAATTCTAACCCGCTGTACTGGTTTTGATGAATTTCGGTATAAAGGGGATTGTGGAGAACAACTTGCTCACTTACTCTACGTCTACTTTTGAGCTGACCCAATCCCCTACCGCGTGTAGCCCTGGAACCTTACTCACCGAAAGAAACTCAACACCACCGAAAGGTAGAATTATTTTACTGTGGCGCTTCAATCCCAGCTGAAAATCCGCGATGCCCTACCCCTCGCCATAAGCCGAAAGGTGTAAAATTATGTATCCATGTGTTATTTTCCATTAAAAATATACTCTGTCTAATACAATATTGTTTTGTTCCCAAAGTAAAGAACTGTTATCAATAGGATAGGAATTTATGAAAAATACCCGTATGTGATTCACGGTCAGCTTTTGATAAATGAATTATTTTAAAATTAATGATTCATGGAAAATTCAGAAATGTTATAGTACATCTTATTGGTAGTTGTATTGTGGAAACGTTTTATCGTATTTTAATATTTATTGCTTAGATGCACGTGCTTATACAGCAGTATCGTGGTTTCAAACGTGATATTATGTACAGTGCACACACATACGTCTTGTCTACTTGATCTGGACGAGTTGAGAGCAATATCCGCCGTAACGAGCGAATACATACTGTAAATTTTGCTTTGTATGTACGGACTCAGTTATCACAATCAATATCACGTGTGTTTACGTAAAGGAGCGATTTTATATTATCATTACATGCACCTTGAAACAATGATGTGTTTATCAGCAACTTTCTGATCGGGAAGTTTAGTTCCTGCGCATTGAATGTTTGTTAAACTCCCGCGATCCAATAAAACAGATGGGACTATTGCAGTAGTATATTGATACCTTTTCATTATCTGCAGTAAATGTTAATTGCTCGCAGACCTGATACAGACTTTTTTGACGTCACGCGCTTGTATAACGTCTTGTTACGCGCATTGCTTACATATGTTTTATTCTGCTGATCTTGCATTGAATAATGTTATGTCTAGGTTGCGCCATAACAATGTTTATGTGAAGAATTTGCTAACGACTTCGACTTTTCTCTTGGGAATTTTGGAGATTAATGGTAGCCTACTCCGTTGCCACTCTTCGTATTAAGGACCACCCATTTGCACGAATGTTCTCTAATTAAAATTATCCTTCGATCTGAGACGAGTAGGTAAATAATAAGCATGAAAACCGCAAAATGGAAATTACTAGATATAAAAATTAAAGTATCTATATGTTTAACACACTTATCAATGAACACTACTGCCGTATATTTTTCTAAGGAGTATGACTTTTATTTGCATCTTTACGAAAAAAAAACATAGGGCAAAAATACGATAACACGTTTTATTGAGCCGCTGTATACATAATATACATCAGAGTGTACATTTCCATGCTTTTGTCTAATGGATTAGTCATTATCATATTATCCTCCAGTCCACCATTATTATTAAAATGTAAACAGACGAGTTTGTATGAGGCAATGGAACCACTTTATTAAGATTACACTGCCGATCGTGGGTTTTCAGCTCGAATACAATTTGGTTATGTAAACGGTTGATGTCATTGCCAAGCGAAACGGATAATTGAGCCTTTAACCTCGTTGTTTGTGTACAGGACCATGCGTGCCGGTCGGAAGGCGTTGAACTCGCCCGAGAATTGGACTACAACGCAGCAGCGTCTTGGATTGGCCACCCTTACTTTGACGTGATCGACAACTCCACCGATTTTGACAAGAAGATGAACAGACTCATCGCTTGCGTTTGCCAAAAGATCGGCATAGACACCGGGGACCGGCTCAACGTCAACTCGAAGAAGCGCAAGTTTCTCGTCAAGTCTCCCCTCGTGCCCGACGCGGAGTTTCCTGCCTTCCAAGATTTCGACGTCGTCCACAACTACTTGCAGAGCGATGTACGCAAGGCTCAAGTCAGGCTTCGGAAGCGCGGCCAGAAAGGCCACTGGTCTTACATTCACACTATCAGAAAATTCCATCCAACCAATGGACAGTCTGTTGAAGTGCGGACGCAGTTAAGCCATCGGGATTACTTGAACATGCTGCAGCAAAGAGATGACGCTCACTTGACTATTTATAAAAAGCGTCGTTGTTTCATATACAACAATCAATACTATCAGCTCGACATCTACAAGCAACCCACGCATCCAAGGTAATTAAAATAAAAATAATATTTTATATGAATGATGTATAACCTCTTCCATTTAAGGCATTGTCCTAATACAACGCGATCATCGCACGTTTAAACGATGCGACCATCGCGTGATCGCGAACTGGGTGTCTTAATAGAACGCGAATACGCGATCACGATTGACACACAGTTTGGTCGGGTTAGTCCTGCCCCTTTCCCCGCTTCCTATAGACGCGACGCGATCATCGCGCGAACTTTAGTTAGGACACCTATTCATCATTATTAGGTTTGATTGCGCGTTCGCGCGAATAGATTTTTAAACATTTTAGTCGCGCGAATGTATCGCGCGATCGCCTATTAGGACACCTATTCTAGATCAATATGTTTGATCGTCGACTCGTACGATGATCGCATCGCTCATTCGCGTTGTATTAGGACAATGCCTAAGAGTATTTGATATATTATTTATAAAAAACTATTTTTATATACTTAGTACTTACAAAGACAACTTATATACTCACAAACATACTTAATATTCACCTTTTTTCATTCCTTGTTTTTGTGTGCAGTACTTCTAATAAAGGTAAAATCAATAAGATTTATTATAAATTAGATTTAGATGTTTATAGAAATAGTTTCATCATCAGCCTATTAATGTCCCCACTGCTGGGGCACAGGCCCTTCTTATGGATGGAATAGGGAGTTAGGGCCATGACCCGCCTCGCGGGCCCAGTGCCATTGCCAGTCATTGGTTGATGCTAACGGCTGCAGATGCAGCTGGGACCAACGGCTTTCCGAAGCACGGAGGAACTCGAGATAGTAAATTTTTGGTCACCCATCCAATGACCGACCACTGCGAAAGTTGCTTAACTTCAACGATCTCAGCCGAACGCGCTAACCACTTGCGCAATCGAGCTCAGGCAATTGCTAGTTCCGACGAGGCTTACATAGGGCTTTACTCAAAAAATGCAAGGAAATAAATAAAAATTCTGTAGAAAAATAAATCAGAACCTTTTTTGTGGGGAAAAATCCCGAGTTGTTTTAGTTTCCCCACCAATCGTCGTACTTTTTGTTAGTCTGTTTTTCAAAGGGCACAGGTTACAGCCATACAGCCTAGAGGTTGGTTCATACAAAATAAAATAAAAAAAATAGATAGAGTAAACACCAGTTGTCGTATTTTTTGTTTGTCTTTATTTCATAGGGCAAAGGATACATATGGCCATACAGCCATTACACACTCGGTTTTTACATACTGAAGAAAAATAAAAAATTACAATAATAAAGTCTTGCACACGTCAAAATTAATAGTTATTTAACAAAAGTAGTCTCAGACTCTCAGGTAAAAGTAATGTCTATGAATAGAGAAAGTCTTTCATTTATATAATATATAATAACACTAGCTGATCCAGCGAACTTCGTACCGCCCTAAAAAAATAGGGGTTGTCCAGCGGACAAAATTGTGAATCTAACCCATTCTCAGATCCCCTTGAACACACACAAAAAATTTCATCAAAATCGGTCCAGTCGTTTAAGAGAAGTTCAGTGACATACACACTCACAGAAGAATTATATATATAAAGATATGTATAGATATATTAACATATGTATATTTCTTATTTGATTTGATAGTTGGATAATTATCAGAGAAAATAATTATCTTGATAATTTGCAACCCTGATTGCAGGTGCCGTGGTCTTATTCTTCTTGAGACGTACAGTGCTGCATACGACCAAGATACACTGCTGGCGTCTCTACCAAAGTTCTTAACTATAGAGAAAGAAGTGACTGGCGATCCCGCCTACTCTATGTACAACTTGTCTCTAAAAGAGGACTGGAAGACTTCAAAAAGGTATTATAAAGGAAACGACAGCAACGGTGAGTTAACTAGTTACGAAGTAAAATTTAATTGTTGTTGACATTTGAAGATCCATGTTTAGTATTTCATTCCAACACGAGTGTTGTTAATCATTTTTGCATGTTATTTATTCATGTGAACACTGGCGTAATTGTGTTTTAGAATATTGGACCTAAATAAGGCATGTTTTTTAAAATTTCTAATTTTTGACAGCAGTCTCTCCTTTTCATAAGCAATGTTTTGAGCATGATAAGGATATACTACTGTCGTATTTACTTAAATCTTTAAAAAATCATGCTACAATTAGGCCTACTATAAGATTATTTCATAGATTTTCGAGTAGTTTCCTTAGTTATTTCGTTTTATAGGTAGTTGTCGATGTCTTTAGTGCCACATTTTGACGTCCCATGCACTGTAGTAGAACCTAGTGAAGTCGATAGCTATTTCCCTGCCGGGAAACCGTAGATATTAAAGTCATACCATAATTTTGCAGATACAAAAGCTGTTAAGCTGGGATATAAATGCTCTGATAATAGGTCATCTAATAATTATAAGGCGTCAAATGTAAAGCTGGGACATCGATGCTGTGATAGTAAATCATCCACTGACGATTCCAATGACATGGATTAACATAGTTTCAAGAATTTATCATTAGAGGACATTAATGTTTAGTTTGACGGATTTCCCACAATACGCCAGTGTTTAGCAATTTAGGTTGTGTATAAATGTGTGGGTTTAAAGAGGACCTTTTTTTTTGGTTTACCAGGGCATGCTAAATGGTCGAACGGCCACAGTGATTGCAAACTCAATGGGTTTGATAGTAAAACAAATGGTCATAGAGATGATAAACTGAACGGTTACTTGTACGAGAATAGTAAGGTGAATGGCTTCAAAGAAGAGCACGAGAATAGTAAGGTGAATGGCTTCAAAGGAGATGTCGACGTAGGAGTTAAGATGAATGGTCACCATGGTGTGAACGGTCGACCGAAGAAAGTGAATGGCACTGCCAATGGTGCCATTCCCGTTGCTGTCATGGGAAACTTGCAGAATAATGCCCACAAAATGGATCTCGGTACACCAAAGATTCCCAAGGTTGCACTTAAGATTTAAAACGGATATACGTCTAGGTTTACCATAATATTGAACTGCATTAAGAGAATACAGTCATAAGTCTCGCTGGAGATTTTATTTCAATAATTTTTGGTTTTTATAAAAGTTTTTTTGGTTCTTTGCTTGCGCATCTCATCACTCTTAATGTATGCAGTAATAATCAAGACGTATTATAAAATCGCTTGGGATTTCCGTAGTTAAGTTTGAAACCGGAATTTATGGTAAGCCTATCTATTGTATCCTATTTTCTAGATGTAAATTTTATATAAAATTCCACTTTGTAATGTTTCATTATACACCAAATTGTAAATTAATGTATAAGAGTTGTTTAGATACACCTTATTATATAAACTAATCTAACTTGACATTTACCGCCAATATTCAGGATGTATGTATGTATATCTCGTATCTGCTGTGACGTTATTGCAAAAATGTATTTATTCATATTATTGTACAAAATGCCAAATAAAATCTATTTTTGTAGTATTCCTTGAGCATAATGTATATTTTACATATTATGATATTGATGCCACGAAATATCAATGCACTCTTATTATAAATAATGAAAGACACAAATTTATTGGAAATAATTTGTATTGTTTGTGCCTTCATATAAAAATATATATTGGGGAAAGTAAATGTGACACCAAAAGTGTTAATTTACTTTTTCTGATGTCTGTTAGAGTACTTAATGAATTGCAATAAATGTTTAGTATTGTTGCAGTATACTTAGATGGTTTTAGTAATAATTATACTTCGTCATAATTATTTAAATGTAGAATTTTATTACTTTCAATGAAATATTTCTAACTTTACATAGAGAAGCTATCGAGATCCTTGATGTGTTAAATAGCGTAAATTATTTTTTTGGTATTATATGTATGTAGGTGAATAAAATATTGCGCTATCTATTTCATTTGTAGATGTGAGACGAGTTTTGAAAATCTTGATGTCGTGTCGTCGTTCATAGTAGTTATTTAATATTTGAATCTGGAGTCCAATTTTTTTTAATTTGAATGAAATGTAAGATCTCCTACATGTATTTTAACTAAATCTACAATATTTATCATAACAATACCTTTTCTTTATGGTTTTCAATGAAATATTGCCACATGGTATGACTACTACACTATGTATAACTATGCAGTAAGTACTGTACTTACATCAAATGGATTTTATATGTAATTTAACGTAATTTACAAATGTGTTCGAGCCATGCATTGTCAGCATAACGTGTCTTAATATCAGCTATAGCTGTTAGGGAGGCTATTATTTCTTTGGCAAATGTCCACAACGGCATCGTAAATGGCTGTGCTAATAAAAGGAGATAATAAGCACCGCCTGTTGTCTTAGGCATGAGCGCCAACTCAACGAATATGCTAACAGCCTGTTTAAATACTTCCGGTCACTGGCGTAGCGTGAGTCCTTATTAACCCCCCCCCCCCCCCCCCCCCCACTAATGAGAACTGGTTTTCTCTTTAATAAGTCTTAAACTTTACACCTGTATTCACCACGCTATGCCACGGCTGTTGGTTAATGGTATACTTAACGGTTACTGTTTTGTATACTGTCTTCGTACTTAATTCGGTACATGATACTGTGACTAACAATGTTAGTTTTCAAACAAGATTAGGTACAAATTGCTTTGTGATACCTACTTTTAATGTTGTTTACAATCTGACATAACTCTTGACTGTTATTACCGCAGTGAAAGCTTATTTTGGATGTAAAAATCTCGAAATCGCATGTTTATACATAATGATTATGCATTGTTTCTTATTATAGAAGAAATGCGAAATTACATGGTTGTTTAATTTTCAATTTTAATCCTATTTAATTCTATGAGATAACCCTCTTCCAATGTTAAATGAATACTTTTACAGGTATTAAACATTGAAAGAAGAAATAGCAATTATAGTTATATTTTTTAAGTATTTTACTGTTAGATATTTCTATTTAAAGAAATTTTCACTAGAAAAAAATCCACACGGACCAGGCAGCAGACAGGATTCGAACCCGCGCTATCTCTTCGAATTGTAAGTCACCCTTGTAGGGCCGTGGTAGCATAATGGTCAATGCGTCCGCCCGGATAGCGGAGTTTGAGTCCAGTCTGCTGCCGGGTCCAGGATTTTTTCTAGAAAAAATTTCTTCACATAACAATCTATGAAGTGTTGTTACTGATGTGTTGATAAATATTATATTCCGATAATAGATACTGGGTTCTTGCCGAGTTCCGCTACGTTCACACGAAGTCATCAAAAAAGTTGCGTATTTTTGCACATCCTATTAAAAGTACCTAGTCAATTAAGGTGGTGGTGGTCAAATCAAGAAGAGATCAGAACTAGAAAAAGACCAAAGAAGAACAACATTAAACCCGTGAGACAGTGTGCGAAATATTTTAAATCTGGTTAAAATTTGAATTAACTATTTACACTGTACAGCAAATAAACTGGGCCACCCGCTTCATAGGAAAGAATTACTAAAAGCTATCATCATGAAACTGTCTTTCTGACTTACTTATCGTCCTACCCACTAGTTTGCCAAGACGGTCATTTTTTAGATCTCAGTAATCAATGTACATGATATGTTTTGTTAAATACTATATGAAGATTGCCAGTAGTGATTTAATATCATGCCGCGGTGCTCATGCGGAGGCAGCAAAGAACGCCACCTCCTTTCGCCAATAGAAATCGTGGTAACTACTCACTTTGTTCTGTGGCAGGTAATAATCTGTGTAATTTTGTAAAATCTGCCTTAGGGTACGACCACAGTGCACGTTGGTTCGGGTTTAGGTGTAGGTAGTTTAAGCTGGGCGGCCATAGTGGCAGCAGGCAACTGGTTGACCGCGTAGGGTTCGGAGTTTGGGACTTTACCGGAATGTTTAGGTCATTCTTGTTTCAGATACTGAATTCACCAGCGCCGCTCGGACTGCAGGTTATAGTATGTAACATTTTTCTTGGTTGTGTTATAAACAAACATTTAGTGCCTTGCTTCTTGATTTATACTTGAGAATTAACATAATGAATATTGTAGCGCTTATCGCTTAGACGACTTCCGTGGCCGAGTGGTTTGTACGCCGGGTTTCATGGTGTCGCCGACTCTAGAGGTCCCGGGTTCGAATTCCGGTGGGGGCAGATGTTTGTGTGATGAATACGTGCATTTGTACTCCAGTCATGGATGTTTAATATGTATTTCTATATAAATATACTTGTATATGTACAATATATGTATTCTATCCGTTACCCTAGTATCCCATAACACAAGCATTACAGTGCTTACTTTGGGGCTAGGCTAATTGGCGTGAGTGTCGGAAATATTTATTTATTTATCGCGAAAGTTTTTCTTAAACCTGCTGTATGGGATAAAAGAGACAAGAACCATTCAAATAGGAATGTCGTTGATAGGTGCTGGCAAAGTGGGTGTTGAAGACAACGTAAGGGTATTTAATATCGTTGGTTGAAGATCTATTAGACAAGTCCGTCCGTCTGTCTGTCTGTGGTGCTGTTTCAACGGCCAAACCGTAAGAGATAGATAAAGAGAATATTTAAGTTATAAGTTAAGAATAGTCTGATAAGACTACAAACCGGATTTGAGTAACGTAGCACTTCCGGTTTTCCAGAAATCACGAATTTCAAACGAAACCACACAAAATCTCCGATGTTCTCAGTTAGTTAAATACATTTTTTTTTTAAATCAGGTTTTGGTGAACATTTGGTTCACTGGTTTGCTAGTAGATCTTCATTAGACAACTCCTCCATGTTTACAACTGCGAACTGCGCGCCTCGCGTCCGCGTCTTGATTATCCGCAGTTGTCATATTTTTTTACAAAATTGTTCATCGAATAGTGATATTTATAATGGATTTCGGAACATTAGATATTTTCGTAAACTTTCTCCACAAAACACGACGATGCGACGCCACACTACGGTACGCCTGGCAGTGTGTAAACACTCGCAACGCCCGACTCTATTGTCGACCGCCACCGCTCCGCCTCCGGCTTCTGTCTTTTGGTCTTTAAGGCCGGCCGACTAACTAACACCTTAAAGGATGATTTCTAGGATAAATACATTCGGTGACATTTCCCACGACTCCACTGATCCCTATACTCTAGGCAAGTATAAATAAATATTGTTACATACAACTACATACTCCTTACAGTTAGGGTTTCTCAAAATGAAATAAAACACAAAATTTACTTCTTAGTTTCTCTTAGCTTTTGTTCTTTGTACATCTTCAAAACTTTCTTTCCTGGTAGTATCCCTTGGCTTAAGCCTGGTCGTTTTAATTTCTTTTTATCTGCTCCTCCTTCCCATACAGCATCATCTGTTGGTAACACTGTTTCCAGTTGTGGCGGTGGCAATGAAGACATAGTGCCCGCTCCCTCACATACAACAGATTTCAACTTCTGCAAATAATAAATTGTAGCACAAATCATCATATTTTACTTCATACAATTCATGTTTATTTAAAAAAGCTAAACTTATTCAAATTTATTTTGTCAATTAGTTTTTGACTTTAATGAAATAATATATTACTTTCCTGACCTGTTTCTCAGCATCTAATTCTTCAGCAGTCTTATGAACATCGGAATCATGTGCGTATTTGCAATTGTGCCCGAACCGACATCGGCCCTTACGGTAATTCCAACATATCTTCTTTCCATTGATCATCAGGGTGTCATCTTTACCTGGAACCTTACAGTCATTGCCTATGTACTTGACGATAATATGTGAAATAGGATTTAAATGTTTCCTAAACTAAAAAATTGGACATGAAAATTTTTAGATTTAAGTCTTGTAAGTATTTAATAAAACACTTCTCAAGTACATTTAATTAAATTTGTCAATCTTCTCAATGACTCATGATTAAAAAGCCTTAAAAGGATTCTAAGCATTTTTTTTATTAAATGCAGTTTTTACTTATTAAAACTGTTTTATTACAGATTGATGTGCTCAGTACTAAACAAAAGAATCTATCAAAGTGAATTTCCTATATCACCATCATAAATTTATGATAATAAATGCAATGAGAAGCATCTCTAAAAAAAATCTTAATCTTGTAAAATAGCAGTTTTACAAAGATATAAATAGGAGAAGAACAAAAGTAATTAATTATTGAAAGAAAGTCAACATGTACCATTTTCACATGTTTCTCCAGAATAGCAGCCTTTGCTAACTCAGCTTCAACAAATGGATTAGAGAACACTGATGTTTGTAGAGCAGCTTCGCCAAGTACGGGTTTGGGTAATTTGGGCTTTGAAGTGTTTATCCTGAAATACCAAAATTTATAGCAAATTTTTGCATATACTTTTCATAAATGGCTCGGAAGAATAAACCTACTTGTCCGTTTCTTCCTCTTGCTCCTGTTCTGATTCATTGGACGATGATGATCCATAATCCAGTAAAGCATTCATACTTTAATTGACAGATACAAAGGGCGCGTGTGCCCGAAAATCTATGAGAATGAATGAATAATGAAATTAAATTCAGACCCTAGCTTGATATTTAACAATCTACTTTTCTGTTGAATTTACTCTCACCACCCTCAACAATAAATTAATCTTCGGCAGACTCAATCAGGGAAGCAAATTGATGACACTGACATTCAGGGTTGCCAAACGAAGATTTTTTCCCGAGATTTAAGCAGCAAGCAGCTAAAAAGTGCTCTAAATTTTTTTTTAAAAGGCTCGCACTGTTTGTGCTTGTGCATTGGCAACGGCGCGTACAATGGACAACACACTTTTGAGTATCTTTAACTTTAACAAAATTATGTAAAATCGTTATGTATATTTGATTTTCAGATTGAAAATATGGATTGTAGCCTGTAAACGAAGCGATTTAGATAATTTATCAGAATAAAAGATGCCGACTATTTTAATAACAGTTATGTAGTTTGTTCGGATCATTTTCATATAGAATGCTTCAGAAATAAGGAATTATACAATCAGGGGTGAGCTTTCTAATGCTAGGATATGTGATTATCATCCTTATACATAATATGTTTTAGCTATTTACATAAAAATTTATTGAATATATTTTCTGTTTCAGACTACTACCAAATTAAATACCAACTTTGAATTTGTATAATGTTATAGAACCCCATAAAAGAAAGAGTCGATTTAAAATTAGTATTATGGAATGTGCAACAAGCAAGGGTGGATCCAGCTTTGGCGCCAGGGGGAGGTTATAATTATAGTCGTGGTCAAGTCACATTGTGAGGTGGGTACAGTTGGACCCAGCCCAGGGGGGTCATGACCCCCATGCCCCCCTCCCCCCCTGGATCCGCCCTTGGCAAGAAGGTAATATTCATCTCATATCCATCAATGCGTGCGCCATTCCGCCTGATTACTTGCCGTCCTCATCCAGCTACATTTTACTGTAAATCTTAGGCCTAATATTTTGTTCATTGGTGTCGATTCTAGCATGATTCTCTAAACCTAAACTTAAATTTGACAGCAGTATATCCTTGTCATTCTCTATACAGAATGAAAAGGAGAGACTGATGTTAAATTTAGTTTTAAGTTTAGAGAATCACGCCAGGTTCGGCACCATTATGTAGTTAAAAGAAAATACAATGAAATCCAAAGATAGAGAAGGAAAATGAAGACCCTCTTACGCCAACTGTTATTAGCCTACAGGAGAAAAATTTGAAATGGCGCAAAAAGAGACTAAGAAATAGGAGTAATCTCTTGTCAAAGTATGAGAAGAAATGCTCACTTTTGAAACAAAAGTAAATGCAGTCTGAAAGTACCAATTCTGTTACCCAATCTAAAAGAATGACTAAAGTTTGTAAACAGTTTATAAGATCCAAAGAAAGAAAATCAAGTAGTAAACATAGATTAGGGAGACGATATAATATCTGATAAAGAGCTTGCATTACAACTTTATTACTATTCCACAAAGCCATATTTAATATTACAAAAATATTTCTGATAGTTTTCCAATTACAGAGCATAATGCGACTCAGTGGCGCACAATGCCGAATTATGCTGATGCTTAATTGGAACGTCAATTAGTTTTCAAATGCACCAGCAGAGTGCGCTAAGTTCAGTGTTGAAAAAAAAAGTCAGTGTTTGTACCATGAACTTATAGATACTATAACTTCATGGTTTGTACCTTCATCCATACTTATATTTTTTTTTAACACAGTTTGAATTAACTTAGATTATTTAAAAAAAAAACTACAATGAAACGAAAGCTTTAAAAAAATTTCTACAGTAAATAATATTACTAACGATAGTAAATAAATAAAACATCTCGATCAATGCCAACTTAAAGAAAAAACACTAGTTAATTTTCTGTCACCGAGATGGTACGATTGTACGCATCACACGAAAACTTTACTTTTTAGAGTGCTCGATTGTGCGAAGCATTGCTGTATTATACTGACGTATATTTCGGAATACACCCAAAAATATTTTCGATGGACCCCTGTGTCCCCTGTTTTATCCCAAAAGTTGACTGAAAATATTCAATTATGTCTCGTATATAAGCATGCAGAGTATGCTTGGTAGTGGTCTCAATAATTCGTCTAATTAATTATGCTTTGCGGCTCTTTTAAATCTAAATTAAATAATGGTGATGGTGACCAAAGTGGTTTAGGAAACCTAAATGTAATTTTTGGACAAAACGGAAACTATATTAGCAGCACACTGTGATGGCCGTTTTGACGTGTGCCCATGAAGTCTCGAAATTCGTTCCTTAATGAAAGAAATAATTATTGTTCTTCATTGTCATTAGAGAAGTGCATTTAGTCATAAAATTTAACGATTCAGTAATTTAGTGCTTAAAATAAAAAATTACAAAACTATATTAGGTACTAAATTCCATTAGTTGTGGTGGAATTTCGGGGTAGTTTTGATGTGGGGGGGAGGAAGGGGTCTCCCCGACACCTACTAAAGATTTTAGACGGAAATGCATGTTTTTTTTTTAATTAACCTAACCTAAAAATTCATAAATTTTTTAGGATGCAAGGACTAGGAAAGTAAGAATCAGTACTTCTGCCTTATCTCCGGCGCTGCGGGAATAGCAGCCCCTCCACCTTTGCGTGACAAAGTCACAAGCATCACTCCCCTTCACACCTTCGACTTGTTGGTCGCCACCTCCGGCGGCCTCCGGGCTCTAAAAAACACTCTAGGGGTAGGGCAGACCAAGACCACGGCGTGTCGGGGTTGACCAAGTCGGTTCTGAATTAAAGATTGTTGTAAAGCCACATTTACCTTTTTTTCTAAGTGTGGAGCCCATACTATTTCTTATTTACCAAGTAAATAATAGCAAATATATTTTTTACCGACGAACACAGATTGACTGACATTTGAATGGGTACGCCCAAGTAGCCCTCCGCAGCGGACGGGGGTTGGTACGGTGGGCACTAGGCCGCGTACTCAGCCCCCAAGTGCGGGCCTACCTGTGCACGTCTGCGGGGTCCCCGCAATACCTCGGGAGACCCCTGCCGTGGAGCCCCGGCGAGGCCGGGAAGCTGCTGGATGCGGGCATGCGGAGAAATCCCTCACCAGGGATCCCGCGGCTCCGCATCAAGCAGTGTTGAAGGTATTCGCGGGACTTTTTTTAGCGGGTATTATGCCGTAAAGTACCCTTAAGAGTTGCGGGGTCCTCGGTGGGCAGCCACTAGGGGGTCCATAAGACTTGCGGATGCCAGGTGTGAGGTCCGTTCGGCGGTGTGCCTCTTAAAGGCGCCGTTGTCTGTTAACAGTAGTTTTTACCTGCGTAATAAAAAAAAGGCTAGAAGTGGTTTTGTTGCTTATTTGGAATATGATAGGTGAAGTTAATTTGGAATATTCCAATTTATGTACACATTACTTTTACCTTACCTTCTGTTTCTACTACTAATTGAGAGAATTAGCAATGCCAAACTGGTGAAATCGCAGCCAAAGGTTTTAGTGTTGGAGGCATTTTTCCATACAACAAAAATGTGAAATCATATTATTATCGTACGCACATTTTACGATAATTTTCATTATGATGCATTCCTGTGTACCCTCTTAAACAATACCACAAAGTTTTTGTTATTTACGAGTTTTTTTCTTTCTTTTTGCTTGAAGCGCTATCTATGGGTTTGTTTAATGAGCAAATGATATCGATATGTCGTTCGATTTCGATTAGGCTTAGACATCACTATTTTTTGTTTAAATGTTGGCAGTTATTTTGTTATAAAGTTGCTTTCGAGAATATAGAATATATTAGGATAATATGTAAAAATGTCGGATGATATTCATCACTGACCTACTATCCCTTCACATTTTTTTTTTGTTATAAATTCGAAATATTGGTCTGCTGGATTAAGATCTGCAGTAAGAGTAATGTGTAAATAAACATGTAATTTTTTCAGTTGAGTTTAAAATGTTGGCTTCAATATGGATTTTCAAGTTAAGGGGCGAGTAGTGCAGGCCTGTCTCATATGTAAAAAATATAGTTGAAAAAGATTGTTAATAGTTTACAAACAATTAATTGTGAAGCATACGTAAAAATACTGATTATCAATAATTGATATCATGTTTGATACAAGTTATTTATTAATTATAGTGATTATTTTAAAAAATACGATAATTTTGCTCCATGTACTATAATAATTACGATAATTCTACGCTACTGGTACGATAGTTGCCTTGCTACAAGTTGTGAACACTGCCGACGCCAGTCGTAAGCCGCGCGCGGCCTTGATCGATCGCGATGCACTGAATAGTACCTTTACACAGAATATACGCAATATTGTCATATTGAGTGTACATGCAGCGTGTTTGAATGTCCAATTGGGACTATAGCGAATTGAGATCGTGAACCACAATTTAAGCGGATCACTTTTGAGCCGCGAGTGCTGTATCTTCCCTTTTTGTTTTAATCTAAGGTCAGAAGGTCTGAAGGCATTAGATAAATGTGAACGCTACGCATCACATCAGAGCCTATGGGTACGGCCAGTTTTTTTTTTGTTTCCTCCCAGGCGGGGGGAGCGGGTGTGAAATCCTCATGGATACCCTACAGCCGGCTGTAGGGTTATGTCAGACTCTTACTGACTAAAAACACACCCGTGGGGGATGCCTATGGCCTTAGGGGCCTTACAGGCTTCATCTGATGCGATCAACCCCTGAGAAGGGGATGATGCAGCGCTGCCTTAGTAAATTATACTGCATAGTGCGCTTAGAGGACGGATGCACTCTGATGTGCATCCGTATCGGTTTGGGACTGAGCGACTGAAGGTCTCTCAGGATCGGGGGCGGCCAGAGTGCACGCAGATTCAGATTCAGACTCAGAAAACAAGCGCGAGAAATAAACAGTGTAGTTTAAGCAGGGTGGCCATAGTGGCAGCAGGCAACTTGCTTAAATTACACTGTTTATTTCTCGCGCTTGTTTTCTGAGTCTGAATCTGAGTGCACTGTGGCCGTACCCTATCACAACACCATACGTAAGATGAATATAGTTCTGCCTTTTTTCTTTATACATATTAATAAATCGAGTAAACATCACTATTCAAAAAGGATCGAACAGTGAATCGAGTTGTAGACATCAATTGAAAAATACATCGATAAAATAGGCAACACTAAATTTCTTTTTCTTTTTTGATAAATTGTGAAAGAGACAGCAAATACTTCTAGTCTACGCGGTGACGGCGGCATCAATTTCTGAATTAATTACCATTTGTCGCAAAAACTGCGCGTCCTTTATCTTTTCCGAGTGTAAATCGCTGATCCTAATATAAATTGTGTTAAATAGTGATCAAAATGGCATCTGACGATGAGGTAGACGGTTCTTTTGCAGGTAAATGAACTATTTAGCTAGCATGTCATAGGTAAGCCGCGAATAGCGGTATCATGTGTTTACTTGCGGTGGATGCAATTAAAAATTTAGGGAATTTGTATAATTTGGTCCATATTCTAATGACTATCTCTCTCACAACTGCCTAAAATGCCAGATAGGTTATTTTAATCAGCTTTTCAATGTCTTATTTATAATTTGATGGTTGTAAATATTTTCATGTGGCACCTTATGACAGAAAAGAACATTCAATATCCCCTCATTACTACTTAACAAAATGGACGCCGCCAAACAAAGGGATTAGTGACCTTTCCTTGAGGAATGCCTGTGTTTCATGAAATAAGTTCTCATTAGCTTTCCTAGGGCAGGGTCAGGTGCAAAGCATGGTACAAGTGGTCTGACCAGTTTATTATAATCTCTCAGGTGATGAGGACGTGGAGGAAGGCGAGGGTCAAAATGAAAATTCTGGTGAGAGTGATGAGGCTCCCCCAAAGGTAATATTGTGTTAAAATAAAATACATTGGTTATGTTTTTAAAATATTTTACTGTTATATTTTTTGGTGGATTTTCCAAATTTTGGTATTGTTACATGTTAATATTTTAAATTCAATTGTAGGAAGATGATGATTATTCACCTGAAGATAGTAGAAAAAAGAAAAAAGGTAAAAAGAGAAAGGCACGCGGTGAAGAGAAAAAGGGAAGAAAGAAAAAGAAGAAGAGGAAGAATGAGAGTGAAGATGTAAGTATTTTAAATTTAACATTATATCAGTTTTAAATTGTTGAAATAGCAATATTTTGTGTTAAGAAACAGGATAACTTGATATGAGGCAACTTCTATAAGAAAAAATAATGTGAAGTGTTTTATTTCTATATGACAGAATTGTCAAAACACCATGATTAGATTGAAACCCCTGTGCTCAGTGTATATGAATACACTTATGTATATAACATGTGAGGTCTTAACCTTACATGACATGATTTAGTCTTAGTAGTATGGTGGGCTGTTTCCGCAACTTGATACCCAGTGCCTATTTTGCGTGGGGATTGGCATCAGTCCTGCCATCTCAGCTCCTCCAGAAAGCTACATGACATGACAAGTGCAGCTATAAGCACTTTAACAACAGTTTTGTGATTATTTGCTTGTAAGATGTTATTTGGTAACAATAGTATACATCCTTTAACTATTTTAACTTACTAACTGATTCACTGAAACAGTTTCCAAATTATGTATTTTTATATTGACTCATTTGAAATTTAATAATTTTTGGTGATAAAAATTGTTGATTTTTACTATGCTGATAGGTATAAGAATGCTCTGAAATTACTGAAAAAAAATATAATTATATCATAGTCATACATTAGCTTAGAAAGTTATCATGGAATACAGACAGACATGGAGTTACATGGTTACAGATGAAAACACTAAGATTAGTTTAATTTAGTAGAAATGTATTAAAAAACAGCAATGACTCAGGTACAGATTCTCATATACATTAGACAAATATTTAACCTTATTGGCATTCAGGCCCTAGAGTAAAACACTGGCACTAGTATACACTGGACATTGTCAAAATCTTTCAGACACCAAGATTACTTGTAAACATATAAAGCATATCAGAGATATAGTTGAGACAATTTTTTATCTTCTTATCTGATCTACCTGACTTCAACTAAATATTTAACTACAGATGTTCAATTCCCAAAGTACCTATACAAATTGTACTTAAGACCTATTATATTATATTAAAAAAAACATTCTCCTAAAGAAGACAATTATTTTAAAATTAATTAAATAACATGTTTTCACTTTGACAAGTACCCTTACTTAAAAAGATTACTTAATAATTGCCAACACCTGTTTTTAATAACATCACTGGACCATGATTGCAATGGAACTGCTTCTGTTCCAAAGGTTCTAGGTTTCAACTTCTGGGATTATTTTCGTGTTGATCTCAGCAGATATTTGATCCCCAGTTATAACTGTTTATATATGTCATAGGATGATTTGATAAAACGAATTTTTAGATTGGATAATTAGACAATGGCGATGAAATATCTCAATGCATTTTATTAGACTCGCAACGAAAATATATACGCCTAATTTCGAATATGTATAAAGGTGCTATCCCACAATCGGTGTTGTCGCGGGCGAGGCCGCGTCGCGCAGGGTTGCCAAACGTATGAGAACTCTAACGTTCGAGATTTAGCAGTATCTATACATGATACGATGATAAGAATAAGGATGCATTTAGTGATGGCATAATGAATCTGTATTTACTGAGACGATCCTTTGTGGACTGGAAATTTATTTACTTTCTGATAATATTTTTGATTTGTGTACACGACACAAACAGTCAACATTGTTCAAATCTCATATTAAAGTGTACAAGATTTCTATTTACCTCGTATCATGTATAGATACTGCTAAATCTCGATTCTTCGAGTTCTCATGCGTTTGGCCACCCTGCGCGGCGGGGCCTCGCCCGCAACAAAACAGATCGTGGGACAGCACCTTTATGCTGGCCGAATATTTGAATATTAGGTAGCTTAGGGCCGATTCACACCGCAATGACAAAGACGCGGCTAGCACTTTCTCACTCAAAGCAGTGTGAAATATTTTTAAACTTTATCTACATACTTACAAGACAAGTATCGCTCGCGAACAGGCGGCACATACACTATTGCTGATTCATTGATGCGAATGCGATATTGCGGTAAAATGAGCATAGCTGAGTTTACGTCAAAATAAACCATATGATGCTTATAATACAACAAGAACCGCAAGAACTATCTGAAGACATCACAACAAGTCAATACTATTAGGTGGCTACATTTTTAGATCGACGGTTTTGAGTTAATGTTTTCACCAGTGAAATCGTTAGCTAAGATGTGAAGCAAGCACCGACGATAGCGTAAAACCAATGAGTTAATCCAAGCCAAGTTATTCACACATTTTTTTTTTGTTTTTAATGGATTACTAATCATAACATATCAATGAGGTTGTTATTGTAGAAAAAACAGCTCATACAGAGCCATAGAAATAAAAAAAAAGCAATTATTTCCTTTAACCTCATTTACTTCATCATCATTCATACGACGCTCACTGCTGAGTAGAGGCCTTACCGAAAGATCACTATGATCGATTCTGAGCCGTCCGCATGTATGGGTCTTTCGTGAACTTTTAAAACTAGCAATACACGCGCGAATATTATTATTGCTTTAGATTTTTGGGGCTATGCAGTCTTAATTGGACTGTAGTTAATGCGACCTATAAGATCTATTGTGACTCGCCACCAAGTTAAAGTATCTCCTTTAGCCTGACAGCTTCAAAGAAGCTCAAATTGTTTCTAGCTTTTAGAGATTTGATTTCCCCTGGGCGTATTATGTCGCCCCAAATGAATACTACGATTGTGGATGAGAGGCCCACATTCACATAGAAAGTGTTTTTGTGTTTCACGCTCCTGATTGCAGTATCTTGAAACAGCAGTGTCACTGAATTTAATATTTTATTGGTGTCTATTAAGTTTGCAGTGTCCAGTTAAGGCTCTTACTATAAGCACGGGTGTTCGACCTGCTAAGTTATATTAACTCAACAGTCCGTTTTTTCGAGTAACCCTCTATTAGTGATTTAGCGTGCTCTAATCCTGAGTGGTTTAACCAGTCGTCCTTAAGAATTTGCATAGCATGGTTTCTAGGGATGTCACAGAAAGGTTCTTGCCCCATCTGTTGCCCCTGTGCCCCTGCTCTTGCTAATTCATCAGCTTTCTCGTTGCCGATTTTTCCTGAATGCCCATTTAAGATTCACGCATTTGTTGAATCGCGGCCTTTCGCCGTATGTTTCATTTCTTTGTCGTTTTGCGGGTAAAGAATTGCAATTCTTTTCTATAATTTCCTTCCTATAATTTGGGGTCCTTTAATAGAGGCGTGAAGAAGCATTTTTGCAGGCCGGCAAGGTGAGGATGGTTGGTGTAGCAGTTCATAGCTGCTGTACCAGCTATCTTCGCGTTTGGATTTTATCGCCACTTAACATCAGGTGGGGTAGAGTCATTTGCCTACCTAGGTATAAAAAAAAACCACATCCTACATTTTGACCCATTTTGTAGCCATCTGTAAATCAGATTAGACTTCCATCCTTGCAGGATTCAAAGTCGTTTGACCACGTTTCTATGCTTGGCAGTTCCACCATGTAATTTCGAGCAAAATTACTCAGTGGAAAAATGACATCTGAAGTCATTGCTAGTGGTGTTAGTTCAAGCGCTGTTTGATGGAGAGACCTCAGTGCTTGAGACTGCTACTAAGAGAGTACTAAGTACTTACTCTGTATATACTTGCTTTCGTCTCCTTTATTTTGAATAAATGAAGGGGCGGTATGTTTAGCAAAGCATTAAGTGCAGCACCTGGCTTTGAAGACATAGCACTGGTTGCCATTAAGGCATGCTATTCTTTGCAAGTTATTCAACTTGTTGATGACTGTCTTTTGTTAACATCGGCCTTACAATGGCGGTATACATCCACAGGGCGATTTTTTTGTTTAGGACCCCCTTTCGTCGCAGCTAGTCGACAGCATATTCCAAGTGCTCAGAGACTTTTGTTAGTAGCTGATCAACCGCCAAAGACCATAACAGAGGCGATAAAACGACCCCTTGTGGACAGCCTCTCGTTGTCTTGAAGCCTTTTGTTGTTCCATGAAGGCTTACTTTAACAGTTCTGTTAAGGAGCATCTCGATGCAGTCCCCGTAGCCTGAGCACCAAACTTTACATTATATCACGTTTATTATCGCGTCTAACTGTCGAACTCCATAGTAATCTGACATTTTTTTTTTTTTTTTTTTTGTGTGTTTATCTGCAATCAGTAATTTACTATAAGCAGATGTCATGAAAGTTGCTGTCGTGTCGAGCGTATCCTCCATTGAGGATATCTTCTCGTAATAATTATATGCTGGAAAAAAAACTTATGGTAATATGTCCCTTCTCTTCAAACGTTTCACATATTCACGAGTAGTGAGTCTGGTTGCAAGTGTATTTGGGTGATTTTCGAGCCGGTTTCGATATTTATTTGTGGCAGACTGGATTTCTTCTACCACAGTGGTCATGCTTAGATTTTCATGGATCTCGGAATTGGTGATAAACCATGGCACATTTGCTATTTTTCTGAGGACTACATTTTGCATCCTCTGAAGTATATTAATGTTAGATTTGCTTGCACTCCCCCAAAGTTCGATTCCATATGTCCAGGATGGTTTTAGTATTGATTTGTATATTAGGAGTTTGTTGTCCATTGATAATTTGCTGTTCCGGCCTAGCATCCAGTAGATGTTCTTATGTTTTAAGTTTAGCTCCTCTCTTTTCTTTATGATGTGTTCATTCCAGGTAAGTCGACGGTCCAGGTGTAGTCCAAGATATCTTACGCTATCTTGTTGTGGCAGTGTAATATTCTCCAGTCTGACGGATGGGCAGTTTTCTCGTCGGAGTGTAAATGTAACATGCACCGATTTTGTTGCACTGGCTTTAATTTTCCATTTTTGGAGCCATTTTGTGATGTCGTTAAGTCCCTTTTGGAGATTTGCCGAAGCCTCGTGAGGATTGCTACTACTAGCCAATATCGCTGTATCATCGGCATACGTTGCTGTCATGATTCCATCCACTTGAGGTAGGTCTGATGTATAAATCATGTAAAAGACCTTGACGTAACGTAATCTGACAATTGAGTGTGATAAAAACGCGATATATATCTTAACACAGTGCTCATGCAAGAGGGGCTGAGGGACTTGTTTTATTGGTCCTTTTTTCGCTCATCCCTTTGGTTAGCGTTTTAATGGTGACGTTGTCACAAGCTCCTTCAATGTCGAGGAAAGCACAGAGGACTATTTGGTTGTCTTCTATAGTCCTCTATATTGTGTCCATAATTCTATTAAGGCAGTTTCTGTGGACTTTCCCTTACGGTAATCATGTTGCTTTATGTGCAAAAGACGTTCTCGCAGTGGTCCGTCTCTAATGCACATATCAATAACCTTTTCCATACTCTTATTGGTCTGAAGGACTTCGGCTGCGCGAAGTCTTTCTTGCCATCTTTAGGTATGAAACGGACTTTTACCACAGTCCATTTCTCTGGTATGTATCCCTAGGCATAACTTGCTCTGAAGATTTTAACTAGTATGGGGGTGAGGACGTCTTTAGCTCTTTGCAAAAGAGCTGGGAAGATATCGTCCTCACCAGCAGATTTGAAGGGTTTGAATGAGTCTATTGCCCATTCGATCTTATTTGGTCTGAGTACCCTTGCTGCTCTTCTCCAGTTTTCATCTATAGACCTGGAGAGGCAGTTGTAAGAAACAAACCTCAAGATGGCTTCAGATGTCCTCTACTGATCCAGGGAAGTGTGTTGAGGCTAGAAACTCCTGTCATGCCTCCTCCGTAATTCTTCATTAAACGTTACATCTGGTTTCTTTAGAAGTCCCAGTTGATTTAGCAAAAACTTTATGAATTCTTGCTCCTTGAGGGACCTTGGAGATCTCCTCGCAGAACTTCCTTCATGTAAGTCTCTTTGCCTTTCGTATTTCTTTATTGTAGGTTGTTAGATCCTGTAAGTATCGTCCCCAATCATTGGCCGTTTTGGCTTTATTAAACAGCCTTCTCTTAATACATTTAATACAAACTACACGCGCGAATGTACCTGCATAACATAACTGCACGCATCTCAGATCTGATACGCGAAATTGCTGTACACGTACGAGTTTTCCCGTCGGACCCATTTAAGATCTATCCGTGGCGTCACTTCGTGCATCTTTTGTGAAAAACGATTGTCTGTTTGCTAACATTACTAATGTTACAATATCAATCTAGCTATAAATATGATGTATCAATGAAATAAAACGTAGATAACTTCGGCTCAACTAATGGCTAGTAAAACGACCGAATACACCTTTATGAGTTGGCAATAGTGCGTGCAAATGAGGGCGATTCGGCAGACACAGCTATGCTGCGTATACAACTACAGTTGGGTTATCTGAAATATTTGCCCCGTGTCTGATCCGTTCGTTTTGAGCCTGGAAAGCAAGCAAGCATCAGACAGGTTCCTGTTATAGCCCTATATTGGTGTCGATTGAGGCATGATTCTCTAAACTTAATACTAAATTTAACATCATTCTCTATAGAGATTGACAAAGATATACTGTTGCCAAATTTAAGTTTTAGTTTAGAGAATCATGTCGGAAGCTACATCATTAACAGTTTTGCCCGCCAGGCACGACTGTCAGACAAATCGGTCGTGTAAATCTGTGCATGTATGGCTAACACATTATATCAGGCGACGCACGCTTCAGTGGGCAGCGTCGTCCGGTGCGTGGTTGCCATTCAAGAATCTTTAAGCAACGACGACCATTCGGTTCTCCACACTATGAGTCCCGCACACTGCCATTTCAGCTGAACATCCTTATAACGATTTCGGTTACTTTATTTCAATGGTTCTTAAACTTTTAAGACCACCACTTACGATTTGCACCTCCGTTTTCCGATTGGCTTCGCGGAATACTTCGGGTGCTGCACTGATTAAGAACTTCTGTTTCAGTTCATCTGTGGATTTCCTCTATTCTTATTCTATCTCGCCGAGAAATACAAAGCAGTACCTTCTCCATTTCCATTTTATTTATTTAATTCTATTTCGGCCGCACTGTATGTAAATATTTATTGTTCGGCCGAATATCGAACAATGAATGAATCTTCTTCGCAAGTCAATTTTTTTTTATTAAACTATAAAAATACTAATTGACATACTGGAAACCTACTCAATAAACTAAAATTTCCTTAAAAAAGCATAGGATTTTTTTCCCTTCACACATTCATATAAAACACTTTTACATTTTAGGATGATGATTTCGGTTTGGAAATCGAAGCAGATGGTGACAGTGACTTTGCACTGAGTGCAGTTTCAAGCAAGAAATCGCGTAAAGGCAGAGGGAGCAAGCACGGCACTCCGGCTACCCCAGTCGCGTCCGACTCAGGATCTGGTAAGTTCTATACATTTAGGAAACAGCTTAGTTAATTTTTATTATTATAATGACCTAAAATTATGACCTGTTGTTGCTCCACAGAGTCCATATAAAAATAAATTAAACATTGTAAAAATGTCCCAATATTATTTTGGGATGTGCTAACCCAACATAATATTTACAGTTAATAATTTTATATTCTATAGAAATAAATATCTGTGTAAGTCTGTATACAAAGTGGTTATTATTAGAAAGTCTTTATAAACCGTGAGTTTTGCAAAAAAGAAATTGTTGGCATTGGCTCATCATAATAAAACATTAATAATAATAATAATAAATCGTTTATTTTCTCATCACAAACATTTTGGCATCGATAACATTTGTTTTTTTTAAAATATATTATTACATTAATGTTTGTGTGAGACTGATGCCCGTGCTAGGTACGATATACCTGTGTTACAGGTCATCAGGCTCCCACCACCTCGAATCGCCAATGTTGGTTAACAAAAAACATGAGTATGAATATAAATTTAACAAAGTTTACTATTTTTTTTTTTTTTTTTTTTTAATTTTAATTTTAATTTTAATTGACACAGGTTAAACAAAGGGTGTATTTGTATGAAATTCTATGCAGTATGTATGTGTATTTGGTGTGAGTGTGAGTGTGCGTGCTTGTGTATGTAAACGTGAGCGTGACTATAATTATGTGTGTGGATGATATGATAAGTGTAAGACAGACAGCTGATATTTTCGCGGTATATCATCCTGAGGTGAGCAATAGGTCCTCTGTTTCGTCATATGTTAGCTTAAGTAGCCATGAGCTTAGTTTTCTTTTACAGTCCCTTTTGGTCATTGAATAGAAGGAAAGGATTGTGTTCAATTTATTGTAAAGGTAGCTACCCATAAAGCAAAAGAATCTTTTTGTGAACTTAGTTTTTAAAGGACTGGTAGGACAAACAGTTCCCTTACGTCGTCTACCATTTAGAGCTTTCCCATCAAAATGAAGCTGAGAGTGCTTACGAAGAACAGTTGATAATATAAAGAGCTGACGGACAGTAAGCACCTCCCAAAGCCTGTAAACTTGACTCGTGGCATGAAGAATTGGGGATAATAAAACATTTTACTGTAAAACATCTCAAACTCATTCAGAAGACATCGTGTATGCTTGTCTTAATTTTCCTAATAAACATCTGGAGGAATTAGACAGCTGACTTAAAAATAACAATAATCTACTGTAAACAAAATATATGATATTATATTTTATCATGAATTTAATTTGTATAATCGACTTTAGCTGTTTAATAATGAAATAATTTTTCATCAGGTATGCCAACAGTAGAGGAGGTGTGCTCATCTTTTGGGCTTGCAGATGTTGATATCCAGTACACAGATGCCGATTTGGAAAACCTCACATCATATAAACTGTTCCAGCAGCATGTTCGTCCATTGCTTGTCAAGGAAAATCCTAAAGTATGTATGTTATAACTGTAATGTATGTATGTTCATTATCTGTTATATATCATGCAAATGTGACTTTAACAGTTAGAGATTTTATTTTGATATAAAATATTATTTTTCGTCGAAAAATCAGTTACAGCATAATATGAAGTTTTACAGTTTGTTTTTTTTTTTTCAAATAATTAATTTCTAACCAGATTGTATGAATACCAAAATTCAGTATTGCATGATATTATACAACGTTTATATTTCACAGTGGTGGTTTAGTTTAGATGGTTGTTTTTTTTGTGGAAGCAATTTGGTTTTACCTTACACAATTTTCCTCCTGTTCCACAACTACTTATACACAAAACGGCCTGGTTGTAAATTTACCTTACTTCATTTCATATACTTGTTCAATTTGTTTTGAAGATTGTTTCTTGCTATTTTGGGACTTTACACTTATTTGTAGTAAATTTGTTAATTGTCTATTGTAGCCTATTTGACATTATTTGATGGAAGTTCACCACAACACATATTTGCAAGTTTGATGTCAACTTTGAATTTAACGACACTGAAATAAAACAGGGAGAAAAAAGCAGCCCTTGCTGAGTTTCTTGCCGGTTCTTCTCAGTACAAGGTCTCCCACCGTAGTGTTGCAAACCGATGGCGTTGTTTTCGACTTTCACATGTGCTTGTAAAAGCCTAAACTGAATAAATGACTTTTGAATTGAATTATAACATTTTCTGATTTTCCGTTCAGGTTCCAATTTCAAAACTAATGATGTTGGTAGCGGCTAAATGGCGTTTGTTCTGCGAGACGAATCCCAACCTCGGCGGCGGCACACAGAACATAGGCTCCGAGGAGAACACGAACACATCCACAGCGTCCGACTACGCGCCCAAGGCCAGGTCGGGCCGCTCTACCAAGGAGTCTAAAGTAAGATATCTGAGGAGCTGGCGAACAAAATGGTATAATTACATAAAATTAATTTTAACAGGTGCAGTATAAAACTGATTGACATACCTACAGTGAGCTTTTGGCATGGTATTTAATTTAAAAAAATAGTAATTTTAATGCTGTTTTAGGCGGTTTTGATTGAAAATCATTTGTGATTCAAATTCAACGCACCCGAAACCTTCGCACTGTAAAAAAAAATGTTGTTTGACCAGATGCGTAATTATACCGTTTTGTTCGCCAGCTCATCATCTTTTATCTGGTCGTGTTGTTGTTTATATCCTATACTGCACAAATTTAACTACCATGATTGTATGTACAATCCTGTATTTGTCTTTTTATCAGTAATTTGACGTGTTTATTTAAATGCATACAAATTTCACATCCGTTATTGCTCCAGACTTACCTCTCTGCGTTCAGAGGAGGGAGAGAGGACATAGAATTTTTCCGTTCGATTTGGTTGCTTAGCTTCAGGCAGGCCATATGCTTATTTGCCACTCTTTTAACATGAAAAATATTGCGAGAATGTGACCACATTCAATTTAAAATACATTGTACATATTTTCTAATATTCTGATTTCGATTTCTGAAATCTTAGATTGTAAATTATAATGTGCTACCGCCAATAGTTTTTGTTACTTGTTTCTGTTTGCATTCCGTTAAATTAGTGTTACACAAATGCATGTATTAAAGTTAAAGGTTTCCATGACACTCAAGAGACTAAAATATTATCACGATCCTGTGGAAGCTCAATTCGCAAAAAGTATCTGATAACACTTATATTTTTTTTCAGACTGATGAAGCAGCCGAAGACCCCGAGGAAGAAGAAGAAGAGGAAGCCAGTGACGAAGGCACCCCAGCGCCACGCAAACGCGGCCGTAAACCGAAACATGCTACCAGTACTACACCGCGAGGAAAGCCGGGCCGAAAGCCGAAAGTGCCAACGCTGAAAATCAAATTCAGCAAGCGGAAGCGCACCAGCAGCGTGAGTAACAGCCCTTCCAATGTACGTATACAACGCAGCCAGTGAAACATTGAATGATTCGACAACTATACAACGTATTAAATATATTATGCCATTGATAAACTGTAAGTTTATATTTTATTTAATGAGATAGCAAAGCGTCTTAGTCTGTGAATGGACACTAAAATTTTCAGTCAACAATATAATCAATCAAATGAATGTTTATATTGATTTTATTTCCTGTAAATTGATTGTTTACTTGAATGGTTTTATGAAATTATATTTTTTTTGATAAAGTTATTGTTAGAAAGTATTTACTTGCATTTGGCAGAAAGTTCAGAAAACAAGTCATAACGTGATCAGGAGAAGTCAATTCACAGGAGTGAAACACAAAAACATTTAGTTTGCAGTCCAATGTGCTTTAAAGTCGCCGTCGCCGAACATCAATATCTAAACTTTAAAAAAATAATAACATCATTAGTTAGATTTTACATGTGCAATAAATAAACAAAAAGAATTAGGAAAAACATAATTTCACATAGCCTCTCTTGTAGCAAAGGTCATGCGCCAATCCCAACTATGCGTGCCGGACTCCCGTACGGGGCCCCCCGCTGGGTGGGAACGATTGCATTAATTTTGCCGATTTCTCTGTTATTTTGTAAGAATACCCTACACAAACTATATATATTTGGATTCTCCATAAAATTTTCTGTTAACACAATATCAAAAAAAATTAGAAAACAGTGTCTACGCAATTCGTAATTTTTTAGAGCATAAAAGTCGCGGACATCCGCTAGTTTATTATCTACACTACACATCACACATTGATTATGAAAAGTTTCGTATTCGGCCTAAAGTAAAATGTTTATTTCAAGGAGGAAGAACAAGAGGGTAGCGCGGGCGCGAACTCAGATTCGGACGCAGAGTTCGAACAAATGTTAGCGGAAGCGGAAGATCCGAAGCCGGCCGCTGCCACAGCAGCGGAAGAGAACGTTGCGCCGAAAGAGGACGATCCGAACGCTCCGCAGCAACCGAAGAAGAAGGCCAAGACAAAGATCGGCAATAAGAGCAAGAAGAAGAAGAAATTGAAAACCACTAGCAAGTTCCCTGACGGCGCTGAGGGTGAGCAGGAGCATCAGGATTATTGCGAGGTGAGATTGATGCGATAACATTATATGTATGTACGTAAATCAATTAGGGTACACAATCTTACGTTCATTCCTGTGAAGACGGGTGGGTTCCTATGATCGAAATTCGCGCTTACTAGCTTGTTTTATTAGGATGACTTTTCTAGGGCAGTGTGATTTTGGAATAGTTTTATTTAATGAGTGATGTGCGTGAAAACCTAAGAAACAAATACAATCTCATGTTACTTGAATGTGCTCAATGATCAGTACTGAAAGTAATGGCATCTAAACCTATCTGGTACTCAACAGTTCAGCAGCTTTATGAGTTATGGTTCTATCGGTTCGAAAACTTGTAACAATTTTTGTTATCACCAGCTATTTCAGGGCTTACATGAGACTCGAAACTTATTTAATTTATAATCAGGGCGCCGTAATACTGTGATTTGAGGGAGATAAATGAAAATGTCTAAAACCGCAGTGAACAAGATATTATATTGTCAAAAAAAAAGATTCAGATCTTATTTCATCATGGTTAAAACTTAATACTAGTCACATTCAAGTTAATAAATACATAGCTATATTTCCTCAAAGATTTTTCTTTTGATTTAAAGATATTCATACATTCAAGATCATGTGCTAATACAGTAATACTCAATTTAAGTTTCTTATATAAACAAATTATTAAACAAGTTATAAAATATTAAGTTTTGAAAATTTAACAATAAAAATTTGTTATGTTCTTATAATGGCTTTACAGTTTACTAATACAAATCCTCTATCACGTTAAACAGAAATTGTTCTCCGGAGTATGCACTGGTTAAATATCAAGAAGTTATAAGTTTTACTTAGCTTGGCAAGATCATGGGAGCATCAGGATGACTCAAATGTCCTCAGGGATGAAGCAGGACTTGCTGTCATCACGTGAACCCGTCACTTTTTGCTCAAGAAAGCTTCACAGGCTCATATATATATATATTTCCAAGGAGATTCCAATCAGGATCAATTAATTGTGATTATTACTGTTATTAATTAGCCAAATTAATGGACCTAGAACCAATTACACATTTTTCTATAATTCAATAAAAAACTAACTGGACCTACAGCCTAACGAATCAAATGTATTGAACTTACCCGTTAATCCGGGGAGAAATATCAAGTATATAATGCACTGACTACCACTGCTAGTCTTAATGCTATTTTCTAAGTATGGTCTTCAAGGTTCTATCAGCCAAAAGAGAGCGAATTTGGTTGTGCACTGCTATTTATAGGCTACTACAACACGTGACAGCGTCATTGCAAATTTCTCTCATATCACCATATTTGGTGTGAGGAATCAAACGGACCGGTTTTGCTGACTCCGCCTCTCAATGTTTCCAGAACATTAATGTGACGTCACATCCAATTTTGCATCTCATTTAAAAAAATTACACACTAGCTCCCTCTAACTTACATTCCAAATGCAACTACTAGGTTCACACATATATTGTACTTGTCCGTTGCTTTTCAAAGTGGACTGCGATAATGAATAATTTATATGCATGATGATAGATGGCGCTGAATAAATAATAATATTTCTACGACTTAATATTTAAGAATTATATTGCTATGTTTTAACGTTATTAAATTTAATTGCTACACAACATCCCCCTTATCTCAAAAAATTTTTCCCAAAAAAAAATTTTTTTTTTTTTTTTTTTTTTTTTTTAATTAATTAACCTGCAACTGACTTACAGACAAATCAACAATACTAAGTATTAGCCAAGATAAAAAATTTAAACTTATATACGTGAGTATCCATTTATTTACTCCACGTAATGTTCTAAACTCTAAGTCAATAGCAACAATTAAATATTTGCTGTTTAATGATTTTTCTTTTAGTTTCATGTAAATACCTTTCTTGGATCTATTATCCAGTGGTATAACATGACTTTTCTGTTCATCTTATGAACTTAAGGTAGTTAAGAAAACAACTCAAGATTAAAGAAGTTTGTATGTTTTCAAACTCAAAAGATTAAGATTATTTTCCAACAATCTTCCTATCTTTAATTATCAAGTCTAAAGTATATGTCCACTTCCTTATGCTTATGTCTTTCTTACATCAAGACCTATTTTTCTATTAAGTATTAAAATAAATTGCACGTGCTTATTTTGGAAAAAAAAAACTTTTCATACATCACGCATTTCATACTACTCTCATACTCATATGCATATCAGTAAACACAACTTGACGAAAATAATTTTATCAAAAAATTTTTTTTTTTTGTGTTAAAATATTAAAATTCCTCGAAATTTCATTTAAGCATTTTTTTTTTTAAAAGTGACCATATAGGTTAAAAAAAAGGTTGTAAATAAATATTTATTTAGTTAAAAGAGAAAAACAATTTAATTTTCAGGCAGGTTTCGAACCGTAGCCCACAGATTTCCATATGCACTCTTCCTATACCATAACTCTTCTTAACCAATCGTTTAATACTGAAAGTGACTAAAATAAGCATCCTATGTGGAATTCAAAGATTTGTTAGTTCTGTTGTTCAGAATATTTTAGTATATCTTTAATATGATAATTACCTAAACATTTACCATTTAAATCGGTTAAAGTATAAACTAAAGGTGATAATTTAGCCGTCACTACACATTTAATAAATTTTGGTGCTAATTTGGAAGAAAAATTCTTTGCCTTATTGGATAAATAATGAGTACGTTTATACACTATCTGGCCAACTCTTAATTCAATGTGTCTTTTTCTGAGGTTATATTGTTTTTCGTTCCGTTGGTGGGCAACAATCAAATATTTCCTCACCTTTTGGAAGATATTATTAAGTTCAAGCAACTTTTTCCCATATTCCAATGTACTGTCTGAGGTAATTTGATCTAACGGACATGGAGGGAAGGAATTTAAATATAAATTACCATCTATTATATACTCTCTACCATGGACTAGGAAATAGGGTGAAAATTTAGTTGCTTCATTCACAGCCGTGTTTAAAGCACATTGCAATTCTATTAAGTGTTCATCCCACCTTCTATGCTCGGATTTTACATAACAGGCTATCGCATGAACTATGTTTCTATTTGCCCGCTCAGCTTGGTTCGTTTGGGGATGATACTTAGGATTGTAATATATGTTTGGTACATTATATTTAGTTAACAGCTGTCTAAAATGGGAGCTAACATATTGTGGACCGTTATCTATAAAGATGGTTTTACAAACGCCATGGACTAAAAATACATATTTTTCTATAAAGTTTGCTACAGCCATGCCTGTTGCTGACCGTATAGGGTGCAACATGACATATTTACTAAAGTAATCTGAAACTACTATTAAATAAGTATTTCTATTCCTTGAATTTGGAAAGGGTCCCAATAGATCACAACTAATGGCTTCGAATGGCTTGGTCACTTTCTTAGGACTTCCCATGAGACCGGGACGTGCCGTGTTCACAGGTTTGTATTGCTTACACGTCTCACATTCACTCACATACTTTTTCACACATTCGTATAGGTGGGGCCAGTAATAATGTAAGGCGATCCTCCTATGTGTCTTCATGACACCTAAATGTGCACTAGTAGGGTCATCGTGATATTTCCTAAGAATTGCCGATCTATTTTCTTCAGGAACTACCAGTTTCCAATCAAATTCGCTAGTAAGATCATATTTATTTTTCGAATATCTATATAAGTTTCCATCTTTTTCCATGAAATTAGGAAATTTACGTGGGTTATTCTTTACTGCGTTTAACATATAAGAGTACCAACTATCTTTTGATAAATCTATTTCTATTGAATCTAATTTAATACGTGACAAAGTATCCGGGAGGATATGATCCCGACCCTTCCGGTGTTCTATTTTAAAGTTAAATTGACTAAGACGCATGCTCCATCGTGCTAAACGACCTGTGGGGTTTTTTAATTTATAAAACCACAACAGTGAAGCATGGTCTGTGACTATGGTACATTCCTGACCTTCAACATATTGTCTAAATTGTTCTAATGCATAAATAACAGCTAATAATTCTCTTTCTGTTGTACTATAATTAACTTCATTTTTATTAAGTGAGCGGCTACAGTAGGCAATAGGGTGTTCCACTCCGTCATAAGACTGGGTGAGAACGGCCGCCGCTGAGTATGCGGATGCGTCAGTCAAAATACGGAAAGGGCGCGAATAATCTGGCATTTTTAAAATAGGGGCAGAAACAAGGGCAGTTTTAAGCAAATTAAAGGATTTCTGTGCCTCAGAGTTCCATTCAAAATCCACATTCTTACGGGTGAGTTTACATAACGGTTTGCTGATTTCAGAGAAATTATTCACAAATCTTCTGTACCAACCTGCCATTCCAAGGAATCTTTTTACCTCCTTGGGGTTCGAGGGTGTAGGATAGTTAAGGATTATATCTACTTTACCAGGGTCCGTTCTTAAACCATGTTTATCAATGTAATACCCTAAATATTTGAGCTCTTTGCGACAAAACTGTGATTTTTTTTTATTTATTGTCAGGCCTGCTTCTTTCAGGCGCTGATATATTTTCTCTAGGAGCTCAATATGTTCTGAGAAAGTGTTACTAATGCAAATTATATCATCTTGAAAAGCAAATACCTTATTATCGAATTCTGGGCCAAATAATTTATCCTTTAAGCGTTGCATGGTTGCTGACGCCCCTACTAACCCAAAACACATCACATTAAATTGAAATAAGCCTCTACGAGGAACTGTGAAAGCTGTCTTTTCAGCAGATGCTGCAGAGTCATAAGGAATCTGCCAATATGCGGCACTAAGGTCAATTGAGGTTAAATATTTAGCGTTGTTAAGATGATCTAATATTTGGTTAATATAAGGCAAGGGATAAGCGTCTGGTTTTGTGACGTAATTAAGTTTTCGAGAGTCTAGGCATAATCTGGTTTCACCATTGGGTTTTTCTACCATTACTACTGGAGAATTCCAAGCCGATTGGGAAGGAGAAACTACCCCCAGGGCTAACATTTTATCTAATTCCTTCTCGAGTGCTAGTTGCTTGATAGGTGATAAGGGATAATAACGCTGTTTAATCGGACTATGGTTACCAGTATCTATTTTATGGTGTTCCAATGAAGTTCTACCAAGACCAACCTTTTCTGTGTTAATTAAGTCAAATTTATCAATTATTTTATTAATTATTCGCTTTTGCGCCGTCGTTAAGTTATTGTAATCTTCTAACCCGTTTTTTAATGATATTGAGTTAATAGGATTTTCTGAGTTTAAAGTGATATTACTAAAGTTGGATGACATCAAGTTTTTTGTCAAACCAAAATGGTGCCAAAAATCAATACCTAATATGATTGGTGTAGTAATTTCCGGAACAACATAAAATGTAATTACCTTAAGTATTGAGTTATATTCAATGGGCAGAGACATGTACCCTACGCAATGCAATTCAGTGCTATTAGCGGTTTTTACAATACGCTCTTTATCTAAAGTGTTAAGTTTAAAGCCTAAATTCAGAAAGATGAGGTGCGAGTTTTTGCCGAGTATCGAGCATGACGCACCAGAGTCAGCAAGTCCTAACGCATCTACATTTAATATTTTAAATTGCAAATAAGGTCTATTGTCAAACTTTTTCTTATGGAAGAGAACTTCACGGTTATTTAAGTTAATGTGTGACCTTTTTTTACCGTAATTATATGTGAAGTTCCCACTTTTTAGTTTTTTGAATTATTACTTGGATTACATTGTGGGCACTCAGGTCGTCTTACGCCCTTTTTACCACACTTAAAACAAAGAATTTCTCTCGAATTTACACACTCTCTAGTGAAATGCTCTCGACTCTGACATCTCATACACCTCCTATCATTTGAGACATTTTGAGGTAAAGTTACGGTTGAGATCTGACGGGTTGGTTTGAAATTATTTTTTATTCTTCGTGACTGAAGGTCATTTGAAATAAATAATTTATTCAAATTGGGTTCCGTAAATTTCTCTGCACGGACTTGAGCCAATTCCAAGCGCTTTCCTAATTGTTTTAACGTAAGGATAGAATCAACGTTATGAAGAGCCAACTCTTTCATATATTCCGGACGAATATTATGCATTAAAATTTCTAGCTGTTCTTCTAATGACATGGGAATAGACAATCTCGCAAACATTCCTTGCATCGTGGAGATATAGCTCACAATTGACTCTTGTCTAGCTTGTGTGCGTTGTCTAATTTCGTTTTTAAGTCGATAATCTAAATCCGGAATATCAAAATCCTCTCTTAAGTGTAACAATAGATCAGAATATGAGTTAAAGTTCGCTTTGTTACTTCTAAACCACGCCAATGCAGAATCTTCTAAGAGATCGGAAAATGCTGTCAGCATACGAGATTGCGGAATCTCGCGGGCCTGTCTAAGTTCCTCTAACCTCTCAATAAAACTTCTAACGCAACCTGAACCATTATATTTTAAATTAAGTGAATTTAAGTTAATTGGTTTTTCTTTAATGACGATTAATTCCTCACTTCCATTCTTTTCATTCATCCTTGTTTTCGAGATAGGCAACACATATTCATCCGTCTCTTGTTCCCTCACATCCTTCATGCCGGTTTTACTACACTTGGGAGTACCTTCCTTATCACTTAATTCGTCTGAACTACTTTCCTCTTCCTGTTCTACTTGAGCTAAGATACGTATGAGCCTGTGGCGCAAATCCACAAGAGAAGCATTGTCAACCTCCAATCGAGCAAGTCTATCGATTAGATAATTAGCCCTAACTGACACACGTAAGTGAAGATTACTGTCCTTTCCGAGGTCACCTGATGACAGCAGATCCTCGAGCTCAGCAATTTTCGGCGTACAGGCCTTGAGCTCGCTTGCCGGGAGTGGTGTGATCACTGGAGCACACTTGATGCTGCCACGTCTCTTCAGCTTAAAAATTTGGCGAAGCTGCTTTCTCAGTGCATCCACCGATGTGTCAGGAGCTGTGGAAATGCCAAGAATATCCAATTCATATATGATTTCATCTTTTCTTAAGTAGTTTACATATTTTTGTAAAGAGAGCATTTTCTCAGATTTTTTCAAGTTAAAGTCAGTTATTTCTGTTACTAAGTTAATTATTAAGTTAATTATTAAATTACGTTTAATCAAGTTTTTAAATCAAGCTACTTATTCAAGTTATTTAATCTAAGAAAGTTAAATACAAAGGAATTTATAAATTTTTTTTTTTTTTTTGAAGGAGGGTACTTTTATTATTACAAGTTTCAATTCTTAAAGACTATCTTGTTCACTGTTCAAGGTCAATTTTTTACACATCCAATCAATACGAAAGTGTTATTCTAGTATAAGTTGATTAATTCTAATGTGCTAAGTTAATTAATGCTAGTGTGTTTTTCAGACTGGTTGGGGATTTAAGCATCTATGTTTCCACCAATCTTTTTATCATCATATTAACACATTAGTACAAATTCTGAATATTAAAGATTTTTAAGTTAATTTTTTTTTTTTTTTGATTAGATGTTAAATTCTAGTGTGCCGTTCAGACTGATTGGGGATTTAAGCATTTATTTTTCCGCCAACCTTTTTATCATCATATCAGCACACCAGTATTTCCCTCAAATACAGTATTTTATTGCTCGGCCCCACGTTGGGCGCCATTTTGTAACAATTTTTGTTATCACCAGCTATTTCAGGGCTTACATGAGACTCGAAACTTATTTAATTTATAATCAGGGCGCCGTAATACTGTGATTTGAGGGAGATAAATGAAAATGTCTAAAACCGCAGTGAACAAGATATTATATTGTCAAAAAAAAAGATTCAGATCTTATTTCATCATGGTTAAAACTTAATACTAGTCACATTCAAGTTAATAAATACATAGCTATATTTCCTCAAAGATTTTTCTTTTGATTTAAAGATATTCATACATTCAAGATCATGTGCTAATACAGTAATACTCAATTTAAGTTTCTTATATAAACAAATTATTAAACAAGTTATAAAATATTAAGTTTTGAAAATTTAACAATAAAAATTTGTTATGTTCTTATAATGGCTTTACAGTTTACTAATACAAATCCTCTATCACGTTAAACAGAAATTGTTCTCCGGAGTATGCACTGGTTAAATATCAAGAAGTTATAAGTTTTACTTAGCTTGGCAAGATCATGGGAGCATCAGGATGACTCAAATGTCCTCAGGGATGAAGCAGGACTTGCTGTCATCACGTGAACCCGTCACTTTTTGCTCAAGAAAGCTTCACAGGCTCATATATATATATATTTCCAAGGAGATTCCAATCAGGATCAATTAATTGTGATTATTACTGTTATTAATTAGCCAAATTAATGGACCTAGAACCAATTACACATTTTTCTATAATTCAATAAAAAAACTAACTGGACCTACAGCCTAACGAATCAAATGTATTGAACTTACCCGTTAATCCGGGGAGAAATATCAAGTATATAATGCACTGACTACCACTGCTAGTCTTAATGCTATTTTCTAAGTATGGTCTTCAAGGTTCTATCAGCCAAAAGAGAGCGAATTTGGTTGTGCACTGCTATTTATAGGCTACTACAACACGTGACAGCGTCATTGCAAATTTCTCTCATATCACCATATTTGGTGTGAGGAATCAAACGGACCGGTTTTGCTGACTCCGCCTCTCAATGTTTCCAGAACATTAATGTGACGTCACATCCAATTTTGCATCTCATTTAAAAAAATTACACACTAGCTCCCTCTAACTTACATTCCAAATGCAACTACTAGGTTCACACATATATTGTACTTGTCCGTTGCTTTTCAAAGTGGACTGCGATAATGAATAATTTATATGCATGATGATAGATGGCGCTGAATAAATAATAATATTTCTACGACTTAATATTTAAGAATTATATTGCTATGTTTTAACGTTATTAAATTTAATTGCTACAAACTATATGTTTCTAATGTTATCTTGCAAAAGCACATATCCTGCAGTTAGCTTTAAATATTAGATTACCTAACAGAATCTTCAGGATTGAAAAATTCACAACGATGCTGGCTAGACGGCATTATTTGTACCTTAGCTCAGTTTTGTATAATCAAATTAATTATAAATTACATATTTACAGTTTAACATACCATGAATGTAAAAGTATTTTAAATGAGTAGCTACTTAGTCTTCGATATGAAGATGTCGAATCTCTGATACAATAAAATTAAATGTTAATGTTAGTATTTTTAGTGTTTATTGTTACTATTTATCATGTTCGAGGTGGGGCGCTAATAACTGCGACACAGTTTCTGACTAATGTTATGTTATTAACGTTTTACATTGTTCTGTTGATCCGATTTAATTGCAAATAAAGATTTTTATATATTTTATTATTTATTATCTATGAGATCGAAAATTGGATTGGCTGAACCCAAAATGCTAGTATACATTCGAAACTAACTATCGAACTGTCATTACTTGTACTGTTTCGTGATTGTGGTGATACGCTAAAACATTTGCTCAGGCAAGAGTTTCTGTTGCATTTTTGCAAATAAAATTTACACAAATAAAATTTACACAAATAAACTTGTCCATTTAGTTGACGACAGTCATCATTTTCCATACTCAGGTGTGCCAACAAGGCGGCGAGATAATCTTGTGCGACACTTGTCCCCGCGCCTACCACTTGGTGTGCCTCGACCCTGAACTGGAGGAGACTCCCGAGGGGCGATGGTCGTGCCCCCACTGCGAGGCCGAGCCCAATCAGGAGCAGGACACGGACGACGAGCACCAGGAGTTCTGCAGGTGGGCAGGGCCGTCTTAAACCTATTGGAGGCCCTGGGCATAGATATTAGGATAATGGGGCCCCTATGACTTTGATGTTGATTATGACTTGAAATGGATACAATACAAGTCATACTGATGAGTGTACTACTGATGATTTTTCTTTAAAATGTGTATGTGCTTAGTATACCATTATATGTATATTTAAATTTATCAAAGCATGCTGGAGTCGGAAAGCCTAATTTTTGGGCGAGAGTAGAATAGCTTCGCTTTTGTAAAAGCTAGTAAGTTGGTATTGTAGTCAGTAATTTAGGTTCGATTTTATCGAATTGTATAAGTTTTTTGGTGATAAATATTGGTTATCTTTTGGTGATCTGACAGGAACTAGGGACTTTGTTCTGTGATGGGTGATGACATGTAAGGGGAATCCGGCAATAGACAATCACCTTGCGGCGGTTAGTCGGCGACAACAAATCGACATTTGCCCGGGGCGCGAAAATTTTAAAATACGCCCCTGATGGGTAGTGCGAAAATATGGTATTAAATGGAAAAGTACTAAAAAAACGAGCGAGCCTTACAGTAGTTGCGTATGATGTGTAACTTTTGAAACCTCACCTTATATTAGTAAAAAAAGAAATAAAACCTACTACAATAGGAATAAGCCATTTGAACATTATGTTCTAAAATCAAATCAAATAGCGCGCGCTTCCCAAACTTCCAGTTACACACTTCCGTCCCACTTCACGTAATCACTCCCACAAATTGTACGAAAGCGAGAGGAAAGACGTTACACATCAAAAATCACAGCAACACTTAATTAATCACTTGTGGTATTTGTGATAGGATCTGTAAGGACGGCGGCGAGCTTCTCTGCTGCGACTCGTGTCCGTCGGCGTACCATCGGTTCTGTCTGAACCCACCCCTAGACGAAGTGCCCGATGGAGAGTGGAAATGCCCGCGATGCAGTGTGAGTGTCCTTTATATTTACCTATATTCAAATTCATTATTCAGTTTAGGCTTTTATCAATGAAGTAGAAATATACGAATTAAATACGAACTGCGCTACACAAAAAGTGGTTCCACGCGAACTGCGATCAAGTGGTCGTGGCGAAAAAATGCGAGCAACACATAATCATGGGGTTGGTTGGGATTTCCGTTTAAAATTATCTTACCCAATGAATGGATGGCCGAATTCAAATGAATTCGCAAATGCTAGTATTTGATTTTTCAAAGTACTTATTTTGTTTTGTTTGTGTGCGTGCCGCGTTAGTGTAGGAGTTAGTTGTATGGTTTGGTATTATGTTTAAGAGGCCTTTGCTAGAGAGTATTTCTTTCATATCACTTATAATTCGTTAGAAATAAGGACCATAATCTAGAAAAACAAATTAATAGCTATGCAAAAAAATGGGTTGCGTGCTCATAATCGTCTCTCTTACGCTTTTCTGTCCGTATTAACTTTGCACTTACATTAGATGGAGAAATTCACCATTATCTATACCTTTGTTATCCTCTCTGTAATAGTGTTCTCATATAGCTTGTGATTGTCTTCATCAATCACGTAGTCAGGTAGTGTTCACAAGCAAGTTTTTTTGAACTCAAACTTATTGTGAGTACTACGAATGCTTAGTTTAGTGGTAGAGCATTCCACATGCATATGAGTGATAGCGAAAAATGTAGATCCAAAGCCAGAATAATTAACGGGAATTTGTAGTATGAGATTTCTGAATGAGCGAAGATCACTTTGATTGGAAGTGCCCAGAAATTGGAATCTAGATTTCAAGTACGCTGGAGCACATGGATCGTATAAAATCTTGAAGAGCATGCAAAGTAATGTAAGGTTTCTTCGACCATTGATAGGAAACCATTTAAGTTGTTTTCTAAAGGGAGAGTTGTGCTCGTATTTTCGTAAACCGAAAACAAAACGAATACCGCTGTTGAGCAAACGATCCAATTTGATAAGAAGGCCACATGGCCAATCTCACTCAGAAACATTGCTCTGATTGGATAGTTTACGCACTCGCTTTTGCCGCGCTGTATTTGGACACACCTGTATCTAACATTTTATTTGTATTTACAATATTGACAATATAATAAACAAATTTTGTTACCAATGACTATCCCACTTGGTGTAAATTGTATGTTGAGTTTGACGGTAACAACACTGTCTACTACCTTTCGTCTTTTGTACTTTGACTATTTTCCTTTTGCGAGATTTGGATTTTTAATAGTGTAGTCTAAGTATAAGAAATCTAAATAAAAAAATTGTTTATTCAGTTTAGGCTGTTACAAGCACATGTCAATATATATATACAATGAATGGCTTGAAGCTACGCCATCAGTTCGTAAATCTACGGCGGGAGACCTTGTACTGAGATGAACCGGCAAGAAACTCAGCAAGGGCTGTTATTTTCTCCCTGTTTTAGTATATACAGTGTCTTCAAGTTGAAAACTGACTTCAATTTGAGATGATTCATGAAGTTACCCTGCCTTACATAATGTTAATTATACAATTAATTACCTACATTTTGATTGCTGTGTCACACAGTATAAATCAAAAGTATTATTTAAATAAGTCTTATAAATCCCTTGTGTTCGCAGTGTCCTCCGTTAGACGGCAAAGTTGCGAAGATTCTCACGTGGCGATGGAAGGAGCAGTCGTCGAAGTCTAAGGCGCCTCGCTCCAGGGAGTTCTTCGTCAAATGGCACGAGCGATCCTACTGGCACTGCAGCTGGATCTCAGAGATACAGGTATACCGAGAAAATATGTTGTTTTTATTTATTTTGAGTCTTTCATATTATTTTTATTCAATTATTTTCCAATATATTAATTAGATTGTCAACGTGTAGAACAGAATTTTTCTCCATTTATTCAGTCGAAACCGTATTTAGGTATATATAGAACCTTGTTAATCTTCAAGTGTATAAGTGTACATTTTAAAAAATGCTGATGCAAATATAAACCTTATTAAAGTAGATGCATAGAGCGTTTTATAAAGAAGAATTTCATCTATCCATCTAGCTGGACGTATTCCATCCGTTAATGTACCGGTACTACATGCGAAAATCGGACCCCGAAGAACCTCCGAAGCTGGAAGAACCATTAGACGAGCGGGATGGCCGCGTCAAACGGCTAAAGGACAAGACACAGGACCATGACCAAGACGAGAAGTTGCTAGAGGAGAAATATTACAGGTGACAAAGAGAAATAAACACCATAATTACTTGCTACTTGTTGATCTTAGTGGTCGAGTGGTATGTGCGCCGGGTTTCCTACTCGTGAGGGTTCGAATCCCGGTAGGGCAATCCTCAATGTGTGACGAATATGAGCATTTGTACCTAAATCATAGATGTTTATATGTATTTCTACATAAAATATACTTGTATGTGTATTCTATCCGTTACATTAGTATCCCGCAACATAAGCCTTTCAATGCTTACTTTGGGGCCAGGCTAATTTGTGTGAGTGTTAGAAATGATTATTATTATTTATTTAAATTACTTCACTCTCTAATGGCCAGTGTAGCGCTATGACTCTTTCACAAAAGTTCATGGCAATTAAAGTTTTTTCGCTGTTTTGATGTGGCACTTAACGAGCTAACAATACTGCATTTGGCATTCGTTGAATCTGCGTTATTGAGATATTTAAATGTGCAGCTTGACATCTGCAACAGTTTCGTTTAGACTCCAGCCTGTTGAAGACAGCCTTTTACTATCAGAGACAAATATTAGCAGAAACCGTATTCTTTTCACTTACAATCTAGCAAGGTCCGGTATCTAACCGTCTTGTTTCTTTCAGATATGGTGTGAAACCTGAATGGCTAGTGGTTCACCGAGTTATCAATCATCGCACTAGTCGTGATGGTACAACGTATTTCCTTGTAAAATGGCGGGATCTTTCCTACGATCAAGCCACTTGGGAGTCGGAACACGAAGACATCGCCGGTTTGAAAGCAGCAATGGATTATTACCAGGTAAACCTATCTTCTCTCTGTTCTTAAACCTATGATAAACTCTGTGGAAGCTGGGCTTGTCCATTTAGAGTAAATTTTGTAATTAATCAAAGCTATAGGATGCCAAAGAGTAGTAACTTTCGAATGTTCGAATTCCGGCTTACCCATGACACGGTATTTTGTTGCCGAGGTATTTTGTAGTTTTAATAGTTACGTTTATTCCTTTATAGGACATGCGAGCGTACATCACTTCGGAAGGCAAAACCAAAGGCAGCAAGGGCAAGAAAGTCGGACGCAAGAGTAAGAACAAAGATGTTATAGACGACGACGAAAGCAGCAGTGGCTTGCAAATGAAACCGAGGAAGTATAATCCTCCACCTGACAGACCGACAACTAATCTCAACAAGAAATACGAGGACCAACCGCCTTTCGTCTATGAAACCGGAATGCAGCTACATCCTTACCAATTGGAAGGTCTCAACTGGCTCAGGTATTCCTGGGGTCAAGGCATCGACACCATTCTAGCCGATGAGATGGGTCTCGGCAAAACTATACAGACTGTCACATTCCTGTATTCACTATTCAAAGAGGGACATTGCAAGGGACCTTTCTTAGTCTCCGTGCCACTCTCTACCATCATCAATTGGGAGAGAGAATTTGAATTATGGGCACCAGATTTGTATTGCATCACATACGTCGGCGATAAAGATTCCAGGGCTGTTATCAGAGAAAACGAGCTGACGTTCGATGACGGAGCCAATAGAGGCGGACGGCCATCCAAAATAAAATCCCAAGTTAAATTTAATGTTTTACTGACGTCATACGAATTGATCTCGATCGACTCGACGTGCCTCGGTTCAATCGATTGGGCCGTTCTCGTAGTAGACGAAGCGCATAGATTGAAGAGTAATCAGTCGAAGTTCTTTAGGCTCCTCGCTGGCTATCATATCAACTACAAGTTACTTTTGACCGGTACGCCGCTACAGAATAATCTAGAGGAGTTGTTCCATCTATTGAACTTCTTGAATAAAGATAAGTTCAACGATCTGGCCGCTTTCCAGAATGAATTCGCCGATGTCTCGAAAGAGGAACAAGTCAAGAGGTTACATGAGATGTTGGGACCGCACATGCTGCGGCGACTTAAAGCTGACGTCCTTAAAAATATGCCAACGAAATCTGAATTTATTGTTCGTGTAGAGCTGTCGCCAATGCAAAAGAAATACTACAAATATATCTTGACGAGGAACTACGAGGCTTTGAATCCCAAGGGTGGTGGTCAGACCGTATCGCTTCTCAATGTGATGATGGACTTAAAGAAGTGTTGTAACCATCCCTACCTCTTCCCAGTAGCGGCAGAGGAAGCGCCATTAGGCCCTCATGGCAACTATGACACGCAAGCTCTGATCAAGGCGTCTGGTAAGCTTGTCCTGTTATCTAAAATGTTGAAGCTACTGAAAGAACAGGGACACAGAGTGCTGATATTCTCGCAAATGACAAAAATGTTAGATATCCTCGAAGATTTCTTGGAAGGTGAAGGCTATAAATATGAAAGAATTGATGGTGGTATTACAGGCACGATTCGTCAAGAGGCTATTGATAGGTTTAACGCACCAGGTGCACAGCAGTTCGTGTTCCTTCTGTCTACCAGGGCGGGAGGTTTAGGTATTAATTTGGCTACGGCCGACACTGTAATTATCTATGATTCTGATTGGAATCCACACAATGACATCCAAGCTTTCTCTCGTGCCCATCGTATTGGTCAAGCCAACAAAGTGATGATTTATCGATTCGTCACCAGAAATAGTGTAGAGGAAAGGGTCACACAAGTAGCAAAAAGAAAGATGATGTTGACACATTTAGTGGTGCGGCCGGGTATGGGCGGCAAAGGGGCCAACTTCACAAAACAAGAATTGGATGACATTCTGAGATTTGGTACTGAAGAATTGTTCAAAGAGGAGGAAGGCAAGGAAGAAGCTATTCACTACGACGAGAAAGCTGTTTCCGATCTGCTCGATCGATCTAAGGAGGGTATAGAACAGAAAGAATCTTGGGCCAACGAATATCTTAGTTCCTTTAAAGTCGCTAACTACTCCACGAAAGAAGGGGATGGGGAAGAGGAGGTCGATACGGAAATCATTAAACAGGAAGCAGAAAACACTGATCCCGCATACTGGATCAAACTGCTCAGGCATCACTACGAACAGCACCAAGAAGATCAGGCGCGGACGCTCGGCAAAGGCAAACGTGTACGCAAACAGGTCAACTACAACGACGGCAGTGTCGCGCAAACAGAAAACAGAGAGGACACGACGTGGCAGGAGAACGGCTCTGATTACAACTCGGACTTCTCGCAAGGCAGTGAAGACGACAAGGAGGACGACGACTTCGACGAGAAGAATGATAATGGCGATCTACTCAGTCGCCGGAGCAAGAGACGATTGGAGAGGCGCGAAGAACGCGACAGGCCTCTGCCGCCGCTATTGGCGAGAGTCGGCGGCAACATGGAAGTGCTCGGTTTCAACGCGAGACAGAGAAAGTCGTTCCTCAACGCAATAATGCGATACGGAATGCCGCCGCAGGACGCGTTCAACTCGCAATGGCTAGTCAGAGACTTGCGGGGCAAATCCGAGAGGAACTTCAAAGCGTACGTGTCGTTGTTCATGCGACATCTCTGCGAGCCCGGAGCTGATAACGCCGAAACGTTCGCTGACGGTGTCCCTCGAGAAGGCCTGTCTCGGCAGCACGTGTTAACGAGGATCGGTGTTATGAGTCTCATCAGGAAGAAGGTGCAGGAGTTTGAACACATTAACGGATATTACAGTATGCCTGAGTTGGTTAGGAAACCAGTGGAGCCCGTGAAACCGGCGGCAGGAGAAAGTGCCGCTCCGAGTCCGGCACCTTCTACCGCCACGCCGATAACTTCGGCCGCCCCTTCGCCGGCCCCCACCCAAGTGACACAAGCTTCCGGTCAAGCTCCAACGCCCAGTGGCTCCGATAAAGACGACAAGGAAGAAGTTAAAGAAGAAAAACCTGACGTAAAGGAAGTGAAAGATGAGCCGATGGATACCAGTGATATCAAAGAAGAGAAGGTCGAGGAAAAAGAGGCACCCAAAGAGGTGAAGGAGGAAGTGAAAGAAGCAGAAAGACGCATGTCCGTTGATGAGGAGCCGCCTAAGGAAGAAGAGGAGAAGAAGCCTGAGGAGAAGAAGCCAGAAGAAAAGGAGACGGTTAAAGTAAAGGAGGACGTTAAAGAAGAAGCGGATAAAAAGGAAGACGTCAAGAGTGAGAAGGCTGAATCTGAAGCGTCCGAGAAACCTAAGGATGAAAAGAAGGTAATACTTTTTTATTTTTTGTACAAATTTTTTGACGATTCTTTTTTTTATATTGAATTAATTGGATTTATTTCATCATAACCTACCAAAAGATGATCAAAATCGACCAATTCTGGTTCATTGATAACTTTTATACTTCTATGAGGAGCTCGATGGCGCAGGTGGTTAGCGCGTTCGGCTGCGAAAGTTGAAGTTAAGCAACTTTCGCAGTGGTCGGTCATTGGATGGGTGACCAAAAATTTTTCATCTCTAGCACCTCCGTGCTTCGGAAGGCACGTTAAGCCGTTGGTCCCGGCTGCATCTGCAGTCGTTAGCACCCACCAATCTGCACTGGGTCCGCGTGGTGGGTCTTGGCCCAATATCCCTATTCCATCCATAGGGAAGGCCTGCCCCAGCAGTGGGGACATTAATAGGCTGATGATGATACTTGTGGAGGTTCACACCAAAACGTAACATTTGACATGTAGTTCAGAAAATAAGTTGAGTATGTAGATCGGTTCGAATTCCTGAATTCTATCGAAAACTTTATTGAAGTTGCAACAAAACTCGTTCAATTTCGTACTATAGCGCTATGAAATCAACAAGTTGCACCAAAACGTAACTATTTTATTCGGTAAAGAAGATTGTTCCCTCTGAATTTAGGGTTTTATAATAAAATAATAATAGTATGTATATTTCTCTTTTTTTATAACAAAATACATTAATTAAAATGTCTTTTTTTATTCATATCAAAAAGTGGCATTTGTTAGTAGATCACAATAAAAAAGTAACAATTTTTACAATGATCTCACCAAAACGCTACATGAATAAATTAGTTTCACAAAAACGTAACATTTTTTTTTTAATAATTCTCATGAGTTAAAAGTATAAATATTCACATGATGATTGACCCAAATAAATCTATGCATTAATAAGTTTTTTTTCCCATAGTGCTATACTCACTATTACTACTAATATAGATTGCTTTAAGCATTGATGACTTATTCGTTTTTCTCAAATTCTGTAAAATCATTGAGGATGTAAATGTAACGTTTTGATGTGGACCTCCACACTTAATCCTGTTATCTCGAATACGATCAACCAAATATAGGTATCAAGGAAAACAAAATCTAAATATTTTTTTTACCTGAAAAAAATCCACGCAGTCCAGGCATCAGACGCAAGGGCGGATCCAGCTTTGGCGCCAGGGGGGGTCATTTAGTCGTGGTCAAGTCACAGTGGGTATAGATTGTGAAGTACAGATTGTAAAGTGGGTACAGATGGACCCAGCCCAGGGGGTGGTCATGACCCCCATGACACCCCCCCTGGATCCGCACTTGATCAGACGGGACTCAAACCCGCAACCTCCACTATCTGGGCGGACGCACTGACCTATTATGCTAACGCGACCTGAATGGCCGTGTCGAATTTCTTCTAGTATTTCTTAGGCTGCAAGGCTCGCAGGCTCTCTTCGCATTGTAGGTAACCCACAATGACAAACCTTTACAAGTATTAAATATTTGCAAAAAGTAATAACTATTGTAGATTATCATATTTTTGAGCCTTCAAACAGTTACCCCCTTATTAATAAACGAAAAATAAGCTTGGATTTGTTACTCCATGTTTTGTCTCTGTTCATTGAATGACAAATGGCATTTGAGTGATAGGAACAAAACATGGTGTAACTAGTCAATTATATAATAATAGTTTATTAATAAAGGGGTTAAAGTTTAAATCTAAAGAAAGTTATGTATTCTAGGAACATTTTCTTTACATTTAAACATCTAGCAGTTATATGCTTCAAAATTAAAAAATATAATAAGGAAAACAAAGTAATTAATTAGTTCCCCCTTAACCATTCGTAGGAGGAAGACGACGATGACGTTGTCCTCGTAAAAGAGGAAGAAGATCTCAAAGTGGAGCGGCGCAAGTTCATGTTCAACATCGCCGACGGCGGGTTCACTGAACTCCATACGTTATGGCTCAACGAGGAAAGAGCCGCGGCCCCTGGTAGAGAATACGAGATCTGGCATAGACGGCACGATTATTGGCTATTGGCCGGCATCGTCACGCATGGCTACGGCCGCTGGCAAGACATACAGAATGATCTGCGATTCGCCATCATCAACGAGCCCTTCAAGATGGACGTCGGCAAAGGCAATTTCCTTGAGATCAAAAACAAGTTCCTGGCCAGGCGGTTCAAGGTGAGTTTTATTCTAAACTCATGTCATTACAGAAAGGAATCAAAAAGCGTTCTGTCCCTCTCGCACATATCCTAAGTAACTTGCGAGAGAGACAGAATGTCTTACGTCGTCATTTCTTTATTTGATGACTCGAGTTATATGTATTGCATATTTATATTTGCTGTATGTAAATTAATTAAAGAATAGTCGTGTACCCCATTAAACTATGTAAATAATTATAAACATGAATAATATCGATTCAATGTGATTAAAAATTCCACCACTAAACGCCCTTTACAAAATAAAATAACATGTTGGCTACCGTCATCGTCATTGTTCTAACTTCATGCCAGCAATTCACTTGGCTATTCGTGTTTGCTATTTGTAAACTTGACATCAGTCTGTCGTTTTCATTCGTTAAAAAGTATGACAAGGCTAGACTGTTTTCAAGTTTACAAAGAGCAAACACGAATAGCCAAGTGAACTCCTTTCTTGTGTGCCGCTGTTTTCCATCTTTGTATTATGGAAGCGATTTTGTGATAAACAACGAATTAGAAATAATATGGAATACGAACTGCTCTAAAAAGTGGTTCCACACAAACTGCGATGAAATGGGTGGGGCGAAAAAATTCGATCAACATCCGAATATGGAATTCGTAGGGATTTCCGTTTAACATTAAACTAGTCAATGAATGGATAGCCGATTTCATTTGCAGATACATATTTGATTTGTCAAAGTATTTTGTTTTGTCTGCGTGCGCGTCGCGTTAGTATTGAAGTTTAGTTGAATGAGTTTGGACCCATGTTTTAGCGGCCTTTGTTAGATATTAAAACTTCCATATCGTTTCCAATTCGTTGGTGGTAAAGAATGAATGTGATTCTTTTTATAGTTGCTGGAGCAAGCGCTAGTGATCGAGGAGCAGCTCCGTCGCGCCGCGTACCTGAACCTGACGCAGGATCCCAACCACCCCGCCATGTCGCTGAACGCGCGCTTCGCCGAGGTGGAGTGCCTCGCCGAGTCGCACCAGCACCTCAGCAAGGAGTCGCTGGCGGGGAACAAGCCTGCCAACGCGGTGCTGCACAAGGTCTGTGTACTACACTATACCCGGGGCGGGGCTGATACAACCACCCCGCCATGTCGCTGAACGCGCGCTTCGCCGAGGTGGAGTGCCTCGCCGAGTCGCACCAGCACCTCAGCAAGGAGTCGCTGGCGGGGAACAAGCCAGCCAACGCGGTGCTGCACAAGGTCTGTGTACTACACTATACCCGGGGCGGGGCTGATACAACCACCCCGCCATGTCGCTGAACGCGCGCTTCGCCGAGGTGGAGTGCCTCGCCGAGTCGCACCAGCACCTCAGCAAGGAGTCGCTGGCGGGGAACAAGCCAGCCAACGCGGTGCTGCACAAGGTCTGTGTACTACACTATACCCGGGGCGGGGCTGATACAACCACCCCGCCATGTCGCTGAACGCGCGCTTCGCCGAGGTGGAGTGCCTCGCCGAGTCGCACCAGCACCTCAGCAAGGAGTCGCTGGCGGAGAACAAGCCAGCCAACGCGGTGCTGCACAAAGTCTGTGTACTATACTATACCCGGGGCGGGGCTGATACAACCACCCCGCCATGTCTCTGAACGCGCGCTTCGCCGAGGTGGAGTGCCTCGCCGAGTCGCACCAGCACCTCAGAAAGGAGTCGTTGGCGGGGAACAAGCCTGCCAACGCGGTGCTGCACAAGGTCTGTGTACTACACTATACCTGGGGCGGGGCTGTACAACCACCCCGCCATGTCGCTGAACGCGCGCTTCGCCGAGGTGGAGTGCCTCGTCGAGTCGCACCAGCACCTCAGCAAGGAGTCGCTGGCGGGGAACAAGCCTGCCAATGCGGTGCTGCACAAGGTCTGTGTACTACACTACACCCGGGGCTGATACAACCACCCCGCCATGTCGCAGAATTCGCGCTACGCCGAGGTGTAAACGTCATATTTCGTATTTCATTGACGTAGACAATAGCGCCCTCCCTGAACTTGTCACTTACATTCGTCAAGATCCTTGCGGCATTGTAACTCCAACATTCCATTCGAGTTATAGGATGTAAGTGTTCCTGATTGAAATTTTATATGTACCGTGTCAGGATGGGGATAGAAATTATAATGCCAGCTTCACAGTTCTTTTTTCACCACACAGTTCTTTATTAAACACAGTGTACAATGTCCTTATACAATCACACACACAAACATTTTATTTGCACTTTAATCGCCTATATCATCGATCCAAAATTGCATCCAGTGCACATAGTACTGGCCATTCCAAAAAAAACCAGTTCAATTAAGAGTTCCCTAGCACCGGCGAGTACTTTTTTTTATGTAAGTAGTACGCTTGAGTTGTCAACAAGTAGGCAGCTGCCATTGCACTTTCACCCTTACGCCGCACTGATAAGGCTCATATTCGAATGGACCGCCCCACTCGGTCTTCATCGAGGTGATTCACGTCGCAAGCAGCGGCTTATTTTTGAATCGTTTTAACGTTCCCCTTTCCCGTTTTGCCGCAGGTGTTGAACCAACTGGAGGAGCTGTTGTCCGACATGAAATCGGACGTTTCCCGTCTGCCGGCGACTTTGGCGCGCATTCCGCCCGTCGCTCAACGGTTGCAGATGTCAGAGCGATCCATCCTGTCGCGACTGGCGGCCACCGCCGGCAACCCTGTGCCCGCAGGTATTAAAGAGAATTCATTTTATTAATAAATTTGCGTTGATGAAAAAAACACAGGTTGCGTGTTCAGAGCACGTCGGAATTTGCCAATGTGCCGTCGTTGCCCGGGTTACAAATTTGCCATCGAATTCGTCGGCGTCGGAGTCACCAATTTTCCATTGGTAACTGAATATAGCTTCTGACGGCGGGGTCACCAATTTGCCAAATGTTTGGCAAGGAGTGTAATGAGACTCGAGATGATTTTTAATCTGATTTAATTAACATAAGAATAGGGTGTATATACTAATAAAGGTTTTATCTTATTTTAAAAGTTAATCTATAATCTAATAAAATGTGGTTTATCTATGTGCGTGCAATTATGTGCGATATGCTGTCGCTACTTATTTTTACTCACACTTAGCCTATCCCTAAAGTTAGGTTTATGTTATGATGGGATACTAGGGTATCGGATAGAATATATATATATTTATATATATAAGTGTGAAATGAAATGAAACTGATAAATATTAACTAATGGGATTGCACAAAATCTTCGCTCTATTTCAGTTGACAGATTTTGAGCAATCCTACTGCTTAATATTTCTTCGTTTCTCTGCTTCACAGTTTCGCTCCGTTCTTATGGACAGGTGGCCTTAATGTTACAGCTGGGGCACAGGTCTCCCCTATAGATGGAATTAAGACACTCAAATGACTCAAAATCGGGTTTTATTACAAACAGAACAATGGAATATCAGTACAGCTTGCAATGTGTACGCATGTGAACATTTCGTTTGGTATTCGCAGCTCAAATGGCGGCATTCCCCGGCGGGTTTTCTGCGGGCGGTTCGTTGCCGGGCTTCTCGCCGGCCGCCGCCGCCGCCGCAAACTTTTCCAACTTCAGGCCGCAGTACTCCGTGCCCGGCCAGCCCGCATCCACCGGATCTTCTGTGAGTAACAATAACTGTTTCCAGAGGCTAGGTTCTTATAGAAATGATGGACTAACGTCCGACCGCAGTACTTCGTGTCCGGCCAGCCCGCATCCACCGCATGTTCTGTGAGTAACAATAACTGTTTCCAGAGGCTAGGTTCTTATAGAAATGATGGACTAACGTCCGACCGCAGTACTTCGTGTCCGGCCAGCCCGCATCCACCGCATGTTCTGTGAGTAACAATAACTGTTTCCAGAGGCTAGGTTCTTATAGAAATGATGGACTAACGTCCGACCGCAGTACTTCGTGCCCGGCCAGCCCGCATCCACCGGATCTTCTGTGAGTAACAATAACTGTTTCCAGAGGCTAGGTTCTTATAGAAATAATGGACTAACGTCCGACCGCAGTACTTCGTGCCCGGCCAGCCCGCATCCACCGGATCTTCTGTGAGTAACAATAACTGTTTCCAGAGGCTAGGTTCTTATAGAAATGATGGACTAACGTCCGACCGCAGTACTTCGTGCCCGGCCAGCCCGCATCCACCGGATCTTCTGTGAGTAACAATAACTGTTTCCAGAGGCTAGGTTCTTATAGAAATGATGGACTAACGTCCGACCGCAGTACTTCGTGCCCGGCCAGCCCGCATCCACCGGATCTGTGAGTAACAATAACTGTTTCCAGGGGCTAGGTTCTTATAGACATGATGGACCAACTTCAGGCCGCAGTACTCTGTGTCCAGCCAGCCCGCATCCACCAAAACTTCTGTGAGTAACAATAACTGTTTCCAGGGGCTTCTTATAGACATGATGGACCAACTTCAGGCCGCAGTACTCTGTGCCCGGCCAGCCCGCATCCACCAGAACTTCTGTGAGTAACAATAACTGTTTCCAGGGGCTAGGTTCTTATAGACATTATGGACCAACTTCAGGCCGTAGTACTCCGTGCCCGGACAGCCCGCATCCACCGGATCTTCTGTGAGTAACGATAACTGTTTTCAGAGTTTAAGTTCTTATAGACATTATGGACCAACTTCAGGCCGCAGTACTCCGTGCCCTTTCAGCCAGCATCCACCGGATCTTCTGTGAGTAACTATAACAACCGATTACAGTTTCTGAGGAGGCTAGGACAGGGATCGGAAAACTTTTTACTTATCGTGTCAATATTTACAATCAGAATCTATAGCGGGCCACGATTTGAGTTCCCTCAGAATTAGTAAATCAAGTAAAAATATAGCTCAGTAATTAATGCCCCTCACGCAACTTGCAGCGCTAGAGCAATGTAAATACGCCCCTATAAATAAGTACTCGGAAGCGGGGTTGTTGGAACATGTGACAAAATAGTACTTTTGGTACCTTTGATTTTTGTTTGCGGGGCGGAATCCAACCATACGGGGGCAGATGGCCCACGGTCAGTAGTTTTTCTGTACTTGGTTTAGCATATCTCTAAACTTAGATTCATAAATATCTATTTAGCATTTTAAACTTGAAAGAAAACGTAAAGTAACAGTTTTTAAATCTCAGTTTCAAACTAAATATGGCGTCGCCGTATCTGAGGTCTCGGTTCAACTCACGATTGGTTCGGACGTTCCGAGATTTGTGAGGGCCCTATATTATTATCACTGTGCTATTCTGATTTATGTAACACGTTTGCCTCACCTTAGAATCAAATAGTAATAATTATTATTTTCTTTTTCAGAAATCATAAGCCTGCGTCTTATACATTATACTACTTACAAGTTGACACCTACAGGTAATTTACTTCAGTAGCAAGCTGTAATTTATTTATATTTGTAACATAAGTAGAAATCCAGTCCTAATATCGAATGTATTTGTTGCAGTGAGGATAAATGGTCACATAGATAATTATTTTAGAATGTAAACTTTCCAAGATTCCTGTTCCACCTTGGGTTTGAAGTGATAATTATAGTGATTAGTGCGTTATGTTAGGTAACATAAATATTACGTTCGTTTTGAAACAGAACTCTCACAATTATTATTTATTTCATCCTGATCTGTATGAATCTTGTTTATTGTGTAAGTGATTGTGGACTTATAAAAAAACCTTTATTTTTAATTTACCAAAAATAAGAATTGAATAAATCATACAATTAAGTGATAGTTGCAGTTTTTTTAGATTTTCCTACACTTATCCTACTTTCCTTTCTCCGTCAATCACCTCAACAGTGGCAGTAATATCATCGCAAAATTTCAAACAGATTGTAACTCCTCATACTCATGAATCATGATATTGCAGCCGGGAGCAACGGCTTAACGTGACTACTGAAGCACGGGAGGAGCTCGAGATAATAAGCTGTATTTGTGACAGGCAGAGTGAAGGCGCTAACCACCTGCGTTCATCAAGCTTCTTTGATGCCATTATTTTTTGATGATCATAAATCAATTCTTAATAGTGCTGAGTCGAAGCGAAATTCAGAAACAGCAACATAAAAAATTCAGCCTTATCTCTGCAACGTAATATTCATATTCATTCTGAGCTAATTGATGATCGGTGTTAATTGCAGACGCGCGAATAAAGACAAATGCCCACATCTTTTTATATGAGACAGAATATGTACATTACGTTGCAAGGATAGGGGTGAATTTGATTTGTTTGTTACGTTTAGATTGACGCTTCGACTCTGCGCTCGCGTGAAATGATCATTAGCCGAGACGGCCAAAATGAAATTAAAAACAATTACAAATCACACAACAGCATTTCTCAAAGCATGCATAGTATTTGCATTATTACTTTTATCATAAATAATCACCTTGAAATGTCTTAGAATTCATAATTTGGGATTAACTGGCATTATGGAATCAGGTGGAGGAAAACGTGTACTATACGATAGGATCTATGATGAAGTCATTGAATCTAAATGGACGAAGGGTGACAGTGATACTGGACAGCATAATATTTTGAGAAGTATAACATTTAGCGTAAAAAGGAATTAAAATTAATTTTAAAAGTTGTGGGTAAAAAATGAGCTCAAAAAGCAGATGTGTAATAAATATTTTATTAAATACAAGATCGTGATTAATTGAATACATAACAGATTCAAAACAAGGAACAACAACAATATACGAATGTCACCAAGTGTACGTGTCATCTTCAGTATTATACTTGACGCTGTCTAAAGGCTTCACCACTGCGGGGTCGGGAGAGCAGAAATGCTGAAGCATACTCTCACTTATGCCGCAATCTGATAGATTCTCCTTATTGAACGCTTTACTGAAGTGGTTCGGTTCGTTTTCTTTGGAGCTTTCATCTGCAAAGGTAATAATAAAAAATCAGCTGTATATCTATAAAAACATGGAAGTTATAGATTTATGACCCGAAACCGACTCGATCTCCACATAGTGCGATGCTTTAATGATATTTTTATTATGAAAAAAAAACTGAGGGTATTTAAAAGTAGTAATATTATTGCCTTATTTGTTTCTTGAGTTTTCACGCACACCGCTCATTAAATGAAACAAGTTTTGAACGGGTGTAAATGCGTTTTTAATACTTTTTTACAGTATCTTTGACGCTTCGCATTTTTGATGACGCATACTGAAATAGAAACGAATCGCCGAAAGTACTGTTAAGAGTATTAAAAACGCATTTGGGTATAAATTCAAGTTCAAAACTAGCTTCAATTTGTAGGTATATTGCTTGCATTTATAGATAGGAAAGAACTATTTTAAAGGTGAGAGCCTTTTTGATGTGCATCGCTCGTGCTTTAAAATAGTGTTGCTGCCGAAGTGGGCACTGAGGCAACAAATTTTTCCACATACTTAGAACTGGAACTCTAAAAAAATTTTCATCAAACCCATACGTGTGGGTTCATCCATCTATGGATAGATCTTTAAAATTGATATTGAGATTTCTAAAATATTATTTTTTTCTAAACTGAATAGTTTACGCGAGAGACACATACAAAGAGGTAAAATGTGCCCCCCCCCCCCCACCTGTAACTTCTAAAATAAGAGAATGGTAAAACTAAAAAAAAAATGGTTGCCTGTAAAGTCGGTTTTACGGGCGAAGATTTTACGTGACAACGTCTTTTTCTCGGTAGAATATTTATTGATATGAATATAATTAAATTGCACAATAGGAACAAGGAATTGAATGAAAATAAGAATTGCACAAATTTTAACTATAGAAATATATTTTGTTTACTAAAACATTGTACATGTAAACTTAAACTTAACACGAGAGACTCATCGTAACGTTACCGAGCGTTACACTTTTTCATAAGTGACTCCCAGCCGCAACCTAATTTAAGACGTTGTCACGTCAATAATAAGGTAATAAATATGTATGCTAATTTTCAAAGTTATAAAGGTTACTTCAGTGTTTTTTAAATATTAATTTTGAATAAAAACGTCAAATGGACCAGCCGCTATTTTTGTTCCATAAATAGTAGGTAGGTACCAATAAGTTTTGCTGTTCTGGATTCTGGGTGAATAAATCGCGTCAATAAACAAAGAAACGACTATAATTTATGCAACTGTATAATGACGCAAGATATTCCGTCCCTCTGGAATATTCTATCAGGAACAACGTGCGAGAGGGACGGATTGTCTTCCTTTCGTTTCTTGATTGAAACGAATTATATCAAGTATTTTTATCGGCTATAGAGTCTAAAGTTTGCGGCTTCAAAAGTGCTTATTAACCGCCTAGATAGAATAAATGGAATTAAAAACATTTATGTTGATAGGTACCATATATTTGCACATAGAGAATGGATTGAGTGGCATTCTCATGAAATTGAAAATATGATAGCTTTGCCTCTCACTTATCTCTTCAGTTTTACTTTACTGTTGGACGTAAAAACCTCAGGTCATCTTTATCTATGGTCTATCTTACCTTCAGCTATGCCGTTGGCTGCGTAGGTAAAAGCTAATGTAGGCTGATGATGTGCAAATGTGGCGCTGAATTGAGCAGATGAACTTTTCTTCAGCACATTGAATAGCGTGTGCACAGTCGTCGGCAAGATTGGCCCTCGTAGCTCTATCGAGTAGTACTTTTTGCTGTCCGCAAGTACAGTTTTCTCGCCTACCTAATGAAAAATATATTGCTTGACATGTCATTCACAATTATAAATTGGCGTAATATTTCTGCTAAACCAATGTGATATTGGTCTTTTTTATTCATATTATTAGCATATAGTAAAATTCTTTGGACCGAATCGAAGTTACACCTAAACATGTTATACAGGGTAGGTTTTTAGGTTAGGACATTGTCTACGTTACTAAATTGCTTTGAACGAGAATCCGATTTTGTAGCCATCTACTGAACAACGCCCTCCATAATCATCATTTAAAAGTTGGACTACCTACTTTAAATAGTTGTTTTATCTCTGTTCATCAAATTACAAAATAACATTCGATTGATGTGAATTCAATCTAAGTTTTTTCTTGTTTTATTACCAAAAGGGGGGCTCGTTAATTTCTTAAATCGGTTAGAGAGTAAACCAACCAACCAACCTTCAACGAGTGCAGAGTGCCGCCATGGAAAGCCGTGGGTGCGAGCAGTGTGGGGGGTACCCCCGCGAAGGGTCCCGTGGGGCTCACAACAGACTTGCAGTTGAGAAGGAAATTGAACAACGCCTGCGCATCCGCTCCTCTAACGAACACTAGCGACTCGGCCGCGCTGTCCACGCTGCTTTCTGCCGTGTGCGCCATACGAGTCTGATATAATAAAAATAATAGTTATTTATGCAACTGTATAATGATGGGTATTAAACTTAGATAAAAGCAAAAAGGGAAGATACGGCACTAGCGGCTCAAAAGTGATCCGCTTAAATTGTGGTGCTTGATCACAATTCGCTGTAGTCACAATTGGACATTCAAACACGGTGCATGTGCACTCAATATAACAATATTGCGTATATTCTGTGTTATAAAGATAAAACAATACCTTCGATGCTTTTTTAAAGAACACAAATAGTTTGAAATCAAATACCTCGGCAATACTTCTCATTCGTAAAACTGAAAAATATTTTTATTCTCTAAAATCACGGTTTGTCGTGAATGTTATTTACGTAATTGCCATTATGTTATCAAGAAAAGGATAACAATACAACTCAGCCGTTCGCACTCCGCCGCTTCGCTCTCTCTGCGTTGAAGTGTACAGTTCTGTCTCGCTCGCTCGATTGAATGTTATTTACAGACGTGTGCGTGTGTGAGAGTTGCTTATGTAGTTGAGTCTGATCCATGGAACTAATAAGTACTACGTACAACTGGAATGCTCACTAGTTTCGGAGAGCGAGCCGAAAGAGAGGTTAAATTACTTTGTCTGTCCTTGTCTGAACACGTTAACCACATTTACTAAATATTTAGGATTATTTTCGCGTTGCAGTTGAACAATCATCGAACATATTTTTATTTTTACAGAATGATGTCACTTTGAATGTAAAATCAATGTAAAGGATGTTTTTAAACAGATATTTACTCTATTCGGGTTTACTTGCACGAGCACTACATATTAAAATAAAATAGGCACTCTTTCGATCGAAACTTCAGACTAAATAAGAAAAATGTGTTTCAAACTAATGATGCGCGAGTAAATGCGAAAAGTGTGTTTCATTTAAAAGATATTAAGTAAAACTTTGTGAAACTCCACACGAAATGCTCAGATAGCCCTTGATTATGAAATCCGATTGATAAAATGAACTGTCATTTTCGATTGATATTCATTGCTTCTCTATTGAATGTCGCTGCAACAAAACTAATCACTAATCTACATAGTTAGCAACTACGTGAGAGTTCTTATTAGCAACCGAAGTTACATTTTCAAACTCCAGCAAAGCTATTTTTAATTGTATCAATATCCATCTCAAATATAAATCAGAATGACCTTAATAAGTTTTCATCCTGTACTGTTCAAATCAGTAACTTTTAATAAAATAAAACAATTCATATAGGTGCAGACTATATTTATTTTAAAACATTTAAATTATACATTGCTAAACAAAATAATTTTTTGTAATTTATGCCTCAAAGTCGCACGGGATGACAAAATGCGTTGCATAGTTACATCTTTTCCATATGAAGACATTCTTAAAGTAATGTATTTATTAACAATAAATCTCAATAGACGGTACCACTCCAGGCTTCAATATTTTCCGAGCTTCAGTTCTGTAGTTTTCAGCTTTGAAGTGAAGGGTGCATTTAACAGAATTATTATTGAAGTTTCCAGAAATTACCTCAAACTATTTGTCTCACTTCAACATTCAATTGCAACCTAGAAAGAAATTAACTGTCAGAAATATTTTGTGTATTTTTTTACATAATTTCGGAAAATGAAATTGCAAAACACAATTAAATTGAACATTTCTACAAAAACTTGATTTAAAGGATACTTTAATTAAAAACCGAGCCAAATAAAAATATAGTACTGAAAAGTATAGAATATGTTTCTTCATCTTTCACTATTACATATTTCCCTTCTTAAATCCTTAGTTCGCTAAGATGGCACAGTCACCCTAAGACTAATAAATGATAAACTTACCTGTGAAATGATATTCCACAACCAGGATACCGTTCTTTAGTACACCTACTTAGAGTACATATATTGTTTACTATTTTAAAAACAACTTTGGGTTCAAACAATTTAGCCTGATTTAAACCAACAGGAAACCAATTAAAATACGCAGTAGATTCAATTCACAAGAAAAAACCTGACGCCATATTGTTTACAATCGGTGAAATATTTCTACCAGTGTTGCAAGACTTAACATTCTAATAACTTACAATCTAATGCGGTTAATAATAAAAAACAATTAAGTCTGACTTTGTTGTTTTATACTATATGTCTAATTTATAACAATAAATATTGACTTAACGAAGCTGAAATATATTTTATTAGCAACAGCTTTGAAATGTGAAAAAAACCATTTCACGAATTGATTTTTAGTTGCCGTATGCCTGTTTGCTAGTTCCTTATTCATTTATAATATACCGTAAACATTCCAATTTAAATAGTGTTTCTAATTCTATGAAAAAATAATCACCTAAGTAACACATATTTTCTACTCTTAATTGAACAAATATTCATGATGGCAATTGTGTGAGAGGGACACACCAAGATAAAGTTGGTCTCTTTCGAGCTCGTTTTCTATTCGGTTACTGAGTTATTCGATAATGAACCATAGCTTATAAGAGGTACGGTTTACTTTGATTTGACAAAATAACTACAGTGAGCATTCCAGTTGTACGTAGTACTTATTAGTTCCATGGTCTGATCATCTATACTTATAATAAATCTGTAGAGAGGTCAATTCTGTACATGAAATATATTTTCAAAATAACTATCAGGGGGTGATTAGTGGTCGATACTGATGCCAAAAATGCAATCAGTAAAATTTTTGTCCGTCTGTCTGTCTGTGTGTATGTTCCTTATAGAAACAAAAACTACTCGACGGATGTTAACGAAAGTTGGTACAATTATTCTTCATACTCCTGGGCAGGTATACTTTTCATCACGCTACAATTAATAGCAGCAGAGTAGTGAAGGGAAATGTTGGGAAAACGGGAGAAGTTACTCCATTTTTTAAGCTTCCGTCGCGTGTGCAGCCTTAATGGTTAAAGATACATAGAAATCATGTATGACGGAGAAAATTCTACATAAAATTGTCTAAAAAATGTCCCGCAACAGCATATGTCTATCTTTTATGGTTGACTCACAATAACACGTTAATTATATAAATAAAGTCATTGTTTATAGCACAAGCCTAAGAACAAAAACTATAGTTTACACTACAGCTCTACACCGAAGCGAAGCGAGGGCGGGCCACGAGTATTTTATATGATGCTAGTATGAGCGTACCGTATCTTCCTTTTTTGTTTTAATGTAAGATATTAAGACTCCAATGTGGGTTTGGCCTCGTGTGATAACAATATCACATGAGTGTATTAATAGCTAATTACTATAAACAGTTGTATACAAAACTTGTTGTCCTGACTTAAAATATAAAACATAAGAATGTGCCGTTGGGTAACTTAACTGGCATCAACAAACCTGGCAACCCAGTAGTTGGTCCAGGTAAATAAAAGACAACAAATTTATACTGTAAGTCAGGACAAAATTTTCTTATTATCTTGATGTTGCAATATTTAATATTTTTTTTTTAAATTAATTATAAATAGTCTGTCCAGTATTTTTTTAGGCAACCCATTTTTTATTAATTTTCTAATATACTAAATTCATGATAAAATATGTTTCATTCTATCGTCAGCTCGGTGAATGATGTAGGTTTGGATCTTGGACCATTATATAAAACATTTGTAACAGAATGTTTAATTCTTGATAGTCAATATTATTACCAAAATAATGATGTGACAAAACCTACCTGATTGTGATTGATTTTTTTTATAACTTCAGTCTCCAATCCCAATTGTGATAAGAACTGGTCAGGGTCCTCCTCTTCATCTCCAGAATCTCCATCAGGTTCCAGCTTACACCCTTCGTCCATCGTGTCATAACAGCTGTCAAATGATGAGTTCTTTGGCTTGTCTTCATCTGAGATGTTCAATTTTTTTTTGCTCTCTGATCGGAGTGGCATTGTGAACTCCACATCTACATTACCATAAATACAATTAGAAATGGCTACTACTTTATCACTAGCAATAATGCTTAACACCACAACCAGTGCCGTCTTTGACCTATTGGAGGCCCTGGGCATATTAGGATAATGGGACTCCCGTTTGGAGATTTAACAGGAACTAGGGACTTTGTATTTGATCTGAGGGGGCCCCCTATCGCTCGCGAGGCCTTGGGCACTTGCCCAAAGTGCCCACTGGGAAAGACGGGTCTGACCACAACCAATTGGGAGATGGAAAATCAGTATTTTAAGAGAGGTAGGGCGCCGGATTTTCTGCTTGAAATAGAGCGCTCCTCTGGGGAAGTAACTTCCACCTTACAAAAGACCACAGTAAAATAACACTACCTTTTTGTGGAATTGTTTCTGTCGGTGAGTAAGGTTTGGCCCCCTCAGGGTAGATGGGGATTGGGTCAGGGTAGGCAATGGCGCGAGTGATATTTTTGTATCGCAAGCGTCTATAGGTTATAGTGTCCGCTTACCATCAGGCCGGCCATATAAATAAAAAATGGATGCGTGTAACTTATGTACGCGCGTGAGAAGTTATACTTCTTTAGCATCATTAAAAATATTTTTAATTGCATGCAAATAATTAATAATTACAATAAAATAATAAAAGGACTGGAAAAGGATAGTTAACACAGTCAATTAACCGGATTGCGAAGGATGCGGGTTCGAGTCCCGTCCGCTGCCTGGTCCGCGTGGATTTTTTTCTAGTAAATTTTTTTTAGATTTAATCAGTCAATTAAGTTCAGTTTTAATTTGAAAAATTAAATAAATATTCAAAATATTCAATTAAAATCACTACTGAATTTAAGTTATTAGTCCATATGTAATTAGCATTTGTAAGTAACTAAAACACGTTGTGTCTATATAGAAACTAGAAACATGTGGATAAATATTATAAATATGAAAACAGTGATCAGAGGCGACGAGCGTGCCAACATTGTTTTTGACAACGCGATCATCTTATGGAGCTCCGTGGATCGTTCAAAGTACATTTCGAACAGATGTGGTGAGAGGTGGTTAACCACTTAGTGGTTAATAATCCACCATTATTAGACACTAACATTCATAACGCGCCCGCGGCCAACTTCATGGTGTTACTATTGTGTTACAGTGATGCGCGCGCATCTCGAAATTTCACTCACATGATTTTTTCATAACGCGCCCGTGGCCAACTTCATGCTGTTACTTTTGGGTTACAGTGATGCGCGCGCATCTAAAAATTTCACTCTCATCATTTTTTCATAACGCGCCTAAAGAAGTATAACTTCAATAAAATAAATAAATAAATATTTCCAACACACACCAATTAGCCTATCCCCAAAGTAAGCACTATAAGGCTTGTGTTATGGGATGCTGGGATAACGGATAGAATACATATACTATACATATATAAGTATATTACTATAGAAATACATATTAAACATCCATGACTGAAGTACAAATGCTCGTATTCATCACACTAACATCTAACCCCACCGGGATTCGAACCCGGGACCTCTCGAGTCGGCGACACCATGAAACGGCGTACAAACCACTCGGCCACGGAGGTCGGCCATATGCTTGTTTGCTATCCTGTTAACATAAAAAAAGCATACTTCTCGTGTCATATTTATCTACTGTTTAGAAATACGAAACTGCAAAAAATACAAGACAGAAAGGATCTCAATTTCAGAGCGTTTCCGTTACCTTCTTGGCGCAGTGTTTGTCGGAAGCCCCTCGAGGTGGGTGTGATGAGTGCGCAAGGTTCCGACACGCCGCAGAGGCCAGCGGCGCGAAATAACACCGTAAATGTGTTTGCGCACACATAGAAGTACGGGCAATGTAGAGCTCTTAGCAGCTGTATATAAAGGAACATTAAAATTATATTTTGAAAAATAATTTATTCTAAATTAAGGTATTAAATAATGCATGCCAGACCCACCATACCCCCAGGGGTAGGGTGGGACTGAACCATAACACCGTAGTGCTGTGCACTATATGCTTTCAGGTTTTGTTTTTCCGAATATTACGTAGGTACCAGGTGTTAATAGCATCCCATATGGCATAGTATAAATATGTACTTATAATTCATTTTTACTTGATTGTTCTCAATAATAATCTTATCGTGTATTTATTTCAAGTATCCTTTTGTCCCTTGCAATAGGTAATTAAAGGTTCAACTTCACCCAGCTTGATATTTAGACTTCTTGTACAAGTTGATAAACTGTTTATTTAGTGTTGATCTATATTCTAACGATGAAAGATTTTTCTTACAGTGGATTAAGGCTTATTTTTTCAGATAAGATTAAGGTAATAGCACACAAAAATAGCCGAGTTATTAAGTTAATTTTTAACACTTTTGTTTTAATAAAATGACAACAGGAGAATAAAAGAGCTTAAAAGATCTTAACATAATTATGAAATTGTCTTTCAGCCGTACTGGTTATTTCATGTTATTTTTTCTTTTTTCGTCAAGTATTTAAGGTCAAAAATTTATATTTTTTAAAATATGGAATTCATTTTTGAAAATTAGTCTGTTTTCTGCGCAATTGTACGTTTTTCGTGGTCATGGATACGTTAATAATTCGAGTGCTAATGGAGTTTATAAGTGCCGTCGTGGCAGCAAAGCGGCAGAAGAGGCACGCAACATCAACGAAGTATACGGAGCGAACACTACTAACGATCGCACCTTCTGTTCTTTGTTTGTCCGCTTCCGTTCTGGAAATTCGAACTAAGAAATGAAGCCTGAAATTCACCGAAAACTTTTGTTGACAATGACGAATTAAAGGCGATTGTGGAAGCTGATGATTACAGCTCAATTAACCGCAGCTTTCAATGTTAGCATCAAAAATATATTGGTCCATTTGCGTCACATTGGCAAGGTAATAAACCTTGAGACAAGGCAAACGGAATGAGCATTACTGCAGCAGATGTGAACTTTGAATAACTGAACACAATGATAGGGAAGCTCTGCACATATCCAACAAGCTTTGGTCAATTGTTTGGCTCCGCTGCTCCTGCACTACAAGGCGCAACCTCATACTGCACAGCAGAATGTCTCCAAGTTACAAGAGCTGGGGTTGGAACCAGACCTTGCACCTACAGTCTTCTAGTTTGTCCAGAAATTGGATGATTTTTTAATATGGAAAAAAATCAGTAACCAAAAGGCAGTTCAAAATGCCTTTGAAGAATTTGATGCCTCCCATCCAGCGACTTTTTCAAAAAGGGCATAAATAAGCTACTATTACCTTGGTGAAAATGTGTTGATTGCATGGGTAATTACTTTGATTAATGAAAATAAAAAAATATAGAAAAAAAACAGTGATAGATATCATATTTTATGCAAAATTGCAATTTCATAGGTGAGACCTTATATTAGTGAAAAGCCTGAATTACCTGAAATAGTGATCTGAAACTTTCTGTCCATTCTCTGTGGAGAGCCTTTTTAACTTCTTCATTAGTTGCCATGAAGCTAGTGGCAGCCACTTTGCCAGATGACCGAGGGTATAAATTGAGCCAGGGTAAGTGAGGATGTTGCCAGTATAAGCAAGTTTGGTGGAACAAAGCACGAGGTGAAGTGTCCAAAGATGATTCTGAAGTTGTGTCAAGGCATCGGACAAACCTGCATAAAACAGTTTGTGTTAAAGTATTATATATACAAAGGGATGCAGCAAATTAAATTAAAAAATTGCTTTCATTATTATATTCATGCCCTCATTTTATATTTACCCAGTGATACCAGAAGCTTCCTCACTAGCTTTTAGTTTTGAAGTCCAGGCAAATGGCTTAGGCGACATTAATCTTAATCTAGTTTTTAATGCCCAGTCAATGGGCAAATGCTTGTATTTCTTTTCTGTTACTACCTGAAATATTAAATATATATGAATGAAGACATATTGAATCACATTTTGATTTTGGGTCTCCATTTTAAATTAATGCTGGTTCACAAGGGTATCATCAGAATATACACTCACTGATTCTACAGAATGGTCTGCTGTAAACTTTTGTAGTAAATTGGAGAAAGTGGACAGCTTTTCTGTGTCCAGTTCTTGTGCAGCCTTCTGTGGAACTGTAGCTGGTAGTTTCAGAAGTGTGAACAATGTTTTATCACTTGACTCATCCAGTGGCAAATCTGTATCCACTTTGACTCTTTTGTTCTGTTGTGTAATATTACTCCTGGAATTAAATTTATGGTTTAAAATAGGTTAATCATAGTACAGAATTGATGAAATAGTAATATTAGGTTTTGTATTTACTTAGAGAAAGGGTTCTTCCTTTTGTCTGCATGTTCACCATTTAGGATCCTAGAGAAATCTAAATCTACTGTTTTTTGACTTATTGATGTTTCTTCGCTAGTTGATGGTGTAGGTTGTTTCATACGCTCCTAAAAGCAGTAAATTGATAAATTTAAAGGGGTGTTTTAGGTATAGGTATTTGTAGGTTATGATTTTATAGTCGTGTTTTTCATTATATTTTTATCAAGTGAACAAATATAGGATCGACTCCAATCAATTCTTGATATATAAAATTTATATGTTACATATCACTAAAATGTTTACTCTATCATAAACTATAAAGTATTCATCCAGAAATTTATGCAGTTTGTTTATTTTTTGTAGTATCAAGGTTACTATTATAAAGCTGAAATAAATTATTATGTTCAATGTATGTTACAAATAAAGTAAAAGAAATGTAGTTACTATTCTGAATTACCTGTAATGCTCTTTTGCGTTTCTTTAACTTATGTAGTTGCATAACTTCATTTGGTCTTTTCCATGGTGAAGGCGGTGCCATTATATTTTGAATAATCAATATAAATATGAATTTACTATATCACCATTCAGTTATTTTTAATATTAGATCACAAATATCAAACTGAAAACAATACGGTAAACAAACACTTTGAAGTTCGCGTTCGTTTCCACAGAATAGAGATTTTTCTACTTCATCCATAGACTAAAAAGAGACATAACGTCAAAATCAACAGGGCAACCATAGAGAATTAAGGGGTACTGCGTTTCGTTTCCACTATTATTGACCTATTATTGATACAATCGTGGTTTGGTCATACATGGACGTACTATTTCAACAGGAAGTTAGAGCTTGTGTAAGTTTATGCTATCTCACTACGGACACGAACGGGGCGTGAGTACATACAACACCATTTTGAGGTTTATTTTATAATCAACTATTTTTAGGGTTGCGTACCTCGAAAGGAAAAAACGGAACCTTTATAGGATCACTTTGTTGTCCGGCCGTCCGTCTGTCAAGGCCCTTTTTCTCAGGAATGCGTGGAGGTATCAAGCTGTTTATATCAAATACTGTCCATTGGAGTTGCGAAAAAATCAAACTTCTAAGCCAACGCAATCACAAGTTATCGAAACTCGGAAGGGAAAAACCTACAGAGTACTTCCCATGAACTCAGAATCTTGAAATTTGGTACGCAGCGGGGTCTTATAACACAGATGAAAAATTGCGAAAACCGTAAATTTTTATTTTATTTACATCACATATATTTACGAAACCCTCGCTCGGTGCGCGAGTCCGATTCGCATTTGGCCTGTTTTTATTTATATAAAAACTATTGAGTTGATTTATGTTGTTAGGTATTGTATTAGTTGATCAATTGATCATAGCATAATTAATAACAAAAACCAGGAGCTCGTATTGCTTTTATTGAAATTTTATTTGGGTAATCCACTTAATACTTACACGTAGTACATACGTACACGTAGAATGCAACTTTTTAGCCTTTGGAACTAAGAAGTTGCATTCTACGTGGGGAGGTCCAAAAGTTCGTGGAATGGACGGGAAAAGGGCTGAATATAAACATTAAATTATTTTTCCTTTTCAATATATTCTTTCTCACCTTATACATTTGTGCAGATTTTTTATATTAGTTATTTATAGCATCGAAAAATAAAATGTTTTCAATATGACTTGTCGACGGGTGCATTATCGTGCAAGAGGAGTAGGTACACCTCGAGGCCATTTTCTCTTCTTCTTTATAGGATTACGTCTTTTAGTTTTTGCAGCAGTGTAGCGTAGTGTAGCCTCCCTTTATCTTAACACCTTTTTTTATAATCAACCAATAAAACTCACTCTGAATCCCAAAAAATTATGGCAACAATCTTTCCAACCGATTGTGGGTGTATTCCGAAAAACTTTGGCGGAGTGGTTCGCCCGCCCATGCCATCTCCATTCGTATATGCACTAAGGGCGCTAGAACTGTATGGGTCTGAATCACAGACTATTAGATGCTTACGCGTGTCTGAATGCTGGACAAAAAGACGACACATAAAAAAAGTAACGACCACGGTAATAAGACGGGTATGGGCGGGAGGCGTGACGAGGCTGAATAAAATTCTAATCCTGCCTAATCAACATTTTGTACGAGGAAGCATAATAAAGTTTCACCAAAAATAAAATAACTGAGAACTGCTTTCGCTGGTATAGCTATGTTCGAAGACGAAGCGAAGTGCATTCGGTAAATACAACGGGGGCGATGTTTGGGTTTTTTACTAAGTAGTAGCAACAGGTATTAGATATAATGAAGTTAAAGTACTGTAGGGTAAAGTTCTAACTTTTTCACTTTTTAACATTTTTGTAACTTTTTTTTTCCTAGGGGGGCAGTCGTCCAGTTGACCTTACATTCAGTTATATACAGACAGTAGATTTCTAGCCGGTCAGGCCGGCCCCTTCATTTACTTGTCAGGTAAGGGGTTTGACCAATTCAACTTCATCTCTTACACTCTTGTACCTCTGGGGTGAAGCCAACTTGAATGGATTCAATCCCTCTAAAACACAGGCCTGTCTCTTCTCGACGAAACGGAGTCCATTCCATCTGACTCCGACTTTCCGAAATGTCTCCGTGCCGGTTAAAGACTATCTCGAGCTCTTGGGTATGGACATCTCATCCAGCCTCAATTTCGGTACACGCTACACCGAGTCCATTGCTAAAACCGCTGCCAGAAAACTTGGAATACTTTCTAAGGTCAGGCGATATTTTACATCTGAGTAGCTCCTTAACCTTTACCGAGCCCAAGTTCGCTCCTGCTTGGAGTACTGTTGTCACCTTTGGGATGGATCTGCTCAGTATCAGCTGGATGCACTGGACTCGGTGGAACACCGTGCGAAGAGACTCATAGGCAATGACGCTCTCGTTGAGGCTAATCTCCAGAGCCTTAACCACCGAAGACATGTAGCTTGCCTCTCGGTGTTTTATCGGTTACATTTCGGAGAGTGTGCGGAGGTATTACATAATTTGATCCCCCCCTTCTCCTTTCCACCACCGGACGATCAGGCGCGGCGAGGGCTTCCACCCTTATACAACATAAGGGTGGAAGCGAAGTTCCTCCCATTCGCACGAAGCGATTTGCTTCGGCCTTCATTATGTGAACGGCTCTCATGTGGAACTCCTTGCCGAGGTCTGTTTTCCCGGACCAATATAACCTGGACATCTTCAAGGCCAGAGTGAACAGGCATCTTCTAGGCAGGCGTGTACCATCCTAGGCCTCATCATCGCTTTCCATCAGGTGAGATTGTGGTCAAACGCATTGCCTATTTTTCATAAAAAAAAACTCTTCTTACTCACATCCTTTATACCTTTTATTTATTACCTATTTCGTTTCTACTCTTCTTCCTTTCGCCTCTAACTATTAATAAACCGCCCTCTCCCCTTCCTCTCTTTCCCACCCATACGACCTCCATGGCTGCATCTCGAAGCGGCCTCGGATTCTGATGGGCCTGCTCTACCAAATATTTAATTATTTAAATCACAACATAAAATAACCCGTTATCAACTTTTAATGTAACTAATAAGTGAATAAAATTATTATATGAAAACCATCGAATTTCAGGCTGTGCAGAGAGGATTCTAGGGTGGACAATACACCTACCTAGCTAAGAACACCAATGCTCTGATATTTTTTTTTAAATTTAAAATTTTGGACGTCCAGGGGGCCATTCGCCAAACGGATATGCATTGGAAAACGCTAACGCTTTCGTTTTTATTTTGTTATATCTGACCGCCGAAGGTTTTCAAATAACTCACGCTCATTTTTTTTAACATTGTTGTTACCAATGCAAAAGAAAAAAAAGAGCGCGAGGCATTTTAATACCTCTGTCGGTTAGAAATAACAAAATAAAATCGTAAGCGTTAGCGTTTTCCAAAGCATTTCCGTTAGGCGAATGGCCCCCTGTTGTGGTCTTATGATGTGCACCTGCAACATAAAAGCAAAAGTTTGCAGTTTTGCTTTACCTAAGCTCACCTTGTCTTATCGTAGTGCACTTCAATTGTGGATTCTCAACCTATTTATGACTATTATTATTAAGTTGAAGTTAAATAAAGTGGTCAGTGGTCGCAGTGCTTAATTTTTTTAACCCACTATTGGCTAGTTATTAGTTATATAAAACTTTAAACTGCTTATCAGCTAGCTATAATTCCTATACTTGTCGTATTTAGGAATATGGTGACCGTTTCGGTTGCATAAGCTTTTAATCCTTTCAATGCTCTCAGATGTAAACGGACGTTTCTAGTCAGTTCGTGTCGTGCAAGCCCTGCAGTCCGTACGTAGGCAGCGCGCAACTCGCCATCGGCAGTCGCATGCCGAATTCCTTAGCTTACGGATAAAAACTTTACACCATGCCACTAAAATGAAATAAAAAAGCGGGAAAACAATTACAAGATCTTCACTTCCGGTCAAGAACTTCGAATAGGGATGTGATCATGGATTTCCAAACAACTGTAACATTTCAATATTAGCAAAAATGAAGCTTTTAAGAAACATTTACGAAATTATAAATAGTCGTTTCGTTTTGGTAAGTTTATTATTATTATTTATTTTAATTTACATGTTTCATTTAGCTCCGTTTGTATTATTTAGAAAATGAAGTTTTAAAATTGATGATTATTATAAAGTGAAGGTAAAGTTAAATGTAGTTCGTATTCCCAATTTTCTAAAAGAGCCGTGCATTATTCCGAGAACTATGCGATGATGTCAGAGTCATGGCGAATCCCGAAACTTGTTCAGTTCACGGCATGCATTACTTGATAAATTGAATTTCAATTATATCCTCCACGAGGCTAGCTATCAATGTATAAAATATAAGTAAATCTACAATATTATACTACCACCAAGTGATGACCCCGAAGATCTTTGATGAATGGACTATTATGTATTTATAAATCATCAGACATTCAACTCTGATTATAAAATTAACAGTTATAAAAATAAGAATTTAATGTAATTACCTAAGTAAGAAGTTGCATTAAACAATATTTCTCACATATAAAAATAAGAAGTTTTTAGAGGAAAATTAAAACAAAACTATGTTTGAACTTCTGACCATGGACAGTAGATTTCTCTACAGTTTACAAAGATGTTTTAAATTGGATTAAACTAGCATTAAGATTAAAGAATGTTATAACAAGTGGCCCTAAAGGATGCAACTGTTATTATCGCAGAAAAACAGCGAAGACTTATTCACACAACTGACAACTTAATGGACTTCTTCGAGTAGTACCTACGATAGTAAGATAAGTAAAACCGAATGAAATTTCTTCTAAGTTAAAATCATTTTTTTAGACGTATTCGAAGTCCTTGTGTTCGCGTTATATTGAAGAATGGAAAATTTTAAACATTTTACCTTGTGGACTTTGGTCCTAAATCACGGTGCCCTCAAACATAGTGAAATGTAGACGAAGGACTTTTGTCCGCCCGAGTAACGCACACGGCGGATTAAAAGTACCTTGTACAAAAAGTCCCTAGAACATCGAGAGCACAGCACAAATTAGTCCGCGTTGCTGGATTAAAGGAATGGACGTGGTCTCTTTAAAAACGTCTTCCTTTTTTTCTTAAACTTCATGTTAATTACAACAAAACATAATCTGAGCACATCTACTTTCATAGCGTGAGCTTTCCTAATTTTTCGGAGGACAAATGTATACACACGTTGTGCATTGAGTCTGGAACAAGTCCTCGGCGGATATTTTGTTCACGATTCAGCGGCACTCATGACCTCCGCGGACCAAAGCTCCGCGTCTGCGCAGGCCTTTTAACAAATCATATTGTTATGAATATCATACAGTAAAATCGGTACTATTATTTCTCCGCTAGTAAAACTTCAAGATTTGTCTAGGTACTGCCTGAGATAAACTTTTCTAAAACGTTTATAACTTCGTTTATAAAAAGGTATACAGATTATTTTAATTAATCGATAATTAATTTCATTACCATCTAGGAAATCACAAATGTAATTTAGTCAGAATAAACATTATAGTCATTATTTATTTTACAGAACAAAATTTAAAATATCAATTACATTAAAAAAAGTTTACCCGTTTTTACGGGTTCTCCGTTCTACCTTCTTCTCCGCATAAAGAATTTAATTTTCTTCTGGATAGTATAAAAAATGTAAAACAACTTTACTGCATTTTGTAAACACAACTTCGTATGTACGAGCAATAAGGGGAGCTGATAAAGCTACGGTTTCGTTTAAACCTAAATGCACCTTAAGGTGATTAATACTGTGTGGAGGTGTGAGGGGTGGTGATGATAGGTTTACCTGATAAGTGTAGGTTTGGAGTACAGGGAGCTTAGACAATTTCTATTCGATGGACCATTAGCTATAAGTAAAAAAAGCTTTATAATTATATGTAGCAAGCTGTTCTGTACAATAAATTAAATGTTTAATAAACATAAAGTTTTCATTATATTGGGTTTTGCTTATTTTCAATGTAAAAAGATAGCCGTTTTTAAGGAATAAAAAGAATGCCACTTGGCTGAGCTGTCAGATACACAATGCTAATACCTTCTTCTCCGCATAAAGAATTTAATTTTCTTCTGGATAGTATAAAAAATGTAAAACAACTTTACTGCATTTTGTAAACACAACTTCGTATGTACGAGCAATGAGCATTGCATGCCTGCCCGGAATTCTGGACGTGATAATACCTGGCTTAACTTTGCTCGTTAAGTTTGTTTAAGTTATGTTATGTATGTTAGCCGGAGAGCAGCTGCTATGCTCAGATTGAGGATTAATTACATATGGAATGGAATAGGTATTTAATTATGTTTGTAATGTTGTAATCCTATTCAATAGACAATTTAATGCAAATAAAGAATAGGATCATTATTAACTGGCGTCCCGCACGGCTTCACATGGGTGCATCTTAAAAATGAGAAATTGAGAAGCATTGAGATTTTAATACAAAATCAGAAAAAACGATTTAAAAAAATCCTGGAGGTTTCTGATGGAGTTTTTAAAATAAATCAACAAACCTTGTAATTTTTTTCCAATTTGGTGCAGTCTTTCGAAAATTACGTACATTTTGGTAATTCAATTTAAATTTTAAAGATAGATTACATAGCCGTTTCTCCTTTTAAGGTGAAAACAACGCAAATAATGCTTATGGTCTTTTCTGCATGGAAAATTGTAGCTAATTTCTTAAACTTTTTGAATAAGTATGTATAAGCAAACTATAGGAACTTGTATTCCATAACACAAAAGTCCATGAGCTTCGACTCTGCGCTAGTACGAATTGACGATAAAGCGTAAACTTCGTGAAGTAAGGTTAGGGCGTGTAGAGTCAAAAGCTTTTGACAGTGCGAACTCTAGATGACGAATTGACCATAAAGCGTAAAGTTTGTTAAGTTAGGGCTTGTAGAGTTAGGTCGTGTAGAATCAGAAACTTAGCTATTTGGCTGATCTGATTACTTTTTGGCAGTGCGACATATAAGGTGGTTCAGTACAATAAATGAAATGTTGAATAAACATAAAGCTTATATAATGCTTTTGTTCAGGATATTGTCTATTTTGGCCAACATTTTTCATGAAAATGTTTCTGATGGGATCAATTTCTCAATAAAGTAGAAAAATCATTATAATAATATAGAATAGGTATATTATTAGTAGTTAATGCCTAATATGAAATATTTATTATCGGTTTACTATGGTGGCTACTTAAACCTGTTACCTTAGAATAATAATGCCTGTTACATTGTACTGCCCAACCTAATCTTTCAGAACTGCTCTTTGTTCAGCTTTTCAGAGCCAGTTTGTGCGGGTGGGTATGTACCTAAATATAGTTGCTAGGTTAGGTGTGATCTCATAGGTGGGTATAATATTAGGTATACGTTACCATGCCATCACAATGCTTTGTTTTAAAGCGTTCAAATGTAAAACTTACCTGATTTTCTGTATAAAAAGAATGTTTTGTTTTGTAAAGTAGGTCAAATAATGGCTACCTACCTATAGAGAATCCAACAGATTATTTACGGGAGGAGTTTGGACTTATATATATTTTATAGGTAGGTCTAGGTAAACAGTTTTACTAACTTCCAGCTTAATGTCAATTTAGGTACTTTTGAATGTGCATTGACCGGACTATATAATAATTTTTAAACAATGTTATTTTTCAAATTTTTTTTCAACGTTATTTTCTATATTATATTTAAATAAAGATAACCTAAACGTGATGGAGATATATAAAATTTCGAGCATACAATTTATCTCTATTTATGCATAGTTGAGGTGTTTATCAGCGTTCATCTAATGTCCCTGAAAAACTTTCTATTATACCCGTTTTAATAGATATATTTTATAAACTTTTCCACATATATAGTATATAAATAAATATAATAAATAATTAAAAAGACAGACTAGTCATAGTCTTCTTCTAAATTCTATGGATTGACCTTTCCCGGCCATGTGCGTGTCGTGCCACGCGCATTGTAGGGTTCCGTAGATGCCTGTCGTTTTAAAATATTTTTGAGCAGTCTTTATTTTCTGTATCGGAAATTAGAAAAACCAATTAATAACAATTTATATTTCTGATGAACAATATATTTTCAGAAGTTTTATAGTTATAATTTTTACTTTCAGATCAGAAGTTTTCTCTTGTATGACTCTAAAAAAGGAAACACTTCTGGTGTATTACTGGATCTTTTCACAAGCGTTATCATTTGAAGTTGGTCCGTCCTTTGACTCACTTGTTCAATTTAATATTTTCTACAGGAGTTTTTCCTGACTTGTTTAAGCTTGCTGAGATAATCCCTATATACAAGTGTGGCGACAGAGGCTGTGTCAACAATTTCAGACCCATTCCAAAGTTGCCTACGCTATTGAAAATAATCGAAAAACTAATAAATAAACGTCTTGTTGATTATCTTGAAACCAATAATCTCATTTCAAGTTCACGATATGAATTTATCTATAGATATATATGTATCTAGAATTCTCGACTAATGATGAAGTACATCAACTGACTGATCATAAAGTAAAACACTAACACAAGAAGCGGAAGATAATTAAGATATATTTCCGAATATAGCAAAGGCTTTTGACACGGTCTCACTACTGCTTGGTAAGCTGGAGAAGTTAGGGGTTAGAGGTGTCCAGCTCGAGCTATATTTTTTTAATAATAGAGTTCAAAGAGTAAATGTGAATGGGCTGACTAGTGATAACTTACCAATAAACTATGGCGTACCTCACGGGAGTGTACTAGGACCCACCCTATTCCTAGTATTCATTAAAAAGCTTTGTAATCTCGTGTTGCAGAATGGTAAGGTGGTGACGTTTGCAGATGATATTGCTCTTATTTTTCATGGTGATAGTTGGGATGAGACTTACAAATTTGCACAATTGGGATTCAACTTAGTCAATAATTGGCTCAAAAATAATGCACTGACACTTAACGTAAAAAACTAGATTTATTCCCTTTTCTATACAAAAATCTTCAATTTATGACAAATATTTTTTTAATAGCGCACTCCTGCACATTGAGCTCTACTTGTACTTGCAGTTATATTTCTAACACCGATAACCTTAAATATCTTGGCATAGTTATAGATAATGCTCTCAGTTTTGACCATCATATAGATCGACTTTCAGGTCGAATTCGGAAGTATTTTTTTTTATTTTCAAGATCCTCTATAACATTGCAGATAAATCTATTAAAAAACAGTACACCAATCTTTCTGTCAGTAAATTTTAACCTACTGCAAGACGGTATGGGGAGATACCTGCAAGTCCAGACTTATAACTTTAGGAAGAGCTCGGCGTGCAGTCCTAAAAGTAAGTTACTTCAAACCTTTTCTTTTCCCATCTAATAATCTATATGCTTTAGGTGATGTCGTCAGCGTTCGTCAACTTTTTATTTTCAATACAGTGTTAAACAACACTATTCAACCACTTATGACCCAAACCTCAACGCAAATAAACGACACAAACACAAAGTTTGTCCTCGTAATATTCAGTGGACAACTGCCTTTTCAAGAAGATTCTTTGGATAAATAGGCTGTATTTTTAAGAACACAACCTATTAATCACATAAATAGCAGACGAGTTCGACATCGGATGATTTGTTTTAATGAGAACTCAACAAATTAATCAGATAAATAGGAGATCGAACTGTTCCGTCACGTGCAAATGAGTTATATTTAGTGGGATAGCGTAGGTAGTAAAGTAATTAATGCAGGCCCACACCCGTTACAGTCCGTCTATCGTGGCGGTCTATTCATGCGCTCAATGGCTTCGGCTCGGCCTGCTAACGTCCCGTCAAAGCAACACCCGCAGAACATATAGGGTTGCCAGATGATCGGGAATCGACTGGAATGGGGCATGCACTATCCACGTCTAGTTTTAGTAGGCTGTGAGGTGTCCGGTGAGGGGGGAGGGGGTAATTCTTCCGACAACAATCTGACATTTTAAAATGTTATCCAGATATTTTGACTTCTTGATCTGGCAACCACAGAACACAGAAAGAGGTTAGAAGAGCATTGAAGGCGGGGCAGAAGCGCCACAGTTATGTATGAGCAAATGCTCATAACTTGATCTAAACTTGGTTCTGATTGTGTCGTTGCTCTCGGGTGTGAGTGCTGATTGGTTCCATTGTTTTATGTCGCGTCGTTGATTGGCGATTTATTAGGGACAAGCCGGCGACAACTGTTCCCGTACAAACAGTCTATAATCACCCTTCTAAGCTCTTTCTGTGTTCTGTGCTGGCAGCCCTAAGAACATACGTATGTACAGTATGTAGAGTAGATACGCACCGCCTGAATAGTCTAGCTATACACTTCCGTTTCGACGCGAGCTGTCGTAACTGTGACGTTTCTTTCAATGGAACTGCACGTACACATGGTTAAGTGTAAACTAGAGGAATAGCCCTGTCCACCACACTATTTACGACTTTAATTTCTAGTTTTCTTATCTCAACTATACCTATGAGTTACTACAATGATAATTTTTTGACATTGCGAGCCATATTATGGTCATGGCAACAATTTTCATGAAAATGTTTTTGGCGGGATTAATGATTCAGTTATTTATAACATTAAAAAAACGTACCTATTTAAAAAAATAATACATTGATCTGCTCTGTTTTGTTTCATTCTTAAAATAAAATAGAGATCAGCTTGGAGACTACAGTATTAAAGGAACATTCTTGTTGCTAAAATTAGCCTAATCTTGGTTTAAACTTGTCATGTTTACACGATAAGATCATTTTGTAAACAGCATTTGAAGGCTAATATTATTTACCAGAAGAACTGAATTAGTTTTTGTTCATAAAATATGTATTTCAATGTATTCGAATGTTTGAGGAAATGTGGTTCGTATAAAAGCATTGTGAAGTGTTTATGTTGTTTTCATTTGAAACATGCTCATGCCTAGCCTATAGTCTAGTTTACGATTCGTTACAATGAACTCTACAAAGTTCAGTTGAAGAAAATTTCAACAATATCGATTAAAATAATTTAAAATATTACTTAAAGGTACCTACTTAGAGAACATACGGTATGTTATGTGGTCACAACGCCTAAGTTATCCTAGTTTCACATAGCAGAGCTGCTGCAGCACGCAGACATTTAACGCAGAATTTCTCTCTCTAGGGCGTAAGTTCTAGTGTACCTGTAAATCTATCTCAATTCACATGTAGGTAGGTACATATTATAATAAAGTTTTAGTTGGTATTCTTAAAATGTATTTAGAATATGTTCAGAATCCTAAGCTGTCGTGTTTAGTACACTTATTAACTCTGTAAACACGTGCGTGACATTATGTGATGCATATTTAAATCTCTTTTCGTTGTTTCAGATATTATGGATCTCATTAGCAACGTATCTTTTTTACAATACTTTTATTTATTACCTGTATGGACGTCAGTTTTATCATTTAAGGAAAATTTTAGGGGTAAGGCTGTGAATCTTCCTGTTAAATTAATTGACTTTTCATTCGATACATTATCTTGTCGGTTAACCTGAAGTATGTGGAGAAAACATCAGTTTTTAGTTTAAATTGATAAAGAAAAGTTTCATTAAGTTGCCAAAGCTAAATGACAAACCTGATAAAAATCTCATCGTTAGTGAACTCGCGCAGAAAGTGAAAGATGCTGGTTCGATTCCAGCTTGTCCTAGCTACTACTTCTACAACAAGTTGAATATTTCACACAAGAAAACGCCTGAGCTTTAAAAACCTAGCAATCAAATAGTAACATAGTTTGAAAACATTCACAGTTAGGATTATGCGTATCCCGGGGCACGGCGACAGTGTTAAATCTGTGCTCAGCGCTGGTGCTGCTGCCCCTCTGCAAGAAACTCAACCAGCTGCTGTTCCGTCTGCTCTCTCACTGGTGCCCCGGCCTCTTCTTCTACTGGCTCGAGAGGGCCAAGAGCTTCCACATGACTGTCGCTGTAACGCTCCTATTGTTTGCTGGTGAGTCAATCAAATTTGAGTTTATAGTAAAGGTTCTCAAACTTATTCTGTCTACCGTCAATAGCTGAACCAGCTGTTGTTCCGTCTACACTCTCACACGTATCCCAGCCTCTTCTTCTACTGACTCGAGAGGGCCAAGAGCTTTCACATGACTATTGTTTCCCGGTGAGTATATTAAATTTGATTAGAGGTTGTCACTCTCATTTTGTCTACCGTCAATAGCTCAACCAGCTGTTGTTCCGTCTGCTCTCCCACTGGTGCCCAGCCTCTTCTTCTACTGGCTCGAGACGGCCAAGAGCTTTCACATGACTGTCGCTGTTACCCTCCTATTGTTTCCCGGTGAGTAAATTAAATTTGAGTAGAGGTTCTCACACTCATTTTGTCTACCGTCAGTAGCTCAACCAGCTGTTGTTCCGTCTGCTCTCCCACTGGTGCCTCGCCTCTTCTTCTACTAGCTCGAGACAGCCAAGAGCTTCCACAAGACTTTCGCTGTTACAATCCTATTGTTTGCTGGTGAGTATATCAAATTTGATTTTATAGTAGAGGTTTTCAATCTTATTATTTCTACCGCCAATAGCTCAACCAGCTGCTGTACCATCTGCTCTCCCACTGGTGCCCCGGCCTCATCTTTTACTGGTTCAGGAGGGCCCCAAGAGCTGCCACATAGATGTCGCTGTTACGCTCCTATTGTTTGCTGGTAAGACTTAGAGTAAAGGTTCTCAAAACTTATTATGTGTACCACCAATTTTCAGAATATCAAATTTAATTATTATTTAGTGCTCGTCAAAATTACAGGCTTTTCCTGGCGGTCTAAGTCGGTAAAGACTCAGTTTTTTAGAAAGAAGTTAGATTACTTATACACTTTAAAAACATTATTTTACCAATAAGGATTTTAGCCTTATTTTTTACAATAACTATATAGGTATAATATGGATCTACCTTAATTTGTTGATTAATTATCAGTAAGTAGCGAAGTCTGGTTAGATCATTGATCTAAATGAATACCTTAAAATCGCTGATAATAACGTGTAGGGATGGATAAACGGTTTAATACATTAGCGGTAATGGTTCAAACATGACCAATGCGTGCTGTAAATCAGTTCCCCGTCCACGGCGCGAGCTTATCTCGGCTTATTCAGTGCCATATCACACGTATACCGAAATATTTCATCGGTGTTCATGTGAATGCATGTTGGCCAGCCAACACAAGTAGCATAATCTGCATTATTAATGTTCATTTCATATAGATCGTGTTTAGTAAACATTTCAGTGCGTAACTTTGTAGTTTTTTCCATGGTTGTGCACTGATACCATTTACCAAAAATATGAAAGAATGTGTTGCACGCAGAAACATCTAGCAGTTGCTAAAAAAATAAAAATGTAATCAAGAAAATATTTTTCATTTTAATACAACAAAAAATATGTAATCATGAAAAATTTCCAACTTTTCCGGTACCTTTTTGAATCGCGAAAATATCTATTATGTACATGAATTCCACAATATGCTATGGAATTTTTTACTTATAATATCTAAACTGATAATCATCTGAGATTTAATACTACTTGTTAGCACCTTTTAAGAAAATCTAAAAGGTGCTTGTTTCAGGGCCCCATCAAGTCCTCGAGACGTAAGCTAATGGCGTCGCGGTGTTTAGAACCGCTTTTGTGCCCGTGCCCCTGATGTTGATGGAAAAAAGGGAAAAAAGTAGGGTGTATTTACACTTTGTTTTGTCTGTCTCTGCCTATAAGCTACACAATGCTCTGTCCATTCACGAAATGTTTTTTGTTAGTTTTCTTAACAGACATTATATAAATAAAACGTTAATTATGAATGAAGGTAGTTTTTTCACCACTTTATTAGAAAAAAAATAGCGACCCACCCCGACTTTGCACGGAAAATAACTTATAAAAATATTTAAAAAAAAAGTAAAGTTAGGCGCCATTATGTATATGTCCAAGGTATGCTGTATGCCAAATTGCAATAAACGATACTATTTTTTTTCGTTTGGAGAAGTCGCCATATCAAGTTCGCGAAACCCAGGGCCAAGACAGAGTATGAGTAAAATGTGAAACATTTATTCGAAAATTGTAGTTTAGCGATTTATTAATCGGAAATCTTATTATAAATATCTTAAATGCATGTCGATGCAATCCTCTCGGCCTCAGTTAGAAGGATGTCTCCCCTGGATTGATTCTGTCGCGACAACATCCACTCGAGCTCTGGTAGTACGCTGGCTTATCCGAAACTGGAAACGGTGCTAGCTAACCAGGCGGGCGTTAAGCGCTTTACTACCAGTAGAGCGGATGGAAGCTCAGAGTTCCCTCGCTTGTTACGACATCCACGAGAAAATTAAAGAGGTAGTGAATAGAATCCTTTCTCCGTCACTGTATGAATATAATATAATTATGACGACCTCCTTGGCCGAGTGGTTTGTACGAAGGGTTTCATGGTGTCGCCGACTCGAGAGGTCCCCGGTTCGAATTCCGGTGGGGGCAGATGTTTGTGTGATGAATACGAGCATTTGATATGTATTTCTATATAAATATACTTATATATGTACAGTATATGTATTCTATCCGTTACCCTAGTATCCCATAACACAAGCCTTATAGTGCTTAGCTTGGGGCTAGTCTAATTGGTGTGTGTTGGAAATATTTATTTATTTATTTAACATTTTTTTTCTAGTTTATTTACAGGATGTTTTATTAATAATATTATTTAAATAAATTATTTTTCTATAATTTAAAGTATTATTTGATTGCTCTGGCATTATTTATTTGTAGCTCTGGTAGCTCTGGTCACAATAATTTCAAACACATATATCTCATAAACCATTTGCAGAAAATGAGGGACAATTAATAACGATTTCTTATTTTCGTAAAACTAAAACCTTAAATTATCAATAAACAAAAAAGCATCAGAGCGATCAACAGAATAACATTAATTTGGAGAAGTAGCCATATAATTTCCTTAGTTTTAGTCCATCAATAAACATACACTACGTATCTTAAGATTCTATGAGAAGGAAAACCCGACGCGCTATTAATTGGCACGCGGCGCCGGTTTTTGTAAAAGGCTTTAGTAAAAAGTTTAAGTTCAAATATGTACATATTTTTTAAGTGTGAATATTATAATTGTATGTAGGTAGTGGGCGGATAATAAGTCTAGTGTTGTTGTTTCAGTGATACATTCCATTTCTCACTTCATAAACTTGTGGAATTTCTCTAGAGGCTACGACGACGAACGACTTGCGATAAACTTTGCAAGCCATAGAAATGAGGTAAGAACTTTTATAGATAAAAAAAATGATTCAAATTAAATTCAAATTGTATAGTGGAAACAAAAAGTTTACACACCTAGTTATTACTCTTTTTTTTGTAGAATCCTTTATTACTTCTCTTGAGCCAGGCCGGGTTGACTGGCGTTTTGATGTTACTCATAATATTGTGTATGGGGCTCACATCGCTAAGACTTGTGCGAAGGAAGTTCTACAATGCTTTCTGGTATACTCATCAACTGTACATGCTGTTTTTGGTGCTATTAATAGTTCATCCCTTGAGGTAAGTACTTCTGAATGATTGAGCACAACTTTACTTTAAATCATATACACATACGGTGGTATAGCACAATTTAGTATTAGTATTAAATACTTTTGGAGCACGTAGTAGAAAGGATTGATGCAATTAACACCATAAATAGAATTACATACAACTGATCGAATTTCATCAATGTTATCTACATATCAACTACAATGCGGAGCTGTTATTTGTGTAAAACAAGAGAGTCACGAACAGTTCAGCTCCGACTCCGAACTCCGTGTTCGTTGATAGACATTAACCAAATTGCTGTGATATTATCTGTGGCTCATTGTTATACTGAGGCCCAAGCACGAACTTAGACATTTCGGTTATCGTATCACAGAGTCAAAGTTTCTATGAAACAAAGCAGCGTCGCTATCTGATTAGTAAGAACAAACTGGCTCCGTCCATGCAGCGCCGCTAGCAGATGAGTAAGAACAAACTGGCTCCGTCCATGCAGCGCCGCTAGCAGATGAGTAAGAACAAACTGGCTTCGTCCATGCAGCGCCGCTAGCAGATGAGTAAGAACAAACTGGCTCCGTCCATGCAGCGCCGCTAGCAGATGAGTAAGAACAAACTGACTCCGTCCATGCAGCGCCGCTAGCAGATAAGTAAGAACAAACTGGCTCCGTCCATGCAGCGCCGCTAGCAGATGAGTAAGAACAAACTGGCTCCGTCCATGCAGCGCCGCTAGCAGATGAGTAAGAACAAACTGACGCCGTCCATGCAGCGCCGCTAGCAGATGAGTAAGAACAAACTGACTCCGTCCATGCAGCGCCGCTAGCAGATGAGTAAGAACAAACTGGCTCCGTCCATGCAGCGCCGCTAGCAGGTGAGTAAGAACAAACTGACTCCGACCATGCAGCGCCGCTAGCAAATGAGTAAGAACAAACTGACTCCGTCCATGCAGCGCCGCTAGCAGATGAGTAAGAACAAACTGACTCCGTCCATGCAGCGCCGCTAGCAGATGAGTAAGAATAAACTGGCTCCGTTCATGCAGCGCCGCTAACTGATGAGTATGATCAAACTGGCTTCGTCCATGCAAAATATGAAGATACGATTATGGAGCTGTCAAATTTCGTGCTTGGGCCTCTGGTAGGTCCACGATAGGTCGACTTATACTATATCTTAATCCCCTTTTTAATCAACGAGGAATAAGCTTAGACTAGTTACGCCGTGTTTTGTTCATATCACTCAAATGTCATTTGTCATTCATTGAACAGTGACAAAACACGGAGCAACTAATCAGAGCTTATTCTTTATTAATAAAGGGGAAAGAGATTAAAAGAACCCAGTGTTTATAAGTTGTTCATAAAATATGTATCTACAATGAAATGAAATTTGAAAGCATTGTACCACAATTCAATCATTTTATAAATTGCTTATCTTATTTGTTTCCATTGTGAGTCACACTTACTGAGTCACAATCAAGTTCAGCGGTTGACATAAAGCTCAACTGCAAGCGTTGATTGGACCAGACCAAAAATATGGATACATGTCACGGTTCACATTCACATTGATTTGATGCCATGACCATAACTGATGATAACGAAAATAACTATATAATCAAACCTGAAGTTGTATTGTATAGTAGAATAGAAGGACATGAAATAACAAAAAATATCTTATTGATGTTAATAATAAATGTTATCTTGTTTAATATTAAGGGCGACTACACTATTGAATTAGGTATATACCTGTTATAATGGTGTAATGTATTTTGAATAAATAAATAAATCTTACGTATTTTATTTATGTTTTTTTTAACGTCAAATTGTAACAAAAACCAAAACATGGTAACAAGATATTTAAACACTAACTTTAGAAACGAAATTTTGTAAAGTTGTTTGTTATTAGTAACTAAGTGGTTGTCTTTTCAGCGGTGTTTTGAAGGAAGAAGTTTTGGAAGAAAATCGATTTGTCTTAAACTTAAAAGAAGAACAAAACACGAACGTCACTATAATTAGTGTTAAGGAGAGATTCGTTTCTATCCAGTCAACGGTAAGTTAACTAAGTATCTGGCTAATTCTTCAAAGTATGATGACACATTACCTATACACATTAATTGTTATAACAAAAGGCATAATCTGAGTATTAAATGGGTCAATGTATTTTAATAGAAACCACAGACTATAAGATACCTATTATAATAATGGTAAAAGGTCAAAGTTTACTCATAATGATGGGACTGCATGAGGCGTAAATTTATTTGTGGTTATTTGCATGACCTATAAAAACAACATTAAAAAACGCATGCATTATGAAAAATAACCAGCTTAAGTAAAACAGCAGCAGCACGAGAATCAAAGTCTTGAAAATTTTCATTTTTTTTTTATTAACAACTCCTTTACTTGTGCTAAATATCATGGCATTGTAGTACATGATTCTAGATAAATCTGCGTATTTGATATTTATTTCAAATTGAAACAACTTTAATAATATCACACAGGTACCTACAGTATAGCATCATTCACTTATTACGACAAAATTATTATCGAGTCAGCCTTTGAACGTTCTAGAGTATATATGCATAATTATTATTATTACTGCACTATCTCCCTTCATTTTAGACAGGTAATTGAATAAATTTGACCTAAATGAGCGTTCAGAACTTAATAACTATTTACCGAGTAGCAGCTTTGAATAATTCTTAAAGGCACCAATCTTATTTCCTTCTAGATTATGATAACATTTAGTTGATTAAACTCTTAGATAGATATTATCATAATTTAGCTTCAAACTGGATGAACCTGAAATTAGTTGGAGTTCCCGTTCTGCTGCTTAAGAGATTAAATTTGTATCGGATTTAACACTACCACCGCAGGCTATAATATTTTGAGTTATATTATAATTTAATAAATTATTTAAAAATGATTAATATTATTATTATATAATACTTAAATATAGCATAAACTAGATAGTGTGTGAAAATTATGCAAATAAAGGCTCATAATAAAAAAGCTCGCGGCAACATACACCACCGTAAAACAATAAAAGCTTGGCAATTTGTAAGTAAATAAGCAATTTACATACAGCATTTATGTTTTAATTTATTTTTTGAAAAAAGATGGTTAAACATACTTTGATACATAAACTTATGAAAGATTTATCTTTTAAATTAAGTGATGATTTAATGTTCTTTTAGTATAAAAAAAAATAAAAAGCATACGAAGCTTACACCCTGAATATAGGTATTTAGCTACACTAGGGTGTAGTAGCTACATATAGATAGCTATGTTTGTAATAATCTATTTTAACACATCATTGACTACCCCCTTTGGGTATGAGAGGGTGGTCCGTATTTAATAGACCCACTGACTTGCTTTATCTATCTTTGATCATGATCATGACAACATAATTTACAATTTAAAATTTAATATAAATAGAAAAATTTAAAACGGGAAATATAAACGGGCTGTTTGTTTCGTGTATTTATTTAAAAAAAGGTTTATTCAGCCATATTTACTTGCAAGTAATAAAGGCTTGTTTCTTTCTTTTATCTGTGACTTATTCCGTTTTCCACAGAAATTTAGCCAATGTCCTGTAGTGAAAGAGACACGAGAACTTCAGAGGGTGGTGATCGATAAATTTTGTTTCCAGTTTCTTCCTTGAGTGCACTCCGACTACCCCATTAATAGAATAGATACACCTACTAAACACTATAGAAATATTGGATTAGAAATAAATAAAAAAATAGGTATACTAGTTACAGTTACTAATAAAGTTCCTCATTCGAAATAAAATACGAAATCGGTAGAGAAGTAGAAAATCTTGTCATTTGCTTGTGCTTAATTGTTTTTAGTTGTTTTCGGAAGTTTGTTTGTTATACATTTCGGCGATTCATTTTTAGAATTTAAAAGGAAAAAGAAACGGAACTTTTAGGATCACTTTGATGTTCATTTGGTCGTTGGATAATGTGGAGGCATCGAGTTAAAAAAGAAAAATTGTTGTTTTTTTTAACTCCTTTGAAGCTGTGTAAAACACAAACTTCTAAGTTAACGCGAAAAAAAGATACAGCCGTGTATGTTGCGTACGTATGTAGTAATTTGTATGGAGCCCTCGGTGGGCGAGTCCGACTAGCATTTGTACCGGACAAATTTATATTTTTTTAGAAAAAAATATAAGAAGAATAAATAGTTATAGTATTTACTTATTTTATACCTTAAACAGATTTTTGAGTAGTAGTAACATGTAATTCCTAAGAAGTTTGGGCCACATTATGTCAACCTTTTTAGAACACAACAAAACGAACGATAACGATATCATACGCCGGTCCCTTGCCACCGTCAACGTGCTAAGTCTACTTGAGCTGACTGGTATTGCAAGAGACAATGGTAAGAGACCGGACGGTATGAGCTGGCCCCTTTCTATCCACATGGAACCAACAACAGAGTTGGTGCGGCTTGCGAAGCGGCTGAAAAAGCTAAGGCATGCAACTACAGGCGTCTTGGCTCCGAATATGATTTTGTCCATTCGGTGTCGAGACCCTTGGTCCGTGGGGTCCTAGCGCTGTAAAGCTTTTTAAGGAAATAGTAAAAAGGTTGGTCGACATCACAGGAGACCGAAGAGCTGGCAGATACCTCGGACAAAGAATAAGTCTAGCTATTCAAAGAGGGAACACTGCCAGTATTTTGAAACTTTGCCTAAAGGAACTCCTTTTAACAATATATTTTAGTTGTTACATATTTTAAGATTTTTAGTTATAAATATCTTGTTATAAGTATCTATTTGTTCTTTAGTTAAATTATTAAAAAACACAACAAATGTTCTGAAATGTTAGTCAAAATTATAAAAAAATGCGCCAACATTTTGTTTGGAGAACGTTTTGGTGCGTTTTTTTAATAGGTTACATAATTGAATTTCAACCGTCGGTCGACAAAATAAGTACCTATAGGTCGATATTAATAGAACTGCTTTATTGTTCCATTGAGTTGTAGATTTTACGACTCTAGCTGGACGCACCTCTCATTATGATCCAGATGCGACCTTCGATATCGTCAGTGAAGGATTTCAAGAATTATATAAATGAAAATGGTGTTGAAATTGAAACCCTAGATAAACTGAAGAAAATAATAATAAAATGGTAGCCCAGCTAGAAACTAGAATAATAAATAAATAATAAAAAAAAAAAAAAAAAACTGAAGAGAATTTTACTAGAAAAAATTCCAATCTGTTCAGGTATCGGACTCGAACCTGCACCTTCCGCAGTCCGATCAAGTTCGAGTTCCTCTGGTAGGTAAATTAAGCAGATTAATGTTTCAAATATAATAAAATACACATAAAATGTTTGGATTTTGTGACCACAATTACCTCAAGAAATAAGATTGTACTAGTTACGTAAAATGCAACTTATTGCAAAGTTATGGGGGGCACAGATTATCACGTGTATTAGTGTGATATTTAAATAATTAAACTGCATTTCAAAAATGTTTTTCTTGGAATAAAACTCCCTCAAAGCAGGGTTACATTTTCCAACGTAATCATAATTTTTAAAAACATGTTGGTTTCGTGGTAAGGTAAACACATGGTACACACCGAATACCATTTTCGATTAGATGTTACGCACGTTAAGACGAACTGTTTTTCTCTTTACTTTGCAGACTTGGTTGTGGATGGCTTTCCCCTTGACCAGTTTTATATTAGACACTCTATGGCGAATTTCTTCAAGAAACCTTGCTAAGGTTAACATTTTGCAAGTGAGTATTCTATTTTTTATATAACTTTTTATCTCATTATTTAGTATTTCATCTTTAGGATTTCATGTTCTTGCCTACTTAGGTAAAGATAATTTTATGGGTTTAGACAGGTTTTAAACTTTTAGGCATTTTCACTAGGTCATTTTACTTATCCGGATTCTTACTTCACTTAAATTGGCGCTTAAAACTCCAAAATCTATTAAGATACGTATTGTTAAAAAACCAAACTAAGGAAATATGTTTTTTTTTTATTTCTTTATCTACAAAAGGAAATAAAAACTAACTCTAGTAGTTAGATAAGTCTTAAACCTTCTATATCATAATTGTGTATAGGTAAACGACTAATTAAAGGTAAGTAAGTAAGAACTTAAAAGGTTCAAGCTGAAAATTAAGTGGCAGAATTGAAATGTAGGACGATTGTTATTCATAAATCCTCTTACTCGTAAGCTAAGTAGGTAAATTGGATTTGTGGGGTGCATATACTACGTGTACCACACGTATCAAAAACTTACCGCTGACTCTAATCGGTCATTCTTCTTCCTTGTTATAAAAAATGGTGTGGTTTTATAAAAACACGATGGATGCAAGTGTAACTTTTTACATCACTTTAATATTTTTCTTACCGTAGCAGGCATATAACAAAATTAAAATTTTAAATTAATTTTCGGAAAATTTTATCGAAGTTGATAGAGTTGATGTTACACTGGTTACGGTCGACATCAAAAGTGGAAAATAAAAAATTACTCCTTTAGGCTAGCTTTCTGCCATTAAACCACCATTGCTTGTTTATTAGGTTTTTTTTATAACAACTAAAAATGTAATACATGGTAAAGATGAATTTAACTGAAAAAATTGAGGCTATGTAATAAAAGTATCACTTTAATAATTTTATACCTACCTGAGTAACTACCCTTGCAGGCACATTTTTGCGCTCGGAGGAATGTGAGCTTTATGTATAGGAATGCAGTTAGCTAATATTTCATTATAGAAATGTATTAAAATAAATTAAATTAATAAAAACGTCATTATATACTTATACCATGAGTTTGACACACATAATACTGTTGATACACAAGTAAGTTGTACTTAATAATCTTTGACTGAAGAACTTCGATTAAGCTCGAATTTCAGACAAGGTTTTAGGTGATTACTTTTAATTTTTTACGACAGCTGTGATAGTGTGGCTAGCTGGCATCCCGGTGTTTTATGGTACGTGTCACCGATTCGATTCCAACTCGAGTCAGTTGAAAACTTAAGATATCTACTTATGGTTATGTTTTGTCATAAAAAAATATATAGTGCTTTGGCTATTTCTCTGACATTGAAACCATGCCTGTGATGTTACCCAAGGTTTTTAACAAACTGCAAAAAGGAGGAGGTTCTCAATTCGATATTATTATTATTTTTTAATACATACCCGCAACACTGACCGCTTCGGTCGTGTCTATGTATTGCACGTACAGACACCTTCTTTGACCAGTTATTTTTCACTTTGTAAAATATTAAAAAACAATATAAAATATGTACACCAAAGGTATAATAAGACATTTCCTAAATATAATAATTATATTAACCGATTTTTTTATTTTGTTACATCTTATGATACCTATTTAGTTAGTGTTCCGCATTTTTAAAATTTCATGTTATTGGTAAGTAGGGTGGGAGTTCTTCAAATAAAGCACATCAATGGGTATGGCTGTTTGGCTGTATATAGTAATTTAGATTTTTAAATATTGTTTGTCATGTGAAATTGTGAAGTAATAACGTGTATCGCGGCGCCATGAAATAGATAAAAAGCTTTGATCGGAGCGATGTCTGCATAGGCCATAGGCGTTCTAAGTTTTATGGTTTTCAGTCATGGATTTGTCATTCTGGAAAAATGAAATATGTGTTTTTGTTTAGTCATTCTTTTAATATTACAGCCATAGATAAATGTTTGGTCTCGCTTCAGTCGAGTGAAGCGAGACCAATCATTCATGTGAAATTGTGAAGTAATAACGTGTATCGCGGCGCCATGAAATAGATAAAAAACTTTAATCGGAGCGATGTCTGCATAGGCCATAGGTGTTCTAAGTTTTATGGTTTTCAGTCATGGATTTGTCATTCTGGAAAAATGAAATGTGTGGTCTCGCTTCAGTCGAGTGAAGCGAAACCAATCATTCATCTATGATTGCAGCATTACACAACTAAAACAGAAAAACAAGCACTTATATTTGTATTGTTTTTTAAGATTCATCATGATCAGCTCAATACCCACATTACTGGGGCACAGGCCTGTGGATGTGATAGGGCACAAATCAGGGCGTAGTACGCAGGCTCGTTGTAGGATTGGTGCTAACGACTGTAGATGCAGCCGTGACCAATGCAGGGGCGTATTTTTAAATTGGCGCCCCGGGCAGGGCCATTTACGATCCGCTCAGAATTAGTAACGTCATAAAGATAAAGATCTGTAACGAATGCCTTAATATGGCAAATGCCGCCTCTCGCAAGTCTCACAGGTGCGAAACGGAAAGCTGTTAAGCAGTCCGCGCGGCTTACGACATTCTATGCGCTTATGGCATTCTATCCGCTAAAAACCCTTCGAATACCCTCTACGCTGTTAAGTGTGGAACCGCGTGATCTCCGCTATTAGGAACTTCACCGCGTTGCCGTACCCAACAGCCTGTCGGGACCCTCTTGGCCTTAGGGTAGATACGCCCTTAGACCAATGTCCTTAACGTGCCATCCGAAGCACGGTGGAGCTAGAGACAATATATTATTGGTTTCCGGTTACTCATGCGATGACCGGCGAAATGTGAAAGTTAGAACCCACTAATCCGTACTGCCTCTCGCGCTGGTCATGGTCTATTTTCCCTATTACATTCATAAGAAAGGTCTGTGAGGTTGTGATGGTAATGGTGGGGTGTTTTTGAAGAAGAGCAAGAGCATTTTCTATCTGAAGGTTAGGCTAATATTTAAAATTACTTATTATATAAGTTCTTTACTGTCGAATAGTTAGCGACCATGAAAAAAAAAACGTTTATCCTGGCTATTTATTTCAATTTGTCGCCGCACAGCGTAAACCATAGTATGGAAGGTCTATTTAAATGAACTTAAGTACCATGTTTTAGAATTGTATTAAATACACTCTTGTGACTTCGCCAGGTGACCTACTTGCCCGGCCGGGTGATAAACTTGTCCGTGAGCTGTCCCCGGGCGGGGTTCGCGCCCCGCATGGGACAATACGTGTTACTTCACTGCCATGACCTATCGCTGTTGGAGTGGCATCCGTTCACAATCGTGAAGGTTATTTTTTATAGTAATCCGTACACCCTTAGCACGAATCAATATCAAATTCAAATAGAAGAATTTTTGTATGGAAGATTTTTATTTCCCGTTACGTCCGTTGTGGCGCTTTTCAAATTTTCATAAAAAACTTCTTGACATTTAGCGTTTATCGATCGAATACAACTATTCGGTTTCGTCATTGGTTCGTGATAAGGATAAAAAATTGCTTTTAGTCTGGATTTTCATGTTACAGTATGATTTCTGTAGGGATCCCTCCCTATCGCTTTGCTATCACGACTGGAAGCCATGAAAGAATGAAAAATCTTCGTAGACAACTGATTGCAAAACATGGTCGCGATAGCGGCTAAAAGAAGATAAGCTTTGGTTTATTTAATAGTATCTGCTTACTAACTTGGTACTTAATGAAAATAATTTGATCATAGAATATTATTCCTAGCGGAGGATATAGATTCTGGACGAATTAAAGACAAGATCAAACACCCTCAGCACACACAGAAAGGATTGATTTCAAGTGATGTAGCGCAGCTAATTTACCACTGTAACGGAAAAATAACATCCACCTTATAGAAAGCTGTAGACAATATTTAAAAGTGTTGCTGTAATGTTTCCAAGACGCCACGAGGATGGATGTGGTCAGGGTAGGCAATGCATGAGTGATATTATGGATCACATGTGTCTATATTGACCAAGTTTACTACTAGTCATATGCTCAGGGGCGTATTTGAAATCTGTCGCCCCGGGCCATTTACGATTTGCACCTCCCCTCTAGAATTAGTAAATCGAATCAAAATATAGTTCAGTAACGAATGCCTTTGTAAGGCTTCTACCCACAGAACATAGAAAGAAGTTAGAAGGGTGCTATGATCATCCTTTGTACAGGAACAGATGTCGCCGGCTTGTCCCTACTACACTTCCATCTTATAGATAATAGCCAATCAAAAGACGCGACATCAAACAATCGAACAAATCAGCGCTCACACCCGAGAGCAACGACGCAATCAGAACCAAGTTTTGGTCAAGTTATGAGCATTTTTTCACACAACTGTGGCGCGCCTGCCCCATCCACAAGGCCCTTCAAATCTTTTCCTGTGTTCTGTGCTTCTGCCGCCCCTCGCAGTCTGCCGCTCCGGGCGGATCATGGTCCCTTTTAGCCCCTGCATATCCTTGTTTACCCTCTTTACATAAATAGTAAGATATCCAGAAATCTACGGGGAGGGGTGATTGGTTTCATGCCGACCAGTCGGGGATGTCTGTTGTGGCATTTAGCTTTTCCATTCAACAGAAAAACATGCCGCACCATCTGTCAGTTATGAAGATGCCCGATGCCAGTTATCATTGTAAATTAACTCCACCCTATGCAGTGTGACTATCATTGTGTCTAACACTGCATGGGTCGCAATATGTGCTCTGAAGACAAACAATAAATATTTTTTCAGGTGCCAACATCTAGTCAACATTATTTTGTATTATGGATCAGGGTGAAAGGAGACTGGACTGAAGCCTTAGAGAAATTATTATTAGAACGAGGACCGAAAAAGCTAAGGTACGATTTCTTCATGTATTCTGCTGTAGTCTTTGCTGTTGGACATTCTGCCATTGAGCAGGTCTCGAAATAGCAATATTTTTCTATTTTCTTAAATGTCAGTTTCAAGAACAAGTATATTTTGTAACCTATGATTAATTATAAGAACCTACTTAATTGAAATTCATTGTTGATATTTTCAGTATGTTCGTGGACGGTCCGTTTTCTAGTCCTATGGAAGAAGCGAGTGCTGGTCACATAGCAATATGTGTGGCCGCTGGGATTGGAATCACGCCATTTGTTTCTCTGCTGCATCATATGTACACGTAAGTTCCATGGCTCCCCGACGTAGGGGATCGGGGTAGATGAGATCATGGCAGGCAAAAGCGCGAGTGATACTCTGGTATTGGAACCGTCTATAGCAGTGGTTCTTAACCATAATCTGCGGACCACTTGTGGACCCTGTAAGCACCCGAAGTGATCCAAAGCAAAGCCATTCGAAAAAAATATTACTTAAGTAAAAATACTGATTCATTTACTAATTCTAATGTAATTCGTAAGACGAATTCGAATATTTGACAACTGGTCTCTCGTCTCGTAAAGGTTAAAAACCACTTGTCTACAGGATATGGCGGCTGCTTACCACAGGCGAGTTACGAGTATATGCGCTCTTCTAAGTAATAATACTAGATGAAGAATATCATCATAGACATTACATTTAGGATGGATTGAGACTAAGTCGTTGTTTGGAAACAAAGGTGTGAAGATTGTCGGCGCACTGCCTATCGCCTTTAACAGCTCTGAAACTGCCCTGTTGGTTAAAAGATTTTTACCAAAAACTTTAAAATAACAACACACATATAAGTTATCAGTGGACGCATTCTATGTTTTTCTTTCGCTCACAGTCCAGCATGGGCTGCAAGTCTATAGTGTACCTAAAAAACTTTTACTTACTTCTGAATCGCAATAAATTGTGTTATTTAATAATTCATCATTTTAGTGATTTCTATGTCTATCTAACTTATATAGGTATTTTTTTTGTGTCTATTCTAAATTGGGAATTGTGGTTATAAAGTGATTTGTGACCATCCGAAAACAATGGGAATATTTTATAATCGGTCCACATTTAACTACTAATTTGTTACAAACTAAAAACATTTTAGGAATCCACGGAGTCATACACCGGGCCGTATACACCTCCTTTGGATAGTTCGACACGAAGAAGAAATCACTTGGCTAGCTGAATTGGCGAGCAAAACTTTGGCCGTGCTGAGAGAGGCAAATCGCCCTGACAGACTCCATATACAGCTTTACATCACAAACACAAAATCTAAAGTGGCCATTGATGACACACAGAAAGAAATGATAGCCGTAGTGAACGGAAAAGGAGCCATAGAAAACATCACTAAGAGATACGCTGAGGATGAGAAGGCCAAGCTCTTGACGCTAGACAGTGGAAGAAGTAACAGTGATAACTGCAAAGATAAGACTGCGAATACTAACGGATATTGTGTGGCCAAAGAATACCCAGTTTTGGCTTGTCGTGTGAAGATGGGCAGGCCACACTGGGACCGCGTTTTTGGATACTGGGTGCATTTGTATCCTAAGTAAGTTTAAATCCTAACTCAACCGAAAAATCTAGTGTTACAATGTGTGTTGTTAAAAAAAAACATTATGTCAATTAATTTCTACATATTGCATAAGCTTAATGTATAAAGTTTTCAAATTAAAAAATGTATTGCCAAAACCATATTGCGTAAAATACAGGTCTTTCAGTTTGCTTTGATAAAAAAAGGGTTAAACGTAGATAAATGATTGACCAATCATCATCATCAATATGAAGATAAGATACATTTTGAAACTTCACCTGTTATTGTTTAGAGACTTTGATACTCAACTTTTTTTATAATAGAGGTAGAAAATAATTAGTAAATTCTTCAAGTTCTTTTAAGAGAGAAATGACATTAGTCACACAATGATCAAACTGGAGCAGGACTTATCGGGTACCTAGACGATCAAAATTGCTTGGCAAGCATTTACTCGCTTGATATGCATGAAAATGGATTTCAAGCATTCGCGCTTATTTCATTAGTGCGCCACAGAGTGTCTCTTAATCTAGATTTGACGTTTTATACTCTTACAATTGCTTTGTTCAAAAAATCTAAAAAGAAACGCACAAATGTATGGTCTAAGCGGTTAAAAATTGCTTGACCTGCATTCAAAAAGGTTCTTTTCAATCAGTTTTGATCGTCTAGCTAGGGACCCCATGAGGTACTTATAATCATAGATACATATACATGGGGGGGGGGGGGGAGAGGGCGAAATTTCAATTTAAACGGACGACAGAAGCTAGCCGCGGGAGGGGGGAGATCTTAAGTGGGGACGCTAGTTTTTAAAATACTGTCCTATTTAAAATATACCTTTGGTTACGGTGGTCTGGTAAATTCATATATGTATATATAAATCACAGGACACAGAAAGACGTTAGAAGGGCCTTGTGGGCGGGGCAGGTGCGCCACAGTTGTGTGAGCAAATACTCATAACTTGACCAAAACTTGGTTCTGATGGCGTTGTTGCTCTTGGGTGTGAGCGCTGATTGGTTCGATTGTTTGATGTCGCGTCTTTTGATTGGCTATTATCTATAAGATGGAAGTGTAGTAGGGACGAGCCGGCGACATCGGTTCCTGTACAAAGGGTGATCATAGCACCCTTCTAACTTCTTTCTGTGTTCTGTGGGCAGAATCCTTACAAAGGCATTCGTTACTGAACTATATTTGGATTCGATTTGCGCTGACTGGGTAAATTTTTTGATGTCGCGTCGTTTGATTGGCTAATAATAGGTGGAAGTGTAGTGGGGGCGAACCGGCGACATTAGTTCTTGTATATATGGTCTATAAGTCAAGGGCGGATCCAGCTTTGGCGCCAGGGGGTCATATAGTCGTGGTCAAGTCATAATGGGTACAGATTGTGAAATACAGATTGTGAAGTGGGTACAGATGGACCCAGCCCGGGGGGGGGGGGTCATGACCCCCATGACCCCCCCTCTGGATCCGCCCTTGCTATAAGTACCCTTCTAACCTGTCTCTGTATTCTGTGACATAAATGAAGCTAGCTTGCTAGCTGCCCCCACCCTGCCCCTAGTACATATATCTACTACTAAAATCATACGGCTGTATTTTTAATTCTACGGTTTTACAGGGATCACTTAAACTTATATTGCTGTGGACCAAAGAAACTAGTGAAGTTATTAAGAAGCAAATGCAAAGTTGTAACAACAACAACTAAAACGAAATTCACATTCGTTCATGAAGGATTTTCGTGAATTTATTTATTAAAGGCATTTATGGAACTGAAATTACTTTTCTTTTAGAAAATAAGTACATTCCCAAATCAAGCCAGTTAACCTGTAATACTAGCCTAGTTACAAATCTTACGAGGCCCCAGCAATGGGGGCGCCAGATTTTAAAATACGCCCCTGTAACCACAGATTACTCTCTCCTTGGCCCTCTGAAACATCTATCCTCTTTAAGTAGTTACGTCTGTTATGAGCAGATGAGTCATAAAATTGTTTACAGATCATGACGTTCTTTATCGTGTGAAATTATTTGTTGTATTTTTAATATTTTAACCTTTCATAAAACTTACCTTTTTAATTTTATTCGTATTGAGTGAATTTAACAAATATTTATGAAGACTGGAACAGTTGTAACAAAACCAAAAAATGTCAAACGGAAGAAAAAAGCTACAAAAGCAAAGGCGACAAAAGTATGTATGCTTGTTAAGTATTTGTCTAATTAGCGTGATCATAATTTAACTATCAATTTTATATTAAATAAAATATTTTATGTAGCATGCAACTTATAATAACGTTGCTTGTAAACATGTGGTCGACGCAGCGCATTCGGTAATCAGTAGATCCTGATAACTTATATTATGAGATAAAATTATATCACTTCTATAGTAGGTATAAAATTTACAATGATTTTTCGTTTCCATTTCTACGTCAGTCTGAGCGGGAAAGTCTTCACAGCAGAAGAAAGTAGGTACCTACCTAGCCGATAACACTATTCTTTAGTGTTCCTGCAGCGACATAGGTTTGTTTCCAGAGCTCCACGGGATAGGGATTGGGGCCAAAGTAGACTAAGTGAAAAGCTGATATCACCAACATGGCAGCCGGTTATTATGGCTTGCGCAGACGAGTGATTTTTTGCCCGCCAAATTAGTGACCATTGCATCCAGTCCGATCTCTCCGCATCATTTCGCACATGATGGTTTAAAAATATCGCCTACAAATGTCCCATGAACAACCGAGGACGCCGGGAGATCGGACTAGACAAAAGAATGGGGTTGGCCCCGGAAAAAAATGGAACTCGTGTGACCAGGCGCAGTAATTCATACAGGGAACTTTAGTTTGCGTTGCACACACCATCTTGAATTATAGGGATGGCAGGAATGGACCCCAGTATTTTCTTTGAAAACCTCTTTTCTTTCTTCTTCTCAAACTTCATTAAAATTTTCGGCGACACGATGTACTTTGATTCCGTGGCAAGTTCTCGGCGGACATTTTTTTTCATATTTTTTTCATCGGCGGTAAAAGTCACTGATATGCGCAGGCTTTACTTGTTTGCCGTTATTTTTACTTAAAACAGAAGTAATTTTGAGTTAATCAGTTATGAATCTTTGTTTAATTTTCATTGGATTCATTGCATGCAGACAAAGAAGTGTCAGAAATATTTAAAAATCAGATGTCCGATATGTTTCAACAACATAAGTAATGAAGCCGTATCTTCGACGCAATGTGGTCATGTCTTCTGCACTCGATGCTTGCAAAAAGCTTTGCAAATGAACTCAGTGTGTCCCACGTGTAGAAAATCTCTGAGGAAAACTACCGGATACCACGCTCTGTATCTAAACGATAATATATACGAGGAGGATTTAGAAATTGATAGTTGTTGACTGGTAATGTTATATTAAGTAAGTATTTGTACTAAAATTATACCTTGAATTAGGTCAGCTCAGTGGGTTTAAATTTTATACCCTGAATTGAATGTAATTAAAATTTTGTATTTTAGTAATTTGTGTACATACTAAAGCGCATTTTTATATAGCAATCGAGTTCAAAACTCACAAATAAAAGTTCTTTAGCTACTGTCTTTGGTATTAAAGCTATGTAATTGCTCAAAATTAGAGTGCCTGCTGAATTACTTATGATCCGAATGAAACACCTACTTTCAGGCTGAATGTTCTTAAATTTTGTGGCTTAAAAAAAGTAGTGTCACTGTCAGTGTGACATTGACAATGATATACAACTATTTTGACGTGACATGTTTTGTTGGTGAGACTTGATACTTAAATTAATTATTAAATATTTTTAAAGCACAATGATTAAAATGAATATTAAAACGGACATAAACAGTACCGAAACGTACCAAAAATTGTTTACCAAGCTAGAAAACCCCGATGTCATATACCAGAATTATGTTAAAAAGTTGGCCAAATATCATTTTCAAGTAAAAGCCATTATACAGGTGAGATAAGACATTTAATTTTAAAATAAACACGTATATATATATTTAAATCTACATACTTATTTCTGTGAAACATACTCATTAACGGTATTTAATATTAATTGTTTCAAAATATATTTTCATACAGGATATTTTAGAGTGTAGAGATTCTATGGAGAGCCTGAATGAATTAAATGAAAAAGGCAGAGCAATGATAAACCAATTAAGAGATGAATTAGAGAGTTTGGAATTATATGGAAAGGACAGTGGTGACCAGAAATATGTTGTAGAATTGGAATCGCAAAGGCATTTGTTGGCTGGGTGAGCTATCATAATAGTGATTATTTGAAATTAATACATTTGAGTGATATTAAGCATAAAGTGACCAGCGGCATTTTTAAAGTAAGCAACAAGTTCCACAAACTCATCTTAAAATTTGATCCCAAAAATGACCAATGGTTCATTTCCGCTTACACAATCATACTTTGACATTGGTCCATAGAATTCATTTTTGTTAATTCAAAAATGTCTGCTGGTCGCTTTCTGCTTAGTGATCATTTTAAAATAATTTTAAGATGTTTTTATTTTTTAAGCATTAAATACTGCGGCCCTGATGGCTGTGGAATTTTCTCCAGTATTTCATGATATATATTTTTTTTACATTTATTACAGTTTACTGAAAGAATTTAAAGATGCCAATATAAGTACCATGTTTGCTATTGAAAAGGCACAAAGAGAAGAATTATTGAAACCGCAAGAAAGTGATGAATCTGGCCTGAAACAAAGAAAGAAAAAAGTTGATAGAGATGGACTATTAAAAATGTCTACAGGTATAAAAGATAACATGTTTTAAATTAGAGTAATTATCTAATGTAGTAATGATATATGGAACACATTATAAGTACTGTCATAATCTGCTTAATCTCTTATCTATTAGACGAGTCCATCTGTCCGTGGTGCTGTTTCAGCGGCCAAACCGTAAGAGATAGATAAAGAGAATATTTAAGTTATAAGTTAAGAATAGTCTGATAAGACTTCAAACCGGATTTCAGTAACGTAGCACTTCCGGTTTTCGAGAAATCAGGTTTTGGTGAACATTTGGTTCACTGGTTTGCTAGTCCGTTATCATTTCAGTGATTACTATTTGAATATTTTAACAATTTAATATGCTAACAACTGTTTAGTTATTAGTTTCTTACATTTAGTTTTGTTATATTTATTGTTACCCTATTAAATTATTATATATTGCATTTCAATTATCCTTGGTGACAGTCACAAAACAACAAATTAATATCTTTTATGCCCAGTAAATAAGCAGACTTTAAATATTTATGGTTGTTTTCAGGAGTAACTGAACAACTATTATCTATAAGTAGGCAATTAGCAGACACAACACAAAGAAGTCAGGACACACTTGATAATCTAGTATCTTCTAGTTCTACTGTACATGTAAGTATTTTATTGTACTTAATGTGGTTAATTCCAATTGACATAAAGAAATACAATATTTATTTGAGAGGTGTTGTATACTTTTATCGTTCTGAATCTGTTTTTTATCACAGAACTTCAGTATTCTTTCTAAATTAATTACTTAGTGGATAAGCATTAAACTTAATGAATTGATTCTTTATATTCATTGATTATGATTATGAGTGAATGATTCTGTCCTAAAGAAAAGAATAAAGGGACAAAAAAATTGCTGATTTAATAATTTGAAGTCATAATAATATGTAAATTGAAATATTTTAGTTTTATCAGGTCAAAATTTAAAGTGTTTCTGATATATGGTATAATTTTTCTAGGGAACACAATCTGAATTAGAAAATACCGCAAGCACAATATCACAGTCTAGCAAGTTGTTGACCAAGTATGGACGTAGGGAGTTCACAGATAAAGTAATAATGTTTTTTGCATTCCTTTTCTTCTTAGCTGTCTGCTTGTATATTGTGCAGAAGAGACTGTTTTGAAGAGCCATTATAATAAGTGGTAATTTATTTATTTTTAAATTATAAGACATTATTTATTATCAAATAAATAAATGAATTTGGAATAGAATGTCTTATTTATTTATGTTATATTAGGGCCCATATTAATAGATCATTCCCAACTCTGAGACTATGATTTTGAGATACTGTTTTGATACAAAAAAGCAGGTTGTTTTCAGAGTTGGAGCTAATATGGGCCTAACTGGGCTAATATGGGTCTAGGATTGGGGAAAATTAAAAATCTGTTTTACACTAAATGCTATTTTTATTGGGAGTTTCAAATCTATCGTATAAGATTGGCTAGCACATAAACAAATAAATATTTCCAACACTCACACCAATTAGCCTAGCCCCAAAGTAAGCATTGTAAGGCTTGTGTTAGGGGATGCTACGGTAACGGAAGTACATATACTGTACATATATAAGTGTATTTATATAAAAATATATATAAAACATCCACAACTGGTGTACAAATGCTCGTATTCATCACATAAACATCAGCCCCCCTCTCGAGTCGGCGACATAATGAAACCCGGCGTACAAACCACTCGGCCACGGAGGTCGTCAAATGTTTAAAAAATAAATAAATATTTCCAACACTCACACCCTCAATTACACCTCAATTAGCCTAGCCCCAAAGTAAGCACTATAAGGCTTGTGTTATGGGATGCTAGTGTAACGGATAGAATACATATACTGTAAATATATAATGAGAAGTGAGAGTAATATGACATAAGATTTATAATAACAGTCTATACAGAATTAAAAGGATAATTAAATAAAAGGTTTCTTAGCATAAGAACAATATCTACTAAAAAATATACTATAACAATGAACCTATAACTAAAAACCTTAAAAAATAAAATATAATAACTAAAATACATTATTAAAAGGAGTCCCTTTAGGCAAGGTTCCGAAGATACTGGCAGCGTTCCCCCTTTGGATAGCTAAACTAATTATACAATATAATACAATACATATCAAACATGACTGGAGTGCTTATGCTCGTATTCCTCACATGAACATCTGCCCCCACTAGGATCCGAACCCGGGACCTCTCGAGACAGCGACACCATGAAACACTGCGTACAAACCACTCGGCGACGGAGGTCGTCATTATTTAAAAAATAAAAAATTATAACTATAATTTCCATTTTTTCTTTCAAATGTTTAATACTTGTAAAGGTATTCATTTGTCATTGTGGGTTACCTACAATGCGAAGAGATGGCGCTGCCTTGCACGTTAAGAAAGGCTAGAAAGAATTCGACACAATGTTTGAAATCGAATTCGACAAATTTGGCAGTGCGGTGGCGTGCGGGAAGGGTAAGCTGGGTTTGATTGGACAAGACGACTGGTTCGTCACGGTCGGATGACAAATTAGTTGGAACGATTTATCACCTTTAGTCTACATCTGGAGGCGTGTCTAATGCATACTTAGGCTTGGTACAAGTGGGTGCCAAGCCCTTCTATACGGTCTCTAGTGGTTATCCAATATGCACTGGATTGAATCCAGTGGAGACCGCAATATGGGCGTTCTCCATATTTAATCAAAAAAATCAATAATCTTTATTCAGTTGAGGATTTTACAAGCACTGGTCTACCTATTATCGCAGAACCTTTAATAATAATAATAATTATTTATTTCGGATTACAATGGAACGGATGGTAAGTAGATAATAATAGAGAGAACAAACAGATTATACTTAAATACTAATGTTAGTAAATAAGCACATACAGATTGAATAAATAAATAAATATTTGACACACCGATGTCACTGTCACTCCACGGTGCCCTCGCCTATACGAGTGCATGCAGTCGTATCCAGCGAGTTAGCATCGGGGAGTCCCACCGTTTTGCCAACGCACTCAGGATGGTCTTGGGGCTACCGGGCACCCGCCTAAATAGCGAGGCGCAGCGCTTACTCATGATGGCCGCGAAACCATCTGTATGTGCCTCGGATACTAGTCGCTGTATCTAGAAACTCGAAATTTGGCACGTAGCTTTCTTATGAGGCCTTATATTCCCATGAACTAAGAAAGGGTTTAAAGAAAATATAACTGGAAAACGTCGAATGGTCACGGACCGCGTCGAAATTCTTCTAGCCATTCTTAAGCTGCAAGGCAGCGCCATCTCTTCGCATTATAGGTAACCCACAATGTCAAATGAATACTTTTTCAAGTATTAAACATTTGAAAGAAGAAATAGCAATTATAGTTATAATTTTTATTATTTTAAAGCATGTAACTGATTGATGTTTAAATCTAAAGAAAATATAACCGACTAATTTGTGGAGTTGATGCAATCGATTGTATAACAGTAAAAGTTTGAAGTATTGGAACTACAATGATTAATATAAATTTGGTTTATTCGTTAATTTTACATGCAAAGAAAATTCCTTAAGCTAAGAAGCCTTGATTAAAAATACTCTAGCAGTCATTTTAGGCTTAGTTACTTACATCAAAAACCCCAAAACGAAAAATGTAACATTTTTCATTTCGTAAATTTGAGTTTAGAATTTCAAACAATTCAGATAATTATCTGACAAATTCAACTTTTCGTACGAAAGTTTTGTGAATTAGAGTAGGCTTGGAGAATTTATTTGTCAAACTATTTTCTACTACACTACTAGGTATAGAAACAGAGTAAGGAATGTGCGTTATTTCGATCGAAATTTCGTTTTTCGTTAAAATAGAGATAAAGAATTACCTTAAACGTAACGTTAACCTTAAAATTAACTTAAACTTAAGAACTACCTTTCGACGAGTCATTAAACCTGGGGGAGGCGGGGGGGAATTTTTGACAATGTTACTAATACAATGCTGAATGGTTGTTGAATAAAGCTTTTGAAGTCGGTTGAGGTTAACATTATAGACGAGGGATTTGTAAGCTAAGGTACCATAGGTACCATTAAACAAATACCTGTACCTACGTATCTTTGTGTTAGTTTTATGCTGAAGGACTCGAATCGGTCTTGGCCTAATATTGATATATGCATATCTATACTTTAGCAATAGTAGGTATAGACTTCGCCATATTGGAATTGAATTTTGGCAAGTTTATTGTTGAGTTCCGTGTTCCAAGAAACGTTACCTTCACGCTTGCACATTCACTGTCCTCAGGTTCCTGCATCAACGGTCATTCAACTCTACGGACACATTGACATTACTACCTTTTTTATGTTTACATCATCCAAACCAAAGATTCACATATCTCTCAATTAACGTGACATCAAAGGTGTTCGTATCGTGTGTCTGTCTGAACTTTGGTTTTATATTATTTGATATTATTTTTGCATTAATGTTTGGTTACCACAATTATATTGGACGCGTCGTCGTCGCGGCGCCTTGAACACGGCCCGATAGCGATAATAAATACTTGAACAGTTACGCACGTTAGTAATCGTTGATGACATGTTGATTAAAAGCGAGATGAGAGCTTAAGGTTGTAATTGAATTTCTACTCATTTAGAATGATAGGTAGTTAATATAGTGGAAAATATATTTTAACTAAGAAGACTGACCACTTGGTCAACAAACGTGTGCATTGGGTCAGCAGTCGTCACTTTGTTTTACTAGCATTTGGCATCCATGAGGGAGTACTAAATAAAATAACTATAATTCCTGAAGGGTGAGCACGAACAACTAGCGAGAGTATTCGTCATCGTTTGATAATGATCCTGTGTGCCTAGCAATGCACACACGCAGCTTTACATTAAAAATTTAAAATCTACACAACGCGTCGTGTTTTTTCGATGTCAATGACCGCGCTCTGGTGCCGGCGTTATCAAAATTTTAATCAACTTTAAGCAAAAAAGGAGGAGGTTCTTTATGTTTATTATACGAAAGTTTGATTATTCTACTCAGTTCATTCATACTCAGATGTTGTAAAGACAAAATATCTCATGTAATATAACTGGATGATGGTTGTTCCCCAATGGCGCTTGCTGATGACGTCAACATTATTGGAGGCGTCTTGTTTACCGTACCGGCGAGAGTGCCTGTGTGTGGCCGTGAAACCAGTTTTTAGTTATAACATGGTGCACTTATCATTGTAATTTGGTAGAAAAAAATCTTAGGCCGTATACAGAAAGAAAGCCGATCGCGCCGATCCTTCCTACATAAAGGAAACCGATTAAAGCAGATCAAGCAAAATGTCGGACTCATCGGACGATGATTTGGTTTTGTTAGAAAATGTTTATTTAAAAATGCGAAAAACAGCTATACATCCTATAAATAGAGAAAGGAAACGCTTCGGAGAATACCATCATTTATTTGTAAAAAAATTGAAATTTGATGAACAAAGATTTTATACATATACAAGAATGATTCAAGAAACATTTTATTACATTTTGGATTTAGTGAAAAAGTTTGATGAAAAACTGGTGCAATTGGCATAAACAACCAATCCTTCCAGACGAAAGACTTGTTGTCACCATTCGGTAAGTACGAAACAAATAATTTTAGCGCTTAGTTAATAAAAGATAAAGTTATTAGATTTATAAAAAGCTTATAACTTAGATTGATATAATCTAAGGATAATAATTCAAATACAAATTATTTATTATTCGGACCAGCGCGTGTCGGCGCTATAGGCGCCGATCAGCGCCGATCGGCGCCGTTCCATAGAAAAAGGATCAGCGCCAATAGGCGCCGATAAGCGCCGATCGGCGCTGATCGGCGTGGATCGGCTTTCGGCTTTCTTTCTGTATACGGCCTTAGAGACAGTGCAACACTTTCAAAGGTGAAAACATGTCTACGTATTTAATTCCTCTTTATGAAATGATTATTACTAACGCAAGTATTTGTTTTAGGTTTTGTCAGTTTCTAAACCTAACAACAAACATTTCACCTGCGACATCTTTACGACTGAGTGCAAACTGCAAATTACATAAAATGACATTCATCATGATAACATGCTAGAAGCTAGAAATACTGATTAGCACTTCTCAGATAAGCATTTATCTATACATATAATAAAATGGTAGCAAAGTGAAAACTGTACATTGAACATTTTTTTAAAAGAATACCTGGGGTGTGATCTAAAATCAATTTCGCAGCCAAAAATATA